ATGACCAAGTTTCAGACTGGTTTTGCGGCAAAAAAATCTTGTTTTTTCATGTTGGCCGTGGTGTTTTTTGCATGCTGTTTTTGGAGATGTGACATGTTTGTTTTTCAAGCCAGACTAGTTTGGTTGATTTAGTTGCAAAAAGTTAGTAAGGCTCATCTTGTTTTCAGATTTTTACCCTGCAGGGGGAGGGCCCGGGGCGGCCGGGAAGGGGGGGGGGGGGGGGGGGGGGGGGGGGGGGGGGGGGGGGGGGGGGGGGGGGGGGGGGGGGGGGGGGGGGGGGGGTGTTGGTGGCGCCGGCGCGGAGTGCTTGGGTTTAGGGTTTGAACCTTTGACACTCAAAGGCTCGACCACCTGGCGCACACGGCTGTGTGCTCATCTTGCCAAGGCGTTCAGCAGCCACAGCTTTACCTGGGCTGCACGTGGCGTGTGGTCAGGTCGCTCGCTGAGCGCTCGGACGGCTTCGAGCGAGCCCTCAGCCGGACTTTAGGGTTTAGGGTCATTACCTACTGAGAACCAGCCAGAAGAGCCCTAAACCCTGAACCCTGAACCCTGAACCCTAAACCCTAAACCCTAAACCCTAAACCCTAAACCCTCAACCCTCAACCCTAAACCCTAAACCCAAATTTGGGTTCTTCGCGCCCAGGATGGCATGGCCAAGGCCAGTTTGGGCGACATTCTGTCCAATGTGGACCTTGACAGCCTCATCGAAGGCCGCCCATCTTCGAATTCAAGGGGGGTTTAGGGTTTAGGGTTGAGCTTTCAGAAGCAGCATCTTGGAGTTTGTGCAGCTGGCATTCAGACCAGCAGGAAGAGCCTTGGCAAGCTGTTCCATCTCTTCTTTGACCCGCGGCCAGGTGTGGATGCAGATGGCAGTGGCATGATTGATTACACTGAGTTCCTGGCGGCTACGCTGGACCGGTGTGCCCGCCTGTTTTCGCCGCAAGGCCGTGAGGGCCTTTGCGAAGGAGAGACAAGGATTGAAGAGCAGAGATTCTCGCCAGTCTTTAATAGGGATGATAGTACCCCCCCTTTTGTAATCCCTATTGAGGAGCTGTTAGTACCAGCAAGCACTTGGCAATGCCAGGAAGTGCTACCTGCAAGAGGACGTCTGCTACAATGCCTTCAGTGATGATCCCAGAGTCAGAGCCAGCCCGTCACACGATCGTGCCCTTTTGAACATGAGTGGCAAGAGGCGTGTTTTGAGTATTCTGCAGCCACCGGGTTTTCCGGCACAAGCTGCCGTTCCTTGGAGGTTCTGCAGCCATCTCAGTCATAAAAGTCTTAAAGCTGGGCGATGTCAATTTTCCGGCAATGTGAGACCGCGGAGCCAAACCTCACACTCCAAAGCGGGGTTTCAAAGGCGGCCCTCCAGCTACCATTGCTGCTCCACAAGGACCTGAGACGGACCTCTGGCGAGAAGCCCTGGGCCGCATGTGTGCGCTGGGGGAGGCTGAAGCCGGAGTTCCATAGGGAGCTGGCGGCCAAGCTGAAGATAACATTCGGTTTAGGGTTTAGGGTGTAGGGTTTAGGGTTGAGGTGGTCGAGGCCGAGGTCGTCAAGGACCCGCACTGGGACGATCGGTGCCAGCAGCACCGACAGCGGGTGGAGGCAAACTGCGAAGTAGCCTCAGTGTCCAGGCAGTGGGAGCAGACGATACCCTAAACCCTGAGCCCAAGAAACCCTGCGAAGATCACGATATCTGTTCATACGCGCGTGCTTGCCCCATTGTAGGTTCTCCCCATGAGGCAGAGGGAGATCGTACAGCTTGTTGCCCCCAGGGCCAAGACAGTGACATCGTGGGGCCGCGATGAGATGAGTGACGTTTATCCGCACGGCGAAGCCGGGTACAGCGAACAGCGCGAAAACACGTGGTCGGTGGTCGTGACACGTCGTGATCCTTTAAAGGGGTTAGAGACCCGGAGTTGTTGTGTGGGTCTCAACCCCTCCTATCGGCCATGGCAGTACTATGGAGCCAGCCTGCGTCAGAAGCACCCTCGCCTTGCGAGCGAAAAGAAAAGCCAAGCCAGGACATTTCTGTCAAGTGTTTGGTGACGGGCAGTAATTCGCTAAATACGTCGTCTTCGACCAAGGCGTCTTTGACCAAGATGGAGATGGCCAAATCACTTTGGAGGCGCAGCCCGTACTCCGTGCCTCTTTCCCAAGCTGCAAGGATGAGTAGGGCGTGTCATGTTGTCTTAGGATTTAGGGGGATTAGGGTTTAGGAATCTTCTGTGTTTGGCAAATGCCCGCACCCTGTGCGGAGTGCTCTTGCAGGAGCTGAAAACGATCCTGGACAATGGCAGCGTGGATGAGGTCCTCACTTTCCCTGGGGGCTTCTTTTGGCGTCGTGCGGGGTCCTGCGAATTATGACGCGCGTCGGCTGCGAAGATTCCATTGCAGCCTGCGAAGCCTGGCAGGCCTTGCAAAGCAAAACCTCCGAGGACATCCTCAAGGTGGCGATGGGTTTAGGGTTTAGGGTTTAGGGTTTGCCACTGCGATGGGTTTCCTTCCGTGCCTCGAGAGTTCTCGCTCGAAGCCTTAAACAGAAGCCCCGGGGCGCTAACAAAAGTCCCCCAGGCGCCGTTCGCGTGGCCTAATGTCGAATGGTTCTCCTCTGTGGTCTGGGCAAGGTTGACGGAAGGGTACCCTGCGCAGAGATCATGGGGACTCCTAAACACGAGCTTGCTTTTGGGCTGGTTCCTGTTGCAATATCAACAGGGAGAACAAAGGGCTCTTGAGCTCGGAGCCTCTCCTGCCCAAACTCGGTGTACCCTATCCTGCCAGGCTGTGGATGCCAACGGCGACGGCTCTATTGACTTCCAGGATCAGCAGCATGCTAAACCCCTAACCCCTAAACCCTAAATCCTAAACCCTAAACCCTAAACCCTAAATCGGGCCTCCGATGCATCTAGGAAGGCCCCCCCCCCCCCATGGAGTTCACAAGTGGAGGGTTGGATCTCTTAACAAGTGGAGGATTGGAACCCTAAACCCTAAACCCTAAACCCTAAACCCTAAACCCTAAACCCTAAACCCTAAACCCTAAACCCTAAACCCTACAGCCCAAGTCTGAGGCATAACACCAATCCTCATACAGAATTCTTAGAACCCAGAGACTCCAAAACCCCTTAACTAGGGAGTATACCTTAAATTATAGTAGGAACCCTAATATGATTTAAGGTGTATTCCTTAATTAAGGGGTTTTGGAGTCTCTGGGATTCTCTACTCCCCCGCACATGTGCGTCGAGTCCATTAGCAGCATATTCAGATGCAGCACTCTGCTAATCCTCGCTCGGTACAATGTGCAATGCTCGCGTCTTCCAGTCAATTTCGATTTTTCAGTCCAGTCAAATATACATGTTTTTGTTTCATACCTATCAGGATCCCCCTTTTGTACGCCACACGCAAGTAGAACCACTTTAAAGAGATCCTCAAAATAGGGATACGGAATCCTCAGAAAGCTCCCATCGTCGCCCTACCATCACGGATGTGGGCACCAATACCCTGGTGTTGGTGGCCTCTGCAATTCTCAAGTTCTCTTTTGGCTGCAAGACCGTGAGGCCCTTGCCCTGAGTTGCTATGCAGATACGGGGCGTTTCCTATAATAGGGGTACCCCTTTCTAAATATTTCACCTTTTAAAGGACCCCCAGGAGGGTACCCCTATTCTCGGAAACCCCTAAACCCCTAAACCCTTAACCCCTGACCCCTAAACCCTAAACCCTAAACCCTAAACCCTAAACCCTCAAGCCTAAACCCTAAACCCTGAACCCTAAATGACCATGTCTGCTCCAGGAGTTTATGGACATGATGCGGGGTGACAAAGCGCCGGCTTTGGACATCAAGGCTGCGAAGGGATGTTTAAGGTTTAGGGTTTAGGGTTTAGGGTTTAGGGATCGGCCCATCCCCCTTGGTCTGAGTCGGGAATGAGGAAATGAGGGGCCCTTTCTATACCCTTTAAGGGATTATGTAGGGCCCTCATTTCCTCATTGGGCCCTACATATACCTTTTAAGGGATTATGTAGGGCCCAAAATTCCCTCATTGGGCCCTATATATACCCTTTGAGGGATTATGCAGGGCCCTCATTCCCTGAGAACCAGCCAGGAGCCGCTGATGCATGAGCCCCATTGACCTGACCACGGGTAGGTTCATATATTCTTAATGACCGTGAATCCTCTTGTAAAGCCAAACCCTAACCCTAAACCCTAAACCCCAAACCCCAAACCCTAAACCCCAAACCCTAAACCCTAAATCCCAAACCCTAAACCCTAAACCCCAAACCCTAAACCCTAAACCCTAAACCCGGAACAATTCATTTTTTTTTTAGGGCCCCCCCCCAAGCCTAGCTCCGTGACGGTGCATGAGGCGGTACCCACCCAGGCTCTCTGATCTGTGACCATGGCGCCTTGGCTGCATCCTTAGTAGTAGAGCAGGTAACCTTTAACCTTTTTGGGGAACCTTTAACCTTCTGGGGGCCGTTTAGTAGTAGTAGAGTAGGTAACCTTTAACCTTTTTGGGGGCCGGTTAATCGTAGTAGAGTAGGTAACCTTGAACCTTTTGGGGCGCCGCTTTTAATAGTAGTGGAGTAGGTAACCTTTAACCTTCTGGGGGCCGTGTAGTAGTCGTAGTAGAGTAGGTAACCTTTAACCTTTTTGGGGGCCGTTGAAGAGTAGTAGAGTAGGTAGAACCTTCAACCTTCTTGGGGGTATTCGAATCCCTATGAAGTCCCAAAGGTTCACCTGCAATTCCCCCAGGTTCCTGGACAACCAAGCATCAGGTTGTGATGGTTGTTCCCGGTCTGCTAAACCCTAAACCCTAAACCCTAAACCCTAAACCCTAAACCCTAAACCCTAAACCCTAAACCCTAAACCCTAAACCCTAAACCCTAAACTGTCTCCCATTCCTCTCTTGTCAGTTGCCTGACCAGGGTGCTGGTTCTTCATTTCGTTGAGATGCACAGAGGCCCGGAGAGCCTCTGTCCCATGTGATGTGGTTTAGGGTTTAGGGTTTAGGGTTTAGGGTTTAGGGTTTAGGGTTTAGGGTTTAGGGTTTAGGGTTTAGGGTTTAGGGCATGCGCGGGAGATGTTCTGGCTACGAACATGCGTCGTCATTCAAACTCCATCAAACGCAGACGGCAGCCAGGACCGAGCGATTTTCATCAGGTCCTTACCTGAGTTGCGTTCCGTGCGGCTGGGTTATCACCGGATGCTCACGGAATCGCGTTCCCATGCTTCTGGCTCCTATGACTCTTATGCATCTTTTCTTAATCAGCAAAGCCTGCTGCAGTGCTGTCTCCGCAGCAATCCCAGAGACTCCAAAACCCCTTAATTAAGGAAAATACCTTAAATCATCTTAGGGTTCCTAGTATAATTTAAGGTATATTCCTTAATTAAGGGGTTTTGGAGCCTCTGCAGCAAGAATCCCTGCGACCCGGTGCAAGCGACACCAGAGTCCGGACTTATTTTGAGCCGACCCGCAGTAGACGGGGATGCTCTGGGATGTTCCCCCCTTGTACTAGCAGTCCTTAATGGTCATAGCGGGTTATATAGTATCCCCTATGAGTCCCCATTAAGGACTGTTAAGTATAGGGGGGGAACATCCCAGGGGATGCTTTTTCAAACAGGTTTCACGAACGATGAGACAGAGCAAACCTGTTTTGAGACGGGCTGGGGCATCACTTAGAATCGTAATCTTGGCTGCATAAGTTCTTTGGCACAGACTCCTCTCCAGCCTGGTCCTGAATTCACACTGTCTTGAGCTGATCAACTCAATGCTCACTAGCGATCGAGGGCCGGCAACACGGTGCAAGACCATCGGTCGTTCGTCGTTTCGATCGCTGCCCCTCGTTGTCATGTGGGGTCGGTAAAGCGCCCCCGAATGACAAGGCTACAGAGCCTTCGTTTTCTGCAATGTCAGAGGGCACGCTTATCTCTTCCAGCATGGGGACTTGTGATGAGGTTGCTTTTATGCTACCTACACAAGCAGCATCGGCCACATGAATGTAAAGATGCCTAGCAGCCGGCATCCCTCGTCAAGGCAACGCCGACAAGCCGCCCTCACTCGGGCACAGACTGCTGAAGTGAGCCCCTAAACCCTAAACCCGAAACACGAAACCCCAAACCCGAAACCCTAAACCCTAAACCCTAAACCCTAAACCCTAAACCCTAAACCCTAAACCCTAAACCCTAAACCGGCGTGGCTTTGTCAAGCATTCCGGCTTGAAGCCGTCAGGGACAGGTGGGATAAAGCTCAAGCAATGTGCTTGCCCTGTGCATGTTGTGCTTGTGCAATCTTCTCCATGGCTGGAAGTGAAAAAGGCCGAGAGCACCAGGGTTTAGGGTTTAGGGTTTAGGGTTCAGGGTGTAGGGTTTAGGGTTTAGGGTTTAGGGTTTAGGGTTCAGGGTTTAGGGTTTAGGGTTTAGGGACGTAAGCCAGCACGTCTTGTGCCCTGACAGTGCCAGCCTCTTAAAGTGGATGCCAGCGCCCTAAACCCTAAACCCTAAACCCTAAACCCTAAACCCTAAACCGTAAACCGTACACCCTAAACCCGAGATCCTAGAAACCCTGAACCCTAAACCCAAGACAACAGCAACAGTGCGTTGAGCGACACACCTGTGACTCCTCGCCGCTCGGCTCTTTGCCATATCTGGGGGTTGCCGAAAACAGGGGTACCCTTTTTTTGGGGGGGGTTCCTAAAATTAAGATTACTGTATTCGGGGGGGTATATTCAGGGCACCCCCTATTTTTGGAAAACCCCATTGTCTAAGAGTCTACCCGACTAGCATGGCCCATCTGTGATGCGCGCCGCCGTGCTGCTCGCAGTGGAAGGCTGCGTGCAGGCTCGGGCCATCAGGAGTGGACCTCGGGATGGTTCCCCCTTATACTGACAGCTCCTCATTAGGGATTATAGTAGGGGGTACTGGAATTTCCTATTGAGGGCTGTTAGTATAAGGGGAACATCCCAAACTGGGCCCGTCGCTGACTTTCGCTCAATGATCGTCCGCTTAGGCCGGTGGCAGTCCCCAGCTACTGCGGAAGCCTCAGTGAGCAGATCTTCCCGATCTAGGTTACGCATGTTGAGATCGAATGAAGTCACCAGCTGCAGTGGCATCACAGTCGTATTTCGCACATTTTGCCTAGGTTTGACACGGATGACAGCTCCAGCTGCGTTCACTTCCACAGGTGCGTCGGATGTCAAAGCTGATACGGCCCCCCACTTTCAGGTCCCAACCTTCTGTACGTGTCTGCGCTACTGCCATGCTACCGGATCTGAGCGACCTGTGAGCGCTTCGCGCACGTCCGCCTTAGCTACCAAGGCACCTGGGGCTCCTAAGGACGCTGGGAGTCGAGTCGGTGGCGGTCGCACCCGAAGTTCGACCAAGATAGCTTGAGGAAGGGTCCTGGGATGTCGAGGCCCTTCCTGCTGCGGTTTGGGTAGGAGGAGAGAAGAAGCTTAAATGGGTCAAGTCTTGCAAATGTTTCAATCTGTCAGATAAGAAGCAAGTTTTGCCATGCACTCTGCCTGCCTCTTCGCAAAAATGATACCCAAACATCTGAGCATCGACCTATGGATACAAGGAGAAGGCTTTTGGGGGCGGGTCGAGGGGGAAGGTGGGGCTGTTTGCTGGCACTACTTGGAGCTTCATGGTACTCGGTACCCCAATTATCACTGTCCTTATCGCCCAATTCTAACCCTACTAGGATACTTATAGTGGGGTTACTAAGTACCTCCAAGTACCCCTGGGGGATTGAGCCCATGGGGCTCCCTTCAACGCCCGTGAGCCGGAGGCCTCGGTAAGCTGCTCTCGCCACATCTCGCCACCACAGTCGGGCATTCGCCGCCGGTTTAGGGTTTAGGGTTTAGGGTTTAGGGCTTAGGGTTTAGGGTTTAGGGCGCGTTGCACTCTAGGGGCCCGGCACGGCCCGTGTAACAATGCTAGGCCAGGCAAGATCCTCATCTACAAGAAGGAGACTGTGGCCACTCTTAGGGGTTTTGTGCTCCTTGCCGCCCTTGCTGTCTCTTACTCGTCAACAGCCTTTGCGCCCAGGACACGCCTATCTTTCCGATCGGCATTTCAGCATCGAGCTTATGTTAGGGTGAGGGTTTAGGGTTTAGGGTTTAGGGTTTAGGGTTTAGGGTTTAGGGTTTAGGGTTTAGGGTTTAGGGTTTAGGGTTTAGGGTTTAGGGCTTAGGGTTTAGGGTTTAGGGTTTAGGGTTCAGGGTTCAGGGTTTCGGGATTTGTTCGCCTGTAGGGTGCTCAGGTGCCATCGGACATGATCGCCGAGTCCGTCCCAAGAAAGGCTCCTCCCCATCCTTGCCGCCCCATTAACGAAACGGCCTACAAAAGAACCCTAAACCCTAAACCCTAACCCTAAACCCTAAGCCCTAAACCCTAAACCCCAAACCCCAAACCCCTCAACCCCATACCAAAAACCCAAAAAGCGGCCCCCCAAACTGGACTCTAGACGCACGCATGTTGTTTAGGGCTTGCGGGGTTTATACAATAGAGAGTTTAAGGGTTTATGGGGTTTGTAGGGGGTTTGGCAGGGTTCAGCTTTCACCCAGCATGCCCTCTGGCAGACCCGGGTGACAGCTGCGTTCGTCGGAAGCAGGGCAGGTGGAGAGGCTGCGGCCCTGGAATACATCTCTGTGTGTGTATATATATATATATATGTCCTTACCCTGTGTGGTGGGATTGGGGACGGAAGTTTGGGGTCTAGAAAGCTTAGGTTTTTCGGGTTTGGGGTTGCATTCGGGTTTGAGGTCTCAGTTTTTTCTTGAGGGTGTTAGCGCATAGAGTTTGGGGCTTTCGGGTTTCAGGGTTTTTCTAAGAAATATTCAACATACCCCTAGGGCATACCCTTAAACGAAATTCTGGGGTATGGTTAGATTCTCCCTTAATTAGGCTCCCTTTATATTACACTTTCATAGGTTAAGGGGTCTGGGTTTGGGGTATGGTGAATTAATTTTTTAGACTTTTGGAGTAAGGGGGATCCTTCGTAACTTGGGACTTCTGGCGGAACGCGAAGAAGAAGATGAGACCCTCCGTAATGGGATACCAGAGTCTTTTAGGGTTTAGGGTTTAGGGTGTCTGGTGCCGGCCTCTAAGCCTGCGCCGAGGTGCAGGAGTACAAGTTCGGCCCCATGGACGAAGAAAGGCCGGGATCTCGCGCGGCATCTCATGACTTTTTGGGGATGAGCTCCCTGTGCAGGTATCATGAGTTCTACCGTCGCCACCGCTTTGCTCACACGAAAAAGAAAGGTGGCTGGGATGTCGAGTACTTGGTCGATCTCGATATAATTTATCAGAGAGAGCGAAGCGTGCGAAGCTTTATGACTTTACGACAATGACGGCCACCCTACACCTCTGCAAGGCGACCAGACATGCGGAGATTCTTGCAATGGGGACAGTGGGGGCCTTGAAACTTGGGAGCCTGTCACCGAAAAACGCCGACTTGATCGATGTTACCCGAAACCCTAGGAACCGCAAACTGTTCATCTCAGGTACCGAATTTCACCGGGCTTGCCCAGGCATGCCCCTCGGAGCCAGCAGAACTGGATGCAGTTGAGCTGATCCCCATAGTTGCACTGAATTCCGCGTGCCTCCCCCCCTCCCCCCCCTCCCCCTCCCCCCCCCACATCCCCACACCCTCCCCAAGGTGAATCACTGAATCACACATGGAGCTCACACAGCTTACACGTCGCAGGCACCTCCGCTGGCTGTGCCGTTTGTGCCCAAGTCCCTACTTCTGCAGGCGGAGGATCAGCACGACTCCTGGACATTCGAGTTGCGACTTTCCACCTGCCTCAGCTGCTTGCTGCTTAGGCTCCTACCTTTCTCGCGTCGCTTGGAGGCTCTCTACAACGTGTCAGCCCTACCTGCGCAAAAATAGCTCAGAATCCAAGGCTGCCGATGGCAGCATCCTGCGATATCCTGCATGACCTTCGGGAAGCAGATGAGGCAACGGTCACGAGGCTCCTTGACCACACGCGCAGGCCCACGGGGAGGGAGCCTGACGGCGTTTCGAGTTGCGTTTCTGAGGGCAAAGAGCGACTGACCGGCTAATCTGCAGCTGAGGTGTTTGTCCGTAGAGTCTATGGCTGCGCGAGCCAGGTTCCCAGCACGAGGGGCGGCTTTCAATATTCGCAAGACTGACTTGGGCGTTTCCCAAAGTCGGGGTACCCCTTTCATACCCCAAGTAGAAAAGAATCCCTTCAAAAGGGACTCCCCAACAGGGTACCCCTATTTTTGGAAACCCCCTGCTGCGGAGATTGGATTAGGTGACCTTTAAAGCCTTTTGGTTACCCCTAAACCCTAAACCCTAAACCCTAAACCCTAAACCCTAAACCCTAAACCCTAAACCCTAAACCCTAAACCCTAAACCCTAAACCCTAAACCCTAAACCCTAAACCCTAAACCCTAAACCCTAAACCCTAAATCCAGGTGCTGCGAAGCATGGGCCTGTGGCCAACTCGGCGACCGTTGCGGCTCTTGCGTCTTCGGCACGGTTGTCCTTGACGTGCTGGTGTGGATTTCGGGGCAGAGTTCAAGTTGCTTGCAATGAGTTCCCCCCCGGCATGTGCAGGTACGTGACTTGCGGCTTTGGATTTACTGGGGCAGGCGTGGGAGTCAGATGAGAAGAAGCCTCCAAGCCCTAAACCCTAAACCCTAAACCCTAAACCCTAAACCCTAAACCCTAAGATGCTTGTAGTCTCTTTTCGGCTTCGAAGGTGACGGCTGGCAGGGCCCGGTCAGCATAGGCCTGCCGGGCGCAGTCTTAACGGAGCCGGGCTCAACTCTCCCATGAGGCTTACGGTCTTTTGCTTTGGGTTCAGGGTTTAGGGTACAGGGCTTACGGTCCTTTGTTTTGGGTTCAGGGTTTAGGGTTTAGGGTTTAGGGTTTAGGGTTCAGGGTTCAGGGTTTAGGGTTTAGGGTTTAGGGTTTAGGGTTTAGGGGGTTGGGGTTCAGGGTTTGGGGTTTAGGGTTTAGGGTTTAGGGTTTAGGGTTTAGGGGGTTGGGGTTCAGGGTTTAGGGTTCAGGGTTCAGGGTTCAGGGTTCAGGGTTCAGGGTTTAGGGTTCGGAGTTAAGGGTTCGGGGTTAAGGGTTCAGGGTTTAGGGGGCACATTGTAGCTCATGCAGCAGGTAGGGCTACGATGACGCCTCGGCATTGCAACGGCTCATCGCTTGTCAGGCATCTTCCTTGGCCTTCACAGTCTTCTGAAGAGCAGACCAGGCCCCCTCTGGCCGGCACTGACTTGATAGCCCAGTGGTACCCTTTACCCTGTTTTGGGTTATGGGTTCCCTTATAGAGTAACCAACCCAAAAAGTGTGGTCTTTTTCAAAAGATGGTTGCTGGGCTACTAAGTTGAATGTATGAGTTTTCCCTATACGTAGTAGGCAGGGTATTTTCCCATAGACAGTATAGATGATGCCCGGTGGCAACCCCTGCACTGTCCCCCAAACTCGAAGCACCAGGCTCCCGCATCGTCGACGCGCCAGCAGCTTGTGCGCACCAGCCGTTCAGTTGTTGTTCCGTCTCAGGCTTCGGGAAACCCGCAGAGTCCCAAAGCACAAGAAGAACCTGAGCCCACCAAACCGGCCCCCCCCCCCCCACCCCACCAAAACGTCTGGGTGTTCAGGGTTTAGGGTTTAGGGTAAACCCTGAGCCCTAAACCTTGAAAACCTGCCTCCTCCTCCCAAGCCACAACGTCTCGGGGGCAGGTTTCAACATGGTTTTTAGTTCTTACTACCCTGAATCCCGTACATAATCCTTCTAAACCCATAAACCCCAAACCCCAAAGCCTAAACCTTAAACCCCAAACCCCAAACCCTAAACCCTAAACTTGCAACCCTAAACCCTAAACCCTAAAACCCTAAAACCCTAAAACCCTACAACCCTAAAACCCTAAAACCCTACAACCCTAAAAACCCTAAAACCCTAAAACCCAAAAAAACTTAAAACCCTAAACCCTAAACCCCAAACCCCAGTTACTCCCAAAGGCCATGGAGGCGAACCCAAGCTTCTGGCCTGGTGAGACGGAGCCGCGGTGACTCGCCGTCATAGGGTTTACGGTTTAGGGTTCAGGGTTCAGGGTTTCGGGTTTAGGGTACCCTAAACCCTAAACCCTAAACCCTAAACCCTAAAAACCCTAAACCCTAAACCCTAAACCCTAAACCCTAAACCCTAAACCCTAAACCCTAAACCCTAAACCCTAAACCCTAAACCCTAAACCCTAAACCCTAAACCCTAAACCCTAAACCCTAAACCCTAAACCCTAAACCCTCCAAGCACCCCTAGGACAGAAACATCTCTTGCCTCGGTTGTCGGTCCAAGAAACTAGCTTTGTGACTTCAGGAAGTTTAGGGTTTAGGGTCTAGGGTTTCATTAGTCGCTTTTCGCTGATTTGTGTTTGCTTCGGGGAGGGGTGGGGTTGTGCAGACTGTTCTGTGGAGTTACGCTGGCCGTTTTCGAGCGCAGCCTTTGCTTTTCGTTGGTTGGTTTTGTCAGGGACCAGCCAATAATCAAAGTGTAGAGGGGTTCCAAGAGGCTGCATGAAGAGGCCGACTCTTGTATGAGCTGCTCCAGGACTCACGGTCACTACACTTCACCATGCTTTCTCTGCGCTTTCTCCGAAACTCTCCGGGCCCCCAGCCTGAGGTCGAACTTCTGGTACATGGCAGATGAGCAGTTTCCAAGGACGCAGGGTTTAAAGGGTTCGGGTTGACATGGGGTTTAAGTAGGGTTTAGGGTTTGGGGTCTAATCAGGGTGGGTTTGTTTGCCAGTGGTTCGTGCCCAGCGATCCACAAGCCCGCATAGAGCGAAAGCCCTAAACCCTAAACCCTAAACCCTAAACCCCAAACCTTAAACCTTGCAAGGATGGAGGAGGAAGCCCTGCGCTTGAGGCCGGGTCTGGAGCCATCCAGAGGTGAACGGTTTTTTGTTTTTTGAAGGCTTTCTTTACAGGCTTGCTGAGGTTTTTTTCTTTATGGTGTTTTGTAGGGTTTCTTGGTTTTAGGCGTGTAGGGTCGGCACATACTCCGACATGGACTGAAGATGTTCTTCGCCTCCCATCGCGGCCGGAGGATGTACGGCTTTGGGTTTTCCTACGCGCGGCGGCTGCCTCGGGAGGCTGGTCCCTGCATGCGTGGCATGCCGTGCTGCAGTCGGCGGTTGCGGGGGAAAGCAGGTTTAGAGTCTAGGGTTTAGGGTTTCGGGTTTAGGGTTTAGGGTTTAGGGTTTAGGGTTTAGGGTTTAGGGTTTAGCTGCCCAGACGCGAGCACGTTTGCAGGCACTGGCAACCCGCCTGGAGCGGGACAATGTGCCGCAAAGCCTTTTCCGTGGCCTGGCTCAGCCAAGCCCTTGTCAGCTTTTCCAACCCCAAACCCTAAACCCCAAACCCTAAACCCTAAACCCTAAACCCTAAACCCTAAACCCTAAACCCTAAACCCTAAACCCTAAACCCTAAACCCTAAACCCTAAACCCTAAACCCTAAACCCTAAACCGTGCGTGCCACTTAAGCTACTTGCGATTGCAGGTCGCGAGTTCGATGGCATCATCTATGGGAAGGCCCAAGCTACGCTGTGGAGATGCGTGGTAGGTGGCATTAGGAAAGTCTTCCACCAAGCCCGCGGATGCGTCTAAACCCTAAACCCTAAACCCTAAACCCTAAACCCTGAACCCTGAACCTTGAACCCTAAACCCTAAACCCTAAACCCTAAACCCTAAACCCTATACCCTAAACCCTAAACCCTGAACCCTGAACCCTAAACCCTAAACCCTGAAACCGCCAGGGGGTGATGGAAAGCTCCTCCGGACTCCCTTTTTCCTGCCATGAGGTCGGTCCCAACCAGGCCTGCGATCCTTTGCCCTTCTTCGATGAGGTCCAGGCGGCGGGGTACCCCGGCGAGGCCCGAAAGCACACAGAAAAATGGGGGTTTACGATCTTAGGGGTACCTTGTTGGGGTCTTCATGATAAGGGAATCCTATTATTCGGGGCTCCATATTAGGGGTCCCCCCATTTTCGTAAACCCCCAAATCGCGATCGTCTCGTTCTTCGCCGGCATATCGGAAGCTTGCAGCGCGTGGCCCTCATCTACGGCGGCGACTTTGGGCTGGAGACGAAGTTGCCGGCACCTTAGGGTTTAGCGTTTAGGGTTTAGGGTCAGATCACGCGCAGGGTCGGCAATAAAAAGACACCCCGGAGCCCAACTCTCGCATCAGGGTGGCCCAGCACGCGCGTATCTTCTCCGGCCACGGCGTCATCTTCTTCCGTGAGATGGTGGCTCCCATGGAGGACTTCCACTGGGTGCCGGCCCAGGTCTACCCCAGGGCCTGCCCCCTGCCTGCAGGATTGCTGGGGGAGACTGTGGACTTTCTGTAAGGGTATTCGAGTTATTCCCTGTTGGGCTTGGAAGAAGGAGAAGCAGAAGAAGAAGAAGAAGAAGAAGAAGAAGAAGAAGAAGAAGAAGAAGAAGAAGAAGAAGAAGAAGAAGAAGAAGAAGAAGAAGAAGAAGAAGAAGAAGAAGAAGAAGAAGAAGACGAAGAAGAAGTGAGAGAGAGGAGTGCGCGTTGCATCCAGCCAAGTGCCCGGTTCACTCCGGAAGCTCATGATGGCGCCGAAGCTCGACAGCTGTTCAGTATCCATCATGCGATGTTTGCCTGTGCCGTGCAAGTCCAGGCTATACTGATCCAGTGTGGAAGCAGTTCTTCCACCTGTGGCATCAGCGCTTGGATTGCTGGGGGTGCCCTGAGATCGATGTGCCAGTGCGAGAGCAGCTGTGGGTGACCTGCCCGCAGCCAGGGAGCCGAATGCGCGTTTAACTTGTTGAGATACCTGCAGCCGTGTAGGTTTATAAGTATTAACCGAACAAAACTAACTTCCCGAAACCAAGGGTATCAGACCTCCGAGCTGACTCTGTCGGTGGCAGCTTTAAGCTGTGGGCCCCATACGAAGAGAACCATACCGCGGAGGCCCCAAAAAACACATAGCTTTGGTTCGCCGTCCCATTTCAAAGGATAGCCTTCGTCAAATGGCTGGCGGCCTTCCATGGGTCACAGGCGTGGCGTGTTGTGCTGGGAAGTCCTCTGATGTGTCATGTTACACGTAAAATGGTTTAGGGTTTAGGGTTTAGGTTTAGGGTTTCACGTCACCGGTGCCGTGCATGAAAGACCCCATGGTAGGTGCAGGCGAGCGGCAGGTCTTGGTTCCCTGTTGGAGTGGCTTGGCACTGCTGGCCGTGCCTGTGCTTGCTGGAGACTTGCAAGTGGAGCTGCTCGGTCATGATGCAGGGAGGGTGGGGGCGGTCTGACGAGCTATGACGAGTTGCTGCAGTAAACCCCTGATCCCTAAAACCCCCCCCTTTGACCCTCAAACTGCAGAATGGTGAGCTCTTGCCCTAAAATTTTGGGAATACGTACGCTGTTATGGAGACCCCAAGACCAAATCTGGGGTACGCATTTTTCTTCGGGGAGCTACGATTGGGAAACGTACCTTCCGAGAACTAGTGCTAAATTTTGGGAAGGCCCTTTTCCCCGCAGTTGCGGTCTCGCCCTCAAATGGCCCAAAATCCCTTTTGAGGAAGCCATCGGCCGACGAGCTCGGACAAAGATGCGGCTTCTTCTACTTGCAGCTGCGCAAGGTGGGTCAGGGTTTCATGTTTAGGGTTTAGGGCTCAGGAACCGAACCCGAGGACTCACACCCAAAGCCACACTCAATATCCCTGCAAACCCCGATTGCTGCCAAAGGCCAAACGTCCACGCGCAAACCGTGTGACATCTTATGACCCCTGAACCCCAAGCCCTAAACCCCAATCCACCCTCCGCCCCGGCCTGGACACGCTTGCACTGGAAGTGTAGGGTTTAGGGTTTAGGGTTTTGGGGTTTAGGGGGTCAGGTTTGAAATCACAACTACTTCGAAGAGCTGCAGGCATCAAGGATTCAGATGTCTCTGTCGCAATGGGCAATCTGCAGGGCGCCAGTTCTCTCATCCCAAAGGCTCAAACAATCGGGACACACCCGAGTGGCATGTGCGAACGGCCCCACGCATCATGCATACACCCCAGGATATTCATGAACATAGGGTCAAGCACACCAAATATCACCAAATCAATCGATGTGGATGGCTGCTGAGATTTTTTGGCAAGACTTCAACTCAGAGTACTTACTTCTAGTATCTACTGTCCCTTGCTTGCATGCGCATGGCAACCGTAAATACAAAGACACATCTACACCTGACAAAACAAGCAATGGCCTGGCAGGCCCGGTGGCGTCTGGTCTTTCGAAAGTGGCGCCGAGGCCTTTTTTTCGGGGCCTCCAAGGCTTTGAGGGATGTCTGGCTCTGGAGGTTCGGATCTTTAGGTTTAGGGTTGCTGTCGGATGCTGGTTGCCACCTGTGTGGCCTCTGCTGCACCGAAACCATCAGAGCCCAAAGTCTCCCACTTTAACAAGCCCTTTAAAACAAGCAAACCCCTAATGCCATCGTTGTGCCCAACATGTTAATGTCCACCAGAGGTGCCTGAGGTTCTTTCTTTTTCTGCCAGCTGATCAGGGTTTAGGGTTTAGGGTTTAGGGTTTAGGGTTTAGGTTCAGCATCTCTGGTCCAAGCATTCACTAAGGGTTTTTGTCATCACCCTACGTGTTTGGCATCACCCCTCCCAGATCCCTTTTCATCTGAATTACATATCTTCTTTCTTACTTTAGTTGATCATTTAGCTCGCAACATTCTTTCTCGATTCGGCACCGTCTAGTCAATTCGGCACACGGATAATACACAGCCGCATCGGTTTTCTGGGTTTTTTGACCAAAACCGAGCCTTCACCGGTTTCAGGATTTCCAGTTTTTCAAGGTTTTTCAAGGTTTTTCAAGGTTTTTCAGAGTTTCAGTGTTTTTTTAAGGTTTTTCAATGTTTTTCAGGGTGTTTCAGGGTTTTTAAGCCTCAGTTCTGATGAAGGGCCGCCCCTGCGACCTTTTCACAGCCTAGTTTTGGTCAAGGGGGGGTGGTATTTTTCAATTTTAAATGCAAAATAGTCTTCGGAGACCCCCCTTGCCGCAAACTCCGACCCCCCCTTGAGAGCGGGTTCCTATTAAAATGCGATTTTTTAGTACCGAAATCGACGGTCCTGGGTGGGCTCTCGTTTTCTGGATTTTGATCAAACACTGAGCCTTCACCGGTTTCAGGATTTTCAAGTTTGTCAAGGTTTTTCAAGGTTTTCAGAGTTTTTCAATGTTTTTTTTAAGGTTTTTCAATGTTTTTCAGGGTGTTTCAGGGTTTTTAAGCCTCAGTTCTGAGAGGGAAAGTTTGCCTCCAAAAACACCCCAAATCGGCCCGGGTCCCTATTAAAAATGCGATTTTTTAGTACTGAAATCGACGGTTCTCGTTGGGCTCTCGTTGTCTGGATTTTTTGACCAAAACGGCCCCTCCCAGCCAAGAGGAACCAAGTGCCTGGGAGGCCCCAGAGAGGCCCCTGAACCCTAAATCCTGAATCCTAAATCCTAAATCCTAAATCCTAAATCCTAAATCCTAAATCCTAAACCCTAAACGACCAAACCGGGAGCACGGCCCCATTAAGGTTTAAATATACATAGGTAGAGAGGGTTCAGGGTTTAGGGTTTAGGGTCCCAATCGGCGTTCTGATTCGAGTAGAACTTAGCAGAATGTTGTTAAGAAAAAGGTTTTGCTATCGAAGATCTAAACGTGGAGAGGAGTTGGAATGACAACGGACATATCACTGTGGTGCGACGGAAGTCAGTGAACTAGACCCTAAACCGTAAACCCTAAACCGTAAACCGTAAACCCTAAACATAAAACCTAAACCCTAAACCCTAAACCCAAACCCTTAACATCGAAAAAGGATCTAAACAGCAGAGGGCAAGCCCACGCTTTCAAACAAAAGGCCGCGAATCGACGAATGTCATCCAAGTCTCGGGGTGAAACTGTTCTCAATCAAGGAATGCAGTGTTTCTTTGAATGAATTACAAGACACCGTGTTGCAAATAATTTACACATGAACAACTGCATACTGCGTGGCAATGATCTGAAGGATTGCTAACACCACATTGGGTTTATGCTTGTACTAATGTTAATGATGAAATCTCAATGCTGTGATTTTTTGCGTTTGTTGAAGCTTTCAAAATCTTTGCATTTCAGGTTTTTGTTAGAAGCTCAAAAGTTTCATTGTTTAACTTATCAAAGCTTGACAGCTCTCCACTGTCCCGGGCCCGGTAACTGTAGCAACTTAAGCTTTAGAAAAAAACGCCCTCAATGAAAATTAGCAACATGTTAAAGTTTCACATAAAATTCGAGACGTAGGAATTTAAAATCTTCCTGAGTCACACTGGTCCAGGAAGTTTACAATTTAAAAGAATCAAAAGCATGTCCTTAACAGCAGCGTTTTTCAAATTCTTCTGTTTTAGAATCACACAACTGTCTTTAAGGAATCAACAAATTTCTGTATTTATGTTGCTCTTATCATTCTCTTCATAATGTTCTTGGATTTCATGAACCACAGTGCATTCCCGCTATCATTGCAGCACCATGACCATGATTCCTTTGACTCCAATCTGAATTCGATTGAATTCTCAGATCCGCAATTTGAGTGATTAGTTGTCAATCAACGAATTCGTCCTGCTTTGGCTGGCCCCCATCAAGCCCTAAACCCTAAACCCTAAACCCTAAACCCTAAACCCCAAAGCCAAAAGCCCTAAACCCCGAATGTTCCCGCCAGGCGCCGAAGCATTTCGCGAGGCGTTCGGCGTCAGCCTACGGGAGGTCCGGGTGTTTGTGGACTCCGCTTGCCGTGGGTCAGGCGGGTTCAGGGCTCTGAGTCAATGGTTCTGGGTTCGGTCCAGGGTTTAGTTTTTAGAAATTTGACTTTAAGGGTTGCTCCGCACCTTCAGTGTGGAGTTGTTGGCTTTCGACACAAGCATTCTCCCGGAGTGCCCCCAGACTGGAGTGCTCTAGAGACTCCTGCAGAGCATCCCTGCGGAGTGGCCCGCCCGCCCTCGGATCCGCGGGGTCACCGACCGAAAATCCTGCAGAGAACCCCGCAGAGTAGCCCTAGAGCCCCAGAGAATCCCGCAGAGAGTGAGGAGAATCCAGAGAATTGCCCAAGAATCCTGCAAGGTCCAGCCAGACATTCCAGCACCACATTCCACAGAGTATCTACACACATATGAGCGTTTATCTAATGGTCCTCGTGTGGCATTTAGTAGGCAGCGGCCCACACGACGTTGAGATATGCCTCTGCGAAAGATCCGCGTTGGGATTGCGAAAATATTATTTCGCGAAAGTTCTTACATAGCCCAGGTCTTGTTCTGTGTTGCCAGCAGATTCCAGTCTTTCAGTTTCCTGCTAGACTGCCCGGATGGCTCCGAAATCCTCGCAGAGTCAGTTCTCAGGGCTGGATATTTGGCGAAAGTTCCGCGAAAGCCCCGCATAAGGGATTCATATCGCTGAAATAATGAAGCCAATCCATTGCAGAAGGAACTGCAAGGCCCTGTATGGTTCTGGACTTGAACCCTAAGCCTGCAACCCTGGACCCTAAACCCCAAACCCCAACCCTTAAGGCTCAAATTTGCTTGTTGAAGCTTAAGGAACTAGACCTTGATCTGGGCTAATAGCATAAACCTGCACCGCGATGGGTTTGCGAACGTTTTGCGAACGTGTTTTTTGTGAGGACGGTTCTTTCGGGATGAAAGAATGTAGATCACAGCTCATATATATGTACATACACATGGGCAAAAGCTTGCAGACGGCGGCCTCTTTGACGCGCGCTTCTGGAATGAAGCAAGGCTGCCGCTGTCAGAGCTCCGGACAACAAAAGCAGTTCTCAAAAAGCTTTTCGACTGGGGTTTACAGTGCCTGGAGGTTGATTGATGGGTTCTTCGTCTTTTGCGCTTGCATGCTGTTTGTTGGCTCGCATTGTCCCTTGGCTTGGCGAAAGTCACAACGTGATTTGCCAGCGACATAGCTCCCAGTGTCGACTGTATGGATGTCGTGCAGTAATCTAACGCTTGTGAATCAGATGGCTTCGTCCACAGCGCTCCCCCAGGCCAGTACTAGGCGCACTCTCCCCAGCTTGGGTGCGGAGGTCAGAACAGACCCCAGGTATTCGGCGACATTCGGCGCGATTCGGCGAGATGTCGCCGTCAGCAGTTGAACAAACGACTGCGTCCCCAACGGTCAGCAAGCCAAAAGGTTCCCTGCACAGACCAGACAAGAGAAGAAGCCCTCCAGCACAGGCAACATACAACACGCACACGCACGCACCCCGAAAGCCAAGCTAACTATCGGCTTGGGAGCTTGTCTGGCTGTCTCTAAATAGGGAATGAGGGAACGAGGTGCTCTATGTAATCCCTTCAGGTTGATATATATATATATATATACATGGCCCCGAATTCCCTCATTCCCTACTAAGAGCCAGCGGGTGGTTACGGCAGAAAGGGGGATGTTCAAGATGACGGACCTGCGATGAGGCCGGGGCCTGGCAGACTTCGTGATGTCGGTGGTGGGGGATTCCCGAAATTAGGGGTACCTTATTGGGGTACCTTATTGGGGTCCTTATTATAAGGGAATCTCAGGGAAAGACCGTGAAAAAAAACCGAGCCTTGCTACATGCAAGCACGTCCTTCATGCAGTTTGCGTGCTTCATGCAGTTTGCGCGCGTTTTATATCACAAGCGGGACATGTGAGTCTTAGCCCCGCGCCTTGCGTGCGCATGTCGTCAAACCTTCAAATCATCCGAGTATGCTGAGGCCATGTGCTTCAAGCGTCAGGCTTGCAGCCGCGTTGTCCCGCAGCTTTGACTTTAAATGGCCCACAGCCATATTCATCTGGGTCAAGTAGGCAAACGCTGTAAGGTGCACATCCCCTGACCAACAAAACGTACTTGCTCCAAACCTGTGCCACAAATACCCCAGCACCACCAGAACGGCTAAAACCTCACCCCCTTTCTAGGCCACGGCGTGTCTGATCTCAGCATTCCCTCACCGCTCCGACTTGAGCGGAGCCGAGCAGGGTTCATGGCGGGTGAAGAGCCCCTGCCCTTGAAGGCAGGGCTTGGAGGGCGGGTTTCTTGAAGCTTCCCCCCCCCCACAATTGGGGGTTTCCAAACATAGGCATAGGGCTATTCGGGAGTTCGCACTGTGAGGGTTCTGGTATCTTTGAAGGGGGGTCCTCTCATCTGGGAGATGCCCACCTTGCGAGATGTGTCGGCTCCAGAAGCGATGGCTCGTGTTCAGTTCCCTGCTGGCGTAAAGCTTTCCCGATACCGCTTCGCATGAACGTTTCCATGGTCCACGTCCGTGTTTCTCTGCAGGTGCTTCCAGGCTTTTTGCGCAGCATGTCGCAAACCTCATATCGCCTGCACCTTAATCGCCAGCTGCATGGGCTGAGACAATGGTGCGCCAACGTTCGTTCAACTCTAGCAGCAGGCGTGCAATATCAGCCGCGACCGTGCAACATGTCCCGCAACTGCCGCGGCCAGACTCGAGGCGAAGATTTCTGCCTGCGTCCGGCGCTGCAGCTGCAAGTCAAAGGCGGCTCAGGCTCATAGCCCCCCCCCCCCCCCAGGGCTGTTCGTTCTTCCCTAAAGTTTCTAAACCCTAAACCCTAAACCCTAAACCCTAAACTCTAAACCCTAAACCCCAAACCCTAAAGTTTCTGCTAGGGCAGTAGCAGTGGCCGGTGTTCAGCCTGCATTGTGCAGGCCTCGTCAGCCAGGCCATGATCGAGCCAATGTGGGGGACTCTCTGCATCGTGCTGGGCGGGGAATCTCTGTTGTCTAATTTGTCTAGGTAGGCCCTTGGGATATTTTATATTTTCCCTTATTGGGTGTAAAAGGATCATATTTAGGAAGATTTTTCGGAGGGTTTAAGGGGCCATCCTAGTTGTATATAGTATGGGGGCACCTTTGGGGGCAAAAGGTTTTGCAGCAACCGTGTGAGGAACGCAAAAACCCAACACGAACTGCCCTGAACCCGAAACCCCACAAACCCCAAACCCCAAACCCTAAACCCTAAACCTGTTCACCTCCAAGTAAGAGGTGTCAAGGTTTCGTGATACGAGGGTTGCTGGTCGTAGGCATCTGCACTTCTAAGGCATGGTATGGAGCCAGCGGGGAGCCCGGAGGCCAGATTGAGCAACGCATGGCAGGTTTAGGGTTTAGGGTTTAGGGTTTAGGGTTTAGGGTTTAGGGTTCAGGGTTCAGGGTTCAGGGTTCAGGGTTCAGGGTTCAGGGTTCAGGATTCAGGGTTTAGGAGGAGGCTGCATGTGCCTACCGTCCCTTTTTTCTCTGTGGCCAGGCTGAGGAGCAGGAGGAGGAGCTGAACTTCTCCAGCCCTCGCACGCCTTTCCTTGGTCGCAAGGTCCCTCTGTGCCAGGCTTACGGAGAACTTGCACCAATGCCTTCTTGCCTACAGCAGCAGTGAAAGTGCGGGCGGACGGAGCTTTGAGACGAGTCGCTGGAACCCAAGGCAGAGCACCTACAACGCCTTCTGCGTAGATCGCGGGTCGCTCATCGCCACCCCGCCGCCACCAAAGCGAAACAAGAGGCCGGGCCCGCCACGTCAATCCCCGATGTTTGGTGTTTGGGAGGGCTTTGGCAGCTGCAACTCTCCAAGCTTTTCGTGACCCGGTTCGTGCTTGAGAAGCGCTTGGGGGCTTCTTGGGGCACACTTGCGGCGGCTGAGTCAGCCTCAGCGACCCCAAACTTGAGCTCTGGCGAGGAATCGATCTCAAGTTCCCTTGGGGGCATTGCAGGCGAGCTCCGTTATCAAGGCCGTGAGATGCCCCCGCACTGGGCTAGAGGGTTGGGAGAATGACGGATGAAGATGAGCAACAAACATGGTACGCAAACTCGGCTACACCCAGAGACTCCAAAACCCCTTAATTAAGGAATATACCTTAAATCATATTAGGGTTCCAACTATAATTTAAGGTATATTGAGGGGTTTTGGAGTCTCTGGGCAGGGCCCAGGATGGCTGTGCGGACACCAGAACTTGCTGCCGTCGCTCAGTGAGACAGGCCCCGCCAGTGCAGCTGCCGCTTGACACCCAAGGCGGAGCTGGAGGTCGGGGGACCCCAGTCTAGTGCTGGACTTGCACTTGCTTCAAGCAGATTCCTGCAACACGACGGACTTTTTAAGCCGCATCTGCGGCAGGAAAAAGTTTGTGGTGTTGTTTGAGCCCGATATGTGTGCTGTCCGACATGGCCTGGACAGAACCTGTGCAGGTGAACCAAGCGGCCATGGAGGTCTCTCGGATGAGGCTGCGACATTAGCGGGAGGTTTGGCTTGACTCCTGACGACATTCGCTGCACAAGTCACATCAGCCAGCATGGCGATTTTCATTTTCTTCTTGCGCACAGCAAGAGATGTGTCCAGGCACGAAGAGAGATCCTGCTCCGCAACAAGGTGATGTACATGGAGACACATCCCGCAAGCATGGGCCCGAGGGCAGCCGTGTTTGCCTGAGAGTTTTGCTGAGTAAACAGACCCTCCCAGGAAAGGAGAACGTAAAGGCCTTGCTCAAGCAAGGCCAGGGTCCGCAATGCTACGTCGCACCCCGCGCGCCGTGTGAGTGCGTGCGTGCGTGCGTGCGCGGACGCGCGCCAGAGCGGGGTGTGTGTTTATAGAGCAGTCCCCTGCGTCTTGTGCAGGCTGGAAAGTGCCTCGAAAAACGGTCATGAGAGACGACTTCACGACCTACGTGCACGGCAGGAGCACTCCTTAAAAGTGTTGGCCTTTTTGGCTTTTGGCAGCTTGTGATTCTAAACCCTAAACCCTAAACGCTAAACCCTAAACCCTAAACCCTAAACCCTAAACCCTAGACCCTAATCCCTAGACCCTCGACCCTAGACCCTAGACCCTAAACCCTAAGCCGCTGCTCCGGGGTCTGAAGAGCTCACGGCAAGACCTGGTTTGCTTTGGGGATCTGAGCTGAGACGGTCCTACACTCATCAACGCAGTGTTCTCCGTGGGCCCTCTTTTTTTCTCTCCGGTGGTTGTTGGAGCTCTTGTTGCAGAGAGCAAGGAACCATGGAGAACTCCCCGCTTGTGGCTCAAGATCTGCCAGGAGCGTCGAAAAGAGGCTTGGGGGAAGAAGGCACGGAAGTTCACATTTTATCTCAACAAGCATTGTGTGTTCCATGGGGAGGCGAGGGTAGAAGTGTTCTTTCGAGGTTTATGGGTAGACGTACACAGGAAGTACTGCAAGCAGGCTTGCAAGGACAGGCATCTCAAGGTGCCGTTTTCTCATCTACTTAGAAGTTAGAAGACGAAGCTTACTGCGATTGGTAGCATCCGCCTTGTTGTCGCAAAGCTCTTGCAAACTGGACGGCTCCCTGAAGCTACTTCCCCATCGGCGAGAAGAATTGGCACGCATCCAGATCCGATGCTGCCTTCGAGAAGGGCGTGCATAAGTGGCCGAGGCACCTTGCCTGTTCAACTGGGATGTTTCCCCTCAGATTAACAGCTTCTTAATAGGGATTATAGTACCCCCCTACGAGAATCCTATCATGGAGCTGTTAGTATAAGGGGGAACGTCCCAAGGTGTTACGTCTTTGCACCGTTTGGTGAGGGTCTGGGGTGCATGTTGCGGCCTGGCCTTTGCCAGGCAGCCGCTGCACGGCGCCATCAACAGCCCGCTTCAGAGATGCCAGACGGCCCCAGGAAGGCTGGGGCCAGTTTAGGGTTTAGGGTTTAGGGTTTAGGGTTTAGGGTTTAGGGTTAAGGGTTTAGGGTCTAGGGTCTAGGGTTCTGCGTGCTGCAAACATGCCCTTCGCATGCCCCGGTTCCTCTGCTGGATGCCTCCCGGCCAGTCTGAAGTCGATGGGCACACCTTACGGCGAAGGCAAGTTGCAAGCCGGTTTGTTGGCCTTAGGGCTGTTTAGGGTTTAGGGTTTAGGGTTTAGGGTTTAGGGTTTAGGGTTTAGGGTTTAGGGTTTAGGGTTTAGGGTTTAGGGTTTAGGGTTTAGGCCTACTTGGAGGTTCATGGTACTTATTAACTGCTTATAACTGTACATATAACCATATTCGGGCACTTTTTAGGGCCTTACAAGTGGGCTTATGAGTACAGTTATGGTTTTTAAGTACCATGAACCTCCAAGTAGGGGCTAGGAGTTTCGCCTCGCAGGCCCGTCATGGCTTCTCGGCAAGCCGTGGCGAAGCTTGGATGGAACCCTGCACGAAGTTGGCTGACCAGGACAGTCCCTGAAATCTGGCCCCAAACATGCGCAGAGCGTCGACGGATCCCGGATGTTCTTCTGTGGGAGAGCTCTCGTGCCAAGATCCTCAGGGGACTGCGCTCGAAGCCCTACACCCTGCACCCAGTTAGGCCCGCTGGATCCCAAACCCACAAAGAGAGTGCTCCCTCGAAGCCCTGTGAGGAGCGAGTTTGGCCTTCTGGGGTTGAGGGACCGTCAACGCCCAGACGAAACTTTGAGCAGCTCCCTACTTGGGCGGGTAGCACTCTAATGCGTTCAAGGGAACCTTCGAGATTTGTTTTCCAACTGCATGGGTCGACCGTTCCACGCTGGCTTTCGGTGCGCTCGCGAGCACTGGCAAGCATGAAGTGCAGCTCCCGATCGTGATAAATTGGTGATGCCTTGTGAAGCGGTCTACATGCATCCGGTTCAGGTTGAGATACCTGAACCGGGTTTAGGGTTTAGGGTTTAGGACGTTCAGGACTCAGCAGATCTCTGAGCCCAACGTTTCGCGCAGGGGCGCCTTGCGCTCGTTCTGATCGCCGCAAGCCGCAAGACTAACTTGCAGCAGGCGTCGTGCAGGGAAGGCAGCTCATCATGCCAGTTTGTGAGGGTTTAGGGTTTAGGGTTTAGGGTTTAGGGTTTAGGGTTTAGGGCCAGCACCGTTCTCAGACCTTGGCTGCCTTGTCCCTGAGTCTTCGTTTTCTTAGCGCCGTTTAGCGAAGCTCAAGAGCAAAGGTGATTTTGGGCTTTGGACTTCGTGAGCATCCAAGATGCTCACGTGCATTATAGCTTCTTAGTAGCTTACATTAGCTCCTTAGTGCCTCTGTCTTCCACAGATGTGGACACGGACAGCGGCTTCCTCGTCGGCGTCGCCGCAGCAAAGGGAAGAGACGTGACAAGGCCAAGGTAGGCTGGCGGCGCGGCACTATGCGACCCCAAATATTCAAAGTGCTGGCAGCTATACATTGTCCCGCTCCGCGGTAAGCTGCTCCTTTTTCCGGCCCTTGCCCCCCCCCGCTATACAGACTCCTCAGGCCAAGTGGGATTGGGGCAAAGCGGGTGCCGTGCGTTTCCTTTCCGAGATGCAGGCGTGCGACTTTCCCTTTCCGCCATGGCTCTGGAGCTGCAGTGCGCCGTCTGAGTTGGGAGGGTTATAGGCCGTGTGGGTCGCAGTATGGCGCAGCATGCAGATGCCTGCCAGCCGCTGTGGATCATCGCGTGCAGAACATGCTAAAAAGAGCACGGGCAAGGTACAAGTTCACCTTCATTGATGTGGATGAGCACGATCCATCGGAGGGGCAGCGGCACGTGGCCTCCTGAGCTGCCTGTCCTGACCTTGCTGGTCACTTGGGCACGTTTGCACACTGAGGCACGTTGCCAAAGCTCCCCTCCAAGTGTTGGCCGCCGTTCTGCAACGGACATGGGCATGGAAGTGCACGACGAGGACTGCGGGAGGGCGGTGTTCATCCTGGATATACCTCAGTACTCCAGATCGTGCACGGGGACGCAGACCTTGCGTGGGGCCGTAGGCTCGCATTGGCTTACATACGCTCACGTGATGCTGCTGCAAGGAGAATGCCATGCGTGGATACGTGGACATGCTGAAGCAGAAGCAAGGAGAAACGAACTTCGCTCGTGCGCTCAGCCAGAAGGCGCCTGGCAAGATTTGCAGCTTGAGCCTTGGGGGCCAGATGTGGGTCGAAACTACCACACTTGCCCTACAGTGCCTTAGCGCTGGAACATGTTCAAAGACCATAAGCGACTCGAGGTGCCTTTACCCCAAGCCCTGCCTTACTACAGGTACACGAGGGCTGGGGCTCGGTTCAGTTCTCCGGGTCAGACCAATCGGCTCAGCCAAAGGGAGTCAGACTCCGGACCCCTGTCCTGCTGGGCTAATCGTTTGAATCGGATCCCCTGCTTGCCACACTCACTCACCCCAGGCCCGAATCGCATCCAGCATCGCAGGTCTCAAATCCGTTTGATCCAGGTCGTGCAGAAGTACATGACTACTAGCAGCAGATTGCAGGCTCCGAGGCATGCGAAGCAAGGAAGCCTGCAACAGATCGACGGCCGTGTCACGGCACGCTCTGTGCATGACGCAGCCCACTATCGGCGTCCCTCAGTTCGCGATGTGGAAATATATTGAGAGGCAGGTTGTAAACGCCTTGGACGTGTATTCTTTGTCCTGCTATCACAGATCATACTAGATCTCTCACAGATCAGAGGATGATCCGATGCGGGCATTCTTAAGCCCGAACCTCGTAGACCACCGAACCGATACAGAGCTCCGATTCGGCACCCCGTTGATCTGTTTCGGCCGGGCTGCCATCCAACAAGCATGAGCCGATGAGTGGCATGCAGATTCTTCGGACGAGCGGGGTCTCTGCGGCTTTGTTTTCCGGCAGATGATTGTAACGCAGCTTTCTCCTCGCCAGGTTTCCTGCACTCCTCGACCCCTCGCCTGTGTCATCCGTGCCCGGGTCTCCAACCCCAGAGAAATAATCGGGCAGAATGTCCCTGGAGCGTCCTCCAAAGCACCCCCCTTCCCTCCCACCCCCCCACCCCCCCCCCACCCCCCCACCCCCCCCCCCCCCACCCGCCACCCCACCCCCCCCCCCCCCCCACCCCCCCCCACCCCGCCACCCGCCCCCGCACACACCCCCCCCCCCCCACCCACCGTTATGGAGCACCTTTCGAGAAGCCCGCAGAGTATCCCGAGAGCGGCAAGTTGATCCCCGGTCCGACAGTGCCCATCAAACGGACCCCATCAAACTCAGTCAGGCCAGTTTTAGGGTGAGGACTCTCGGTCTGAATGTCCCATGGTGTCATCTTGTTTGGTGCGAGTGCAGGGCACCTGTTCTTTCTCTGTTCCGGCTGCTTGGCGCCCTTTAAACCGACCTCCAAAACGTGGGAAACTGTAGCAGATCACCCGCAGCAACAGCGCAAACACCTGTCTTTTAGCCTGCTTCTCGCGTCGGACTTACGTGACACCACCTTGCTGCCAGGCGCACGGCCCTTTTGGCATTGACCTCGATGCGAGCCCGGCATCCACGGCCCCAGGAAGTGCAGGCAGCGGGACCAGAATGGAAGAGATAAACCCTAAACCCTAAACCCTAAACCCTAAACCCTAAACCCTAAACCCAAAACCCTAAACCCTAAACCCTAAACCCTAAACCCTAAACCCTAAACCCACATCCCAGTTCTTGTTCCCGACGCGGGCTTTCATGACCAGGTGCCTGGAGCCCCGGGCAGTCCACCGATGCAGATGACAGCCCTGTCAGCTTCATGGAAGGTTCATGGGAAGCTATTGGGAGCAGTTGTCCCCCTGGCTCTTGGTGGGGAATGAGGGAGTCAGGGCCCTATATATATACCGTACCCTTTAAAGGATTATGTAGGGTACCTCATTCCCTCATTCCCTACCAAGAACCAGCCAGCTGTCTTTCATGCGAGCTCCCCTGCCCGTCCCCATGCCTCGGCTGCAGGAAGCCCATGCAGCGGTTCGCCTGATGGGCGTGTGGCTGCACTGGAGCTGCTTCCAAGCCATGGCAGCCTGGGGCACCCCGAGGCCGTGTGCGTCTTCACCCAGTCTGCCGTGCATCCGTGTGCTGCCGGCAGGTCTGCCGCCGCCCGTGCATCTACTTCTCGGCTGGGCATTGCGAAAACGGGAACGCCTGTGCCTATTGCCACCTCCCCCACATGGATGCCTGGCAGCGTGAGTTAGTTTCGGTTTCAGGGAGTGAGAAAGTGGATTGCAGATGGGGTGCATTGCAGTTTTGCTTGTTTGCGCCGAGATTGTCGAGAAGTGTGGCGCTTACCAATCTGTCTTATCTGTTCTATAGCCAAGCATGTCCGTTTTCGGGGTGCTGTCTTTGAGGGCCGTTTTGTTAAAACAGGGGGCACGCGCTGGATGGCTCAGACTCAGCGCCCAGCTCCATCCCCCCCCAAAGACAGCATTCTACCAGGGAGCTGTCGGGAGTCAAGCTCCGGAAACGATGTTTGTGCCGGGGCATTGACCCTGATGTTTCTGCTTAGGGTTTGTAGCTTCAGAGAAGAGCTGTTAGAGCCGAGGAGAAGCCTCCGAAGCTTGACAAGAGGCAGCGAACCATCATCCAGGTGGCTGGACAGACTTATCAACCTGGCAATTCCCGAGTGCCCCGCTCTTCGCCAGGGGCTCAGCCGCCAAGAGCTGATGGCGCTGGTCCTCGAATTCTGCCGCACGAAAGCTGAACAGGCCGGAGGGGTTTTGGGGTTCACGCTTCAGAGTTTCGGTTTGCAGCACGAAGCCCGTCCTAGACACATCCCCCTCCACCTGCCCTCCGCCAGGTGGGTTTTGTGGAGGAGGTCTCTGAGGTACTGGAGTTGCTGGAGGCGCTAGACTTGGATAAACCACCTCGCCAACTGCCACATGTTGTCGTTTTTTTAATCGGGATGAAAGTATCCCCTATTCTCATCCCTATTCAGGACTGCTAGTATAAATGGGAACATCCCAGGTTTAAGCAGTTTACGAACGACCGCGGGGTTTCCGTGCGACAGGCGGAGTCCTGCAGCACACGGGCATTTGCAGCAACCATGTCGGACCGGGACGCCAACTCAGCCCTGGAGTCGAACAACCTTTTTTTTTTTTTTTTTTTTTTGGGAATTTGGCCCAAAAACCCCAAGACCTCCCTAAGCCCAGGATATCCGGAACCTGAACAAGACCATGTCGCGCATGAACTTCTCCAACTTGATCGGCTCCTCGAGTTGAACCTCATGTCAGTCCGAGTATTGCGAGGCATGCAGCGCGCCACGTGCGACTAAGTAGCCAGAGGTAGTGAGGTGATCTCGAAGTAAGCAAGTTCAGCGTTGACGGTTGACGTGCTTCCTAGATGCATCTCAGACAACTTTCGGAGATGCAGAACTGCAACTACAACGGCCAAATGGCCCAGGCAAAAGTGCTGAGCATAAACAGTCTACGAAGTGGAAAGAGAAAGCTTGTCTCAGAGTTGGTACAATTTGGGAGCATGTTGGCTGGTTACCTCCTGCATTCCTCGATGGATGGGCGTCTGGTTGTACAGATCCGGCTCAGCCCGCGTGCATGCAATCAACTGCCAGTTACTCAACCTGCCCACAGTCACACCGTCGTTGCTTGAACAAGGCAACAGACCCTGGCCCCGAGAAAGTCGAGCTCGCCACTAGAGCTTAGTCTTCCCCTCCTCAGACACCCAACATCCCTAGACCCTAAACCCCAAACCCCAAACCCTCAACCCTAAACCCTAAACCCTAAACCCTAAACCCTAAACCCTAAACCCTAAACCCTAAACCCTAAACCTGAACCCCGAAAGCCGAAATCCGTTGAGGATTGGTGACGCACCAGACGCCGAGCCGACCCTTCAATGCCTCCGAGAGCTCCGAACGCCTGACTGTGGCGCTGGAGAGGCCAGGAGTTCGCCGGGGGTTTGCGAATAATGTGGGTTTAGGGTTTAGGGTTTAGGGTTTAGGGTTTAGGGTCTAGGGTTTAGGGTTTAGGGTCTAGGGTTTAGGGTTTCGGGTCTAGGGTTTAGAGGAAGTAGGGGACCCCTAAAGGAGACCCCACATAGCAGGATCCCCTGATATTTAAGGACCCCAACAAAATAAGCCCCCAGCTCATGGTGGTGTTCGGGTCGGAGGTTCTAAGAGGCCCTAAACCCTAAACCCTAAACCCTAAACCCTAAACCCTAAACCCTAAACCCTAACCCCTCAACCCTAAACCCTAAACCCTAAACCCTAAACCCTAAACCCTAAACCCTAAACCCTAAACCCTAAACCCTAAACCCTAAACCCTAAACCCTAAACCCTAAACCCTAAACCCTAAACCCTAAACCCTAAACCCTAAACCCTAAACCCAAACCCTTACTGCCCAAACTCTTCGAGGCGTTCCCCCGGCTCTTGCGAGCCCAGACCCAAAGTTCCAGCATCAGCTCTGAGGGACATTGCGGAAGCGCGCCTGCGTGGTCTCTTAGGGTTTAGGGTTTGGGGTTTAGGGTTTGGGGTTTAGGGTTTGGGGTTTAGGGCGACAGGAAGATGTCCCTGTCCGTTGCATGTCTCTTTTCCCAAAATTGCCGCTGCCCCGAAGGCTCCGGATGTGCTTCCTCCCGGAGCCCATGAACGAGCAAGTCGCGAGGTGAGATCCATGAGACAGTGGCCTCTAGGCTCCGAAACCTAGACCCTAAACCCTAAACCCTAAACCCTAAACCCTAAATCCTAAACCCTAAATCCTAAACCCTAAACCCTAAACCCTGAACCCTAAACCCTAAACCCTAAACCCCTGGAATTGCGGGGCTTATGCAAGCTTGGCACCGGCTTTTGCTTACAAAGTACGACTCTCTTCCACCGACGTCAAGTCCGGTGTAAGGGAACCCCTAAATCCTAAATCCTAAACCCTAAACCCTAAACCCTAAACCCTAAACCCTAAACCCTAAACCTGAACCCTATAGACCGTCTCGGGATCACGCAAGCGCTGCCGAGGCTAAATCGCACATCGTCTGAGCGTGCGGAAGTCTTGCGGGGGGGTGCAGCCCCCGAGCTTTCACGAGCACTCCGAGTGCATGTGGGAGTTGTTTCTTCAAAATGTCAGGGCCTTTGGTGTATGTATTTTATAGTCGGACTCCCTAGATGCTCTCCCAAAAGGGACCCGACGTGCATTTCAGTCGCACCTCTACCACACTCCACTCCACTATCCTGTTCTATGCTTTCAGAAGACTGTTTTTGAGGAGTTCAAGGCCTTTGGGAAACTTTACTTGAGACGGCCACGTACTTGCCTGGACCCTGTGGGTTGACGAGCAAAGAAGTTTGAAACGTGGTCTCAGCTTTTCGATGGCAGCGCCAGCCAGAAAGCAGGTAACCATGTCAACGGCACAAGCTGTGTGGCCAACGTCCATGTGACGACATCGCCTGCATAAGGCTGAGCAGACTGTGAACAGACAACCCTAAACCCTAAACCCTAAATCCTAAGCCCTAAACCCTAAACCCTAAACCCTACACCCTAAACTCTTTAAAAGCGGGCAAGTGGCCCATCGGCAGCTTCCCAGAATCCTGCAGAATTTTTGAAGTGAGGCACCAATGACTCACTACTTCACCTGAACTGTTCGGGTTTAGGGTTTAGGGTTTAGGTTTAGGGTTTAGGGTTTAGGGTTTAGGGTTTAGGGTTTAGGGTTTAGGGTTCACGGTTTAGGGTTTAGGGTTTAGGGGAAGTCTGCAATCTTTCGCTCATGCGCGTCCGCCGTGAGCCACAATACTTGGAGGTTCAGGGTGCTTAAGTATAACTGTACTAACAAGCTCCCTACTTCCCCTCAGTAGGTTACAAGTAGACTTGTAATTGGGGTTAGAATCCCAAACCCCAAACCCCAAACCCCAAACCCCAAACCCCAAACCCCAACCCCCAACCCTCAAACCTTAAACCCCAAACCCCAACCCTAAACCCGAAACCCTGAACTCGAATTGGGTTCATACGTAGACTTATAATTGGGATGATGAGTCGCCCTGAGCCTCCGAGTGCCTCACAGTCATCCCATGGTGCCGGGAAGCGCACGAGCAAGCCTCTGCTTGGCCTTAATCATGTGGGTTTAGGGTTTAGGGTTTAGGGTTTAGGGTTTAGGGTTTAGGGTTTAGGGTTTAGGGTTTAGGGTTTGCGAAAATAGGGGACCCCTGAAATAGACCCCCAAATAGTAGGATTCCCTTAGAAGAAGGATCTTAATAAGGTACCTGATTTGGGAATTCCATGTCAGATCACTGCTGACAGTTTGACTTGCATGTGGCAGGGTAGTTGCCGTTTGCTGGAAGGGGCTTCATTGATGAGGGTACCCTCCTTCCTGCACGCTTGTTGCATGTTTGCAACCCTAAACCCTAAACCCTAAACCCTAAACCCTAAACCCTAAACCCTAAACCCTAAACCCTAAACCCTAAACCCTAAACCCTAAACCCTAAACCCAAATCCTAAATGCTTGGATCATCATGTCTTGGAGTTTGGACGACTCCGGATGTTTTCCCAGCAAGGGCGCTCTCGCTTCCTGCCCAGGTCCAGTGTCCCGCTGCATAGAATCCCTATGCGCGACATCTTCCACTGGGCGAAATTCATCTAAATCTTTCGTTGCTGGATTGCTTGCAGAGGCTGCGATGCCGCCTGCTGACCTGTTGGAAGCAGGTGCTACTTGGATGGGCCGAGGGCTTGTTAAGAGTCCAAAGTTTGCCGCCAAGAAACAAACAAGTTACCTATTTAAACGTTTGTATCTCCAAAACCATAATGGCAGTTACGTAAAGCCAGCAAGCGATGCAAGCTGGTTTTTCACCAAGTATACATGGCTTGGCCAAAATCTTTAAGATAGATATATGCATTAGTAGTTACATACTGAACAGGTCATCGCTAAATACTAGTCTGGTATTCTTCTGCAGGGTGTATGCAGCATGCATGTATATTTATGCTTTTTGTATATATACATATGCATATTCGCGCATGTGCTTGTGTGCTCTTCGCATGATGGTTGGAGAAAAAAAGCCTTGTTCTTTTGAATGAATCTGTGTGTTTGTGTGTGTGCAGCATGCCTTACCTGTCTTGTTTGTAACGCATGGAAAAGCTGTGCTTACAGGGGCTGTTTTTTTTTTTTTAACTTTCGCTTGCCATCGTCCATCGCATCGTCAAGAACGACATGCGCGTAGACTTGTTGGCGAATCGGGACAAGGCCCAGTGTGGAGAATTAATGGCATCCTTACTCCTGGCCCCAGATTATGCGAATGACATGAGTCCATGATCGATACACGGGTCGACTACACGTCCACCTCCCAAGCTCAGGAATTATGTAGTGGACTGCAACGATAAGTTCCAGGTTGGCTTCGCCCGCGTGCCCGCTTCTCCCCTTACTCCTGAAGGTGATGAACTTCAGCTTGGAGGTCTTCATCTCTTTCTCTCTCGTTTTGTTGGTGCGGGCCCGAAACCGAATCGGATCGACCGCAGCGTCTCAAACTATAGGAGCCCTCCAGAGAGAGGTCGAAGTCGCCTATGCCCAGCACCATGCGGATTGCCACCACGCTCGCTACAGCCTCTTCCTCCGCCTGCAGTACAGAACAACAAGACCTTTCAGAATGACATTGGCATGGAAGATGCCGAAGAGGAGGCTGTGCGGCGCCTCCATGACTGAGGAACCCGTGTCCTCGTAGTTCTCATGCCCATGTGGCGTCGGCCGAGAGAAGTCGCGAGTTTTTGAGAACCCACTGGCCGAGTCATTGCGTCCACGTATGGGCTCTTGATGTGCATCGGCCAGCCGTCGCGCTATTGCGAAAAGTGAGCAACGTGCTTTGCTAGGTTGAGAACCCTATTCGCAGCCGTGCACAGCAGCGCCCATACCTGTTGGCTTGTAGTTTCCGCGTCTCGTTGACTCACTGGTATTCTTCAGTTCAGTAGCATCTCGCTCGCGCGCATCACGTGGCCGGCCGCAAGGTATCCAATCCCATCGTAGCGAAGCGTGGGAGGCAGCGCCTCGTCGTTAAGCGCCCCGCCAGGAGTAAGTCCAAGGAGCGCAAGTCCGTCAAGTATGTTCGACAGATGTTGATAGGCGCGGGGCTCGCAAAGGCCAACTCCCTTCCTGTGCACGGGGAGATTGTCCGTCAGGCAAACAGTGTTCAAATTGCTCAAGGGAAAGTTGTCCGGTCTGATGAAGTCTTTTCACGGTGAACTCAAGTGCCGCTACATGTCCCCTCGCCATCTTCATCCGTGGTTCACCGACGGGTGTGGTGCTGGGTTACACTGCTCCAAGCCCAGGCTGCGGTCCTCCTCCTGAAGCTGCAAAGCATCTTCGGTGTGTGGTCCGCCAGCTTATGGATGTGAGCCATAAGATCCGGAAGACATGTACGCCCGTTGGACCTACTCTCGCCAGGGGTATGTGGCTGAGAAGCAGAAGACCATTTAAACTCGTTGGCGAAAAGACTTGGGTGCGCGTGGAGATTGAACGTGGCCGGCCTGAGGCCCTCATCCCCGCCTACTACGGAGGCGTGATCGCCAGGGCCAGGACCCATTCAAAAAACACCATATTGGCAGCTGATCGGCGAAAGTATTTGGAAGGCCAAAACATCATATTTCGCACGGATTCGGCCCGGAGCTACAAGACCCGGCTTAGCAAGGTGGTGTGCGACAACTTCGTGCGCTGCAACAAAAGGGTCAAAGTCAGCGGGAAGTGGAAGGGGCAGATGCCGAACTACGTAAAGGTCACGACTCGCACGTTGCCTGGCGGCAACAAGAAGGTGCCTTGCAGAGTTCTTTTTAGATGTGCCCAGCCTGCTCACTTATAGTCTGACTAATGACTCATAAAAACTATAAGGCCAGATAGTAGCCTCTTCTTAAGTCCATATTAAACACCATGCTATAGATGCCACAGTTCATTGCCTACTTGTTTACGATGCAGATAGCCATCGCAAGCAGTTAGCATCACCCCAGCCCATCCAAATATGGCAGAAGGTATTTTGGCACCATAGTTTAATGTTGACGTGTGATTAGAATGTTGCAGAAACTTTCAATGTTTATGGTATCGACAGCCTGCGGGCAGAAGGTGTTGGCACTGTTAGGACGAGGCCGCTGGATGAGCGTCAATCCGTTCGTGAACAGTGAGCTTTTGCTACTATTGTTTTCCGGGTAGCGAGGATGGCCTCGGAAAGTTGCAGACGGCTTTGCAGTGGTCTGCGCGAAGCTTCCCTTAGATGTTGACAAGAGTGGCTTGGCATGGACAGTGGGCATGTGTGTAGGTTTGGCCTTCCTCCTCGCTCCAAATTCATCTGCGGCTAGGTACAAACAGTTTCGAGAGATCGCATCAGGAGGAAAATGGTTGTGCTGTGCCAAGTGCACACGCTCCTGCTCGACAGGAGGTGTGGGCCATTTGATGCCACCATGATGCAGACCTTGCGCCCCGGGACGCGATGCCCTTACACAGGGTTCTTAAATGCCTATACAGACCGCGACCCGTTTACACCCCGCATAAGGCCCCTGACAAACCCCAGTTGTAGCCCCCAGCCATTTCCACAAGGTGCCAGAGCATTTCGATCTCGTGAGGTCTTCGGCGCTAGTTGCTAGCCCGTGAGATGTTCGGGTGTTTGTGGACTCCGCTGGTCGAGGGTCAGGCGGGTTCATGGGTAATGTTGCTACCCACAGCAGCTGATTGTTCTGGTTTGTAATGCACTTTCTCGAATTAAGCAAGGCCGCCACTGGGCGAGCTTCGGGTTTGCCGGGCTGATAGGGGGCTCTCCATGTTGCGTTTGCATGCACACATGGTCTCTTGACTCGCGAAAACGCGTTCCATACAGTCCATGCTACCTCGTCAGTTAATTCATCGGACCGCAATGTTTACCACATGGCCGGATGATGCCGGATGTGGTGCCAGAGGTGGCTTCCCGTACTGTGCCAGGCGTGCTCTCCACCGCTTGACCCCAGAGGTCAAGAGAGCCAGTGCATTCGGTGAGATGCGGCGAGACATGGCATGGTCGCCCGCGATTCAAGAAAACGAACGCACCCCGACCAGTCAGCAAAAACCTCCCTGCACAGGTAAAAGAACCAAGACAGCGCGCCCCACACCGACAACGCGACGAACACACGCACATTCACAAATAGAAGCACACGCTTTCAGCCACGCGCACACGATCCAACAAGAAACGCGCTCTTCTGGTAGTAGCTCAACCTACCCGCATGTTCTCGCCTGGCAGCTTAGGGTTTTTGATCGTTAAAAAACCCATTTAGGGTTTTTAGGGCTTTTTAAAGTTCAAAAGCCCTGCTCCTTGTCTGCCCCGGCTTACAGCGGGAGGAGGGCCGAGGGATTTTCAAGATGACGGGCCTCCGATGAGGCCGAGGCCTGGCAGACTTCGAGATGTAGGGCATTTTTCCCCCCCAAAAAGGGGGGGTACCCTCCCTTTGATATGCCCAAACAGTGTAGAATCCCCTTTGAGGGAGCCCCCAAAAAAGGGTACCCCGATTTTCGGAAACCCCCATGTCGGTGGTTGTTTCGTGGAGTCCCAGGGCCGAGAAAGACCGTGAAAAAGCGCTGAGCCTTGCTTCATGCAGCGAAAACTTTAGTCCACAAGCAGGACAGCCTGAACCCGTAAACGCCGGCCCAATCCGAGTCCTGGTGAAGCGTTTCAGCCTAGAGTCCGGTTTCGCGAGTCATGTCCCATCCCTCACGCCACGAAGCACGAGACCCAAGAGCTGCATTTTGCAGATCTTTTGGGGCAAGGCCCCCAACAAAAATGAAGCGGTTGACCTGAGCTGTCAGAACCTCTGCAAACCCCTTTTCAACCCTTACATGCCAGGCCCCGCTCAAGTGCCGGCCCCGGGCCACGACTTGTTCTGAGCTCTGAGAGCAGCTGAGAAAAACTTCAGCTGATGCTTCGTATATCTTCGTGTCCTGTTGCGTTGAGCCTGGAACCATTCCTACTTTCCGTCTCCCCCCTTGCAAGCTGCCTTGGCCTTGTTTTTGGCCGGGAGGGTGTTGCAGTGATTTAGGGTTTAGGGTTTAGGGTTTAGGGTGATGTGTGAAGCGGCAATGATGACAGAGCGGGACCTGACAATCTCGTGGAGCACCTCGCTTGGAAAGCTGATAGGTCTGAGGGTCGCTACAGAGATGCCACATCGTATGCGTGTTTTCGACGATGGCACAAGTGCAGTGATGACAGATCGCGGCCAGATTCTCTGATGGATACCTCCGTTGGAAAGCTGATAGGTCTGAGGCACGGATGCCGCATTCAGCCATCGCTGCTTCATGAGTTTTCAGAACGGCGTGCTGCAATGATGACACTACTCGAGACCTGAGAGTCTGAGGGACTTCCTCCATTGGAAAGCTGATAGGTCTGAGGCGCAGCAAGTCGATGCAAATCTCTTGGAGGCAGGTGTGTGTGCCCTTCCCGGAGGTGAGGTTGCCCTTGTCGTGTGTGCCGGGTGATGCATAAATCAGATCTGACGTCAGTGAGGACGCTCTTCATTAGAAAGCTGATAGGTCTGACGAGTGCACATGCGCATGTCGAGCCTTGCGCTGGGCTTCCTGGTCTTGGTGCCTCTTAGAACCCTGAGCTGCCTTGCCCGGAGAGAGGGGAGCCGAATCCGATGAAGTTGAACAGAACGGGGTTCCGGCGGACTATGATTGGAGCTCTTGTGTGGTGCATGAGATGCTGAGTGGCTAGGGGCGCCGGAAACGAGACTTCTCCCTAAGTCAATGTCGTCGCTAGCGTTTGGTGAAGCCCGTTCTTGTTCTTGCTGTTGTGTTTTTTTTTTTTTTTTGGCCTTGGTGGCGCTCACCACAGGCCCCCGCCGGCAAGTCAGTGAGTGAGTGAGCACGCCCTTACTTGGAGGTTCATGGCACGTATTAACCAACTACAACTGTACTTATAACCCACTTCTAAGCCCCTTAAGTGCCCTAATAGGGTTATTGTACGGTTGTAAGTACAGTTATAATACCATGAACCTCCAAGCACGGGCAGCAGGAAAAGAAAGGTGCCCACCACAGCAACAGCCTGCACACCCCAAACAAAAGCACACCCCAAGCCACCACGGTAGGCCGGTGGCAAGCACGACAGCAAAAAAGCGCCCCTCTTTGCAGCACAAAAGAAGCGCCCCTCTCCCCCCGCCACGGCAGCAAGAATTACCCCCTCCCCCCCGGCAAAGGGTCCGTTCTTTGAATTCTTGTGCCTTCTTAAAAGTGAATCGTGCGGGCCCTAAGTCGGGCCTTAGTGGGTTATAAGGGCCCTAAGCCCTAACGCCGACCTTAACCCCCTTAAGTCCCAAACCCGAAGCCCGAAGCCTTACATCTAAACGCGCGAAACCCTAAACCCTAAACCCCCAAGACGACTGAGGCCCAGCAGGGGAACGAACTGCGCCGGAGCGTGAGGCCAAAAAGCATCAGATGCTTTTTTGGGGTTTAGGGTTTAGGGTTTAGGGTTTAGGGTGTAGGGTTTAGGGTTTAGGGTTTAGGTCAGAAGCCAAAAAGGTTGGAGACTCAATAGCCTCGATCCCTAAGAGTAAAGTGTTTGGAATCCCAGCACTATTTGTCCTCAAAAAGGTTTCCAACTTTTTGGGGTTTACTTCAGGGCTTCCAAGTTCCGGGGTTTGGGGATTTGGGGTTCGTGCTTCGGGTTTAGAAGTCTAGGAAAGAAGTTAAGGGTTTTGAGTTTCGCAGTTTAGGGTTTAGGAGAGTTTCGGGTTTATTGTAGGGTTCTTTTGGGGTTCAGGGTTGGGCCTACTGAGAGCTTAGAGTTTGAGTAGGGTGCTCAGGTAGTGCTTATGTAGGGTTCCGGGTGGGGTTAGGGTCTGGGATTTAGGGTTTAGGGTTTTGGGGTTTTGGGGTTGTGGGGTTTTGGGGCTTTGGGGCTGTGGAGTTTTGGGGTTCTGGGGTTTTGGGGTTTAGGGTTTGGGGTTTTGGTTTGCGTGTTTGGATGCAGGAGTACTTGACATCAAGAGTGTGCGTCTTCTAGCCCTTGGGTTTGAGTCTGCAACGCCGGGGTGTGTTGGCTGCTGCTCCAATGCATGGCCTAAGAATAGGAGTAACAATAACTATCATGATAATCAAAATCATCACAATAAAATTCATCATAATAATAATAATCATAATAATAACAGCAACATGAATAATGCCAATACTCATACCAGCTGTCCAGGTCTTGGCATGCAAGGCGCCCTCTACGGTATGGGTTCGACGCTGAGGGTGCCATTGGCAGGACATGAACTTGTGAACCCCGAACCCTAGCCTCACAAATGCAGCCCAAGCATGGAAAGGCCTGAACACTTCTGAAGGTAACCAGGATGGGCTGCTATACCCTACAGCCCCTGAAAAGGGCCCTTTATGGTTGATTATGAGGTTGCAGAGGCCAAACAACCCATCCTGGAATGCAGGGTGCTCCGCTTGGAGGTCATAGCTCCCATTCCGGAGCTGCGTTGATTGCTCTGCTTGCGGTAGCCTGTCTCTCTAACCTTGGGGGCAAACCCCTTAAGGGCTCTGCGGTCATAGATCAGAATCGGATCCAGACCCTAGGGTTTAGGGCCTTTAGGGTTTAGGGTTTAGGGTTTAGGGTTTAGGGTTTAGGGTTTTTGGCAACATCGCCCCAACTCTCTCCAAGCCATGCTGTCGGTTCCCAGGTCGGTGCCGACGTCATCAAGGTGCTCGGAAGTAGCTGCCGTTGTTTTCTCATTGTTTATTTGGAGGTTCATGGTACTTCTTGACCAATCATAACTGTACCGATAACCGTGTGCACTTAAGGGCCTTATAAGAGGGTTATACGTACAGTTATAATTGGCTAATGAGTACCATGACCCTCCAAGAAGGGGTTTGGCGCAGGCGTTCCGCAGCAAGGTTCCACGTCCTAGCTGTAGACGCTGCAGACAAGCACAAGACCTTGGGATGTTCCCCCTTATACCGACAGCTCCTTAATCGGGATTCTAAAACCCACTATTTTTCTCATCCCTATTGAGGACTGTTAGTATAAGGGGGAACATCCCAACCAATACCCCAAACCCATCTAACTACCGGACGGGCACCTCAAGGATAGTTAAACACGTTTTTCCAGGTCTTGGCAGGGCCAGAGCTGGCCAACCTCACGTATCGGCCCCCTAGCCAGGACCCGGAGGGCGGGGGCAGAGGGGAAAGGGTTTAGGGTTTAGGGTTTAGGACTTAGGGTTTAGGGTTAGGGTTTAGGGTTTAGGGCCTAGGGTTTAGGGTTTAGGGTTTCATGCAGATAGAATCCAAAGCTCCGCTACACGAGCTGTGGTGAGTTGAATCAGCAGCAAAGACAGCAAAGAATCAACACGCTCTCGCAAAGCAGCTTTGACACAGATCGTACGGAGTCTCGTCCACCAGCACATCCGACAGCAACAGCCACCACAAAAACCCCACCTCCTGTACCAGAGTTTCAACCAGGAGCCTTTGTGTTCCTCTTTCTAGACCTTAACCCTCCAACATGCCCAAACCTTCCCAAGCCCTAAACCCTAGGCCCCAAACCCCTCTCCCCGCAACTTCGGAACTCACGGTTTTCATTTCCTGAAATAGTCGATTGCGTCCTTACATTGGAGTTAGTTGAATGTGCCTCGATTTTGTAGTTTTTCTTGAAAAGGTCGTTTGTGTCCTTATAATGGCAGGCAAGCGCTGAGTCAGGCCACGACAAGCGCACACCATCTGGATGCACTCGTGTAGGGGAAGTTCGTGCTTTTGACCACTGTGCCCAGGAAGAGTTCTGTCTTGCAGCACCAGATCCTGCATAACCTGTGGTCACACCACGTTACACCACAACTTATCGGGCACGGTCTGGCCTGGAGCAGTCCAGGAACAGCACCTCTACTAATTAGCGTCAACCTGAAGTGCTCGAAAGCCATTGATCATGCGTCAGATTAACTTCCTGATGGTGTAGCTGGTGAACGATCGTAAGAAGCATGCAAAGGCGATGGAAGAGGCACCCGAAAAAGAGAAGATAACCGACGCTCACTCGAGGCAGAGATTTATTCGCACAAGCTCGGCAGGGACACCATAGGGGCGTGTGTCCAAGCATGACGAGACAGTGGAGCAGTCGCAGTCCAAGAGTCTGAGGCAGCTGTCACATCAAGCATCAAGGGGAAGAGCCGGTCTCGAAGGGGCAGCATGCAGCTTACCAGCAAGAGTCGGCCCAGGGGAGCCCATTCGTGGAGCAGCACGGGTGCGGAAGTATTTGCGGGAAGAACCCCTAGAACCTAGGAGACTTCTGAAGCTCGCTTCCTTCGCTTCCTTCCGAATCTGCAATTTGTTGCTGATGGTTGGCTGGGCCTCAAAGCAAAACTGGGTCAAGAAGCCGAGCATTGAACAGTTCTTTGGCACGTGTTGAAAAGTTCCACGAAAGACATCCTCTGAATCCCACCAAAAAAGTTTCTCATGCCGCTGGAGGGGGGGGGGGGGTTGGGTGGACTTTTACAGGAGGGGGGGGGGGGGTTATATAGGGGGCTGCTAAGGGGGTGTTTATGGTTTTTTTTGGGGGGGGGGGGGCGGTGTGTAGGGGGTGCTCATGGTCATGCACAAGCTTACAAGCGGAACTGAACAAGGCACCCGAATCTAGTCATCACTTTGAAGCGACACTTCTTGGCACGGAGAATGTGTGTGCCCAAACCCTAAACCAACCCTAAACCCTAAATCCTAAATCCTAAATCCTAAACCCTAGACCCTAGACCTGGGATTGAGCAGCAAGAACATTGCAGGATGAGTTGGGACCAAACCCGTTGCTGGTGGCAGCTCGGGCCTCATTGTATGGATGCAGCTGCTGAGTTTCCGAGCAAGCCCTCCCTCCCTTCCCTCCCCTCCCTAAGGTTTAGGGTTTAGGGTTTAGGGTTTAGGGTTTAGGGTTTGGGGTTTAGGGTTTAGGGTTTAGGGTTTAGGGTTTAGGGTTTGTGCGTCTGCGCGAGCCCTGAGGTCCGCGAAGCCCAAAGCCTCACAAAGCCGCCAAGGAAGAGCGCGGGACCCACGAGTCGAGCCCCGGCAACTTCCTCTCCACCCAGAGCGACGGCAGCGAGCCTCCGCCAAAGGCCGAGCCACCTCCCAAGGCAGGTTGTTTTTTTGGGGGGGGGGGGGGGGGGTTGACATTTTAGGGTTTAGGGTTTAGGTTCTTCTTGGGGGATATTGCTTCTCGGATTTAGGGGCGGGCATTTTGAGGATCTGAGGTGTCTTGGGGCAGTTAAGGGTTTAGGATGTTTTTGGGTCGCGGGCGCAGCTTAGAGGGTTTTAAGGTTTCACTTTGAGTTGAGGGTTGGGGGCTCGGAAAACCCTAACATTCGCTTGTGCGACTGCAGGACGAAGCTGTCCGGGCGCACGAATACCGTGCGGCCGCCCGCAGCTCAGTCGGATGCGCAGAAGCTGTGGGCTAAGCAAGGAAGGGTATCTGACGGTCATTGGTCGAGGTATGTAGGGTCGTAGGTCCCTTCTGGTATAGTCCCTCCTGAATTTCCGCAACGTTCGCGTGACGCAAAAAACCCTCAGAGGTTGGAGCCTTGCCGCCGGACATCCGTAGAGTCAAGCCGCGAGTCTTCAGGGGAGCTCCGAGGGCCTGGCTCCTGAAGGTCCCAAGAGTAGGGTTTAGGGTTTAGGGTTTAGGGTTTAGGGTTTAGGGTTTAGGGTTTAGGGTTTAGGGTTTGTGACTGCAGAGAGATGTTCCCTGTCTCCACAGACGTACATCTACACAAGAAAGCCGTCTGCACAGACGCCATGAACCTAAGCGGGTGCACCTGAAAATGGGCATCGGTGCCCTGCAGCTTGGGCGGTCCCATCGCACGTCAGGCTTCCCGGCAACCCCCCGCAGAGTTCACCTGTACAAGACAAGCCAACACTTTGAAAAACGTCAAGGTCAAAGGCAACATGAAGGACCAAAGTGCTGTATAAGTTCCCACGAGGCAAAACATCAAAAGTCAGTGCATCAAAGCTCTATACAAGCCAGCAGCTTTTTGCATTAAGCACTGGGTGATGTCCACCAAGTGGAGTATGTATGTCGGTGTGCTGTGTGCTTGAACGCGGCGCGTGCACCGTCTCGCCGACCCCTTCGCCATTACCTGCAGCATTCTCGCCAAACTCTAAACCCTAAACCCTAAACCATACACCCTACACCCTGTAGGCTCTGGAGCCCCAGAGCACCGGGGGCAAAACCAGACAGGTCCGTGTAGGCAGTATATCTTTTTTTAGCTTTTCTCAATCATACGAATTACTATTTCATATGCGGTTTGTTGCCACAAATATTGATGGAATCATTGTTAATGGTTTAATTACATCATTTGATGCTGATGTCATATATGCCGGGGGGCTTGCGGGGGGGGGGTGGGGGCAGGGAAAGCCAGGACTCGGGGTGGGGGGGGAGGGGGGGGGGGTTGAAGGGGCCAGGGCGGGGGGGGGGGGGGGGTAGGCTCTCGAGGTCCTTAGTCAGTGTTTAGAGGGGCTTCTCGCAACGCGACGCAAGAACATGTGGGCAGTTCCGTATTCCGTAACCATGTCTTGTCTATGTGTTTCTGCCCGCCAAGATAATGCTGCGGCAGGGCCAGCCAGTGGGACGCTTAGCTGGAGACGGCGGAGCGCTGCTTGCAGACAGTTCTCAGCCAGATATCTTCACCATCCTTGACCAGATTCATGCATTGGGCCTTCAAGCGTCTGGGTTTGTGGTCTAAGCCCAGAAGAAAACCCCAAAATACCCTAAACCCTAAACCCCAAATACCCTAAACCCTAAACCCAAACCCTAAACCCCAAAATACCCTAAACCCTGAACCCCAAACCCCAAAAGCCTCGTGAACCCAGGTGGCCACGCTTGCCGAGTTGGAGGCTGCGCTCTGCCTCGCGGAGCAGCGAAGTGCGCACCTCGGATATGGGTGTTTAGGGTTGTAGGATTCCCTTATTTTAAGGACCCCAAAAAGGTACCCCTAACTTAGGAAACCCCCATATGCACTGCACCCATGGGCGTGGGCTTAGATGCCCAGCATTCACGGAAGCATGGTCTGTGGTCCATGGTCAGTTTAGGGTTTAGCTTAGGCTGTATGGTTTGAGGTTTTCATTTTTCTCGCCGTGGTTCATGGTTGGTGAGGTTTTAGGGTTTTAACCTTGTGGTTTGTGGTGGAGATATGGTCCAGGGTTAAGGCAGACAAAATTCGAATTTTCCCGTCTTCCCTTCAGTGATTCATGCCGGGTTTAGGCTTTTAGCGCTTCATAGTTCAGGGTTGAGGGTTTCGGTTTAACTCTCCTGATGGGTCCCAAGAGACTCCAAAACCCCTTAATTCAGGAATATACCTTAAATCATACTAGGGTTCCTATTATAAGTTAAGGCATATTCCTTATTTAAGGGGCTTTGGAGTCTCTGGGTCCACACTGTATGTTGCAAGAATGGACGAGTTTGCACTGCACGGCTGTGCCCGGCTCCGCAGCAAGCTGCTCTTTTTTTTGGCCCGCTCTACAGCCTCCTCAGGCCGAGTGGGGCAGAGCGGGTGCCGGCCCTTGGGTTTAGGGTTTAGGGTTTAGGGTTCAGGGTTTAGGGTTTAGGGTTCAGGGTTTAGGGTTCAGGGTTTAGGGTTTAGGGTTTAGGGTTCTTCTTTTGAGAGATCTGATGCTGCTTTGCCAGGCGCGCCACTTTCCCTTTCCGCAATGGCTCTGGAGCTGCAGTGCGCTGTCTGAACTGCCCAGGGACTCCCAAACCTCTAAATTAAGGAATATTCCTTAAATCAAAATGGGAACCCCAATGATTTAAGGTATGTTCCTTGATTAAGGGGGTGTGGGAGTCTCTGGGTTACGGAGGGTTCGGCCATGTGGGTTGCAGCATGGCGCAGCAAGCAGATGCACGCAAGCAGCTGCGGATTCTTGTGCACCGGCAATGTCAGAAAGAGCTCGGGCAAGGTACAAGTTCACCTTCATTGATGTGGATGAGCACGATCCATCGGAGGGGCAGCGCCACGTGGCCTCCTGAGCTGCCCTGCCCTGACCCTGCTCGTCACTTAGGCACGTTTGCACCCAGAGACTCCAAAAACCCCTTCATTAAGGAATATACCTTAAACTATAGTAGGAACCCTACTATGATTGAAGGTATACTCCTTAATTCAGGGGTCTTGGAGTCTTTGGGCACACTGAGGCACGTTCCCAGAGCTCTCCTCCGAGTGCTGGCCGCCGTTCTGCAACGGACATGGGCGTGGAAGTGCACGAGGAGGACTGCGGGAGGGTGGATCCCTGGAAATACCTCAGTAGTTCAGTGGGGCTGTAGGCTCACATGATGGCGCTGCAAGGAGGATGCCATGCGTGGATACGTGGACATGCTGAAGCAGAAGCAAGGAGAGACGAACTTCGCTCGCGCGCTCAGCCAGAAGGCACCTGGCAAGAAGGTTGTGTGTTGTTTTTATTCCCGTGTCTTTCTTGCTGGAGCCCGTGTCCTTTGTAGAGGGGTGCCTTTTTGCTGTGGGCGATTTGGCTGTGAGTGAGTGTGAGTCATCTGCCCATGCCCCCCCCCCCCCCCCCCCCACAGCAAGAATGGGGAGCAGGCAGGTGAGTGAGTGAGCTGTTTCCGAGCACGACCGTTTTGGAGGGCACCAAGTCGACCGCGTGGCACCCAGCCATCGGCCGGCAAGGACGGAAGACAGAAGGTTAACATGCTTCTTCACTGCCGAGCCATCATCTGAGGACCTGTCTGCTTTACATCATTGTGTCTTGCTCAGTGCGCATGCAGCTTCTGAACGCAAATTGTGTTGCGTCATCCTTCGCCAACGCGCCTGCGACCGAGTCGATGCTTTGAATTTTCAATTTCGAGGAGATTGCGGACAACATGCAACAACTGCAACACGACACCGTAAAGCAGCACGGTAGAACAACACCCCCCGACATAACGACACTCTCCCCTTGTTTCCGACTGGGTCAACTCGAGCGGCACTTCTTTGCTGCCAGGCAGACAGCCCTTTTGGCATTGACCTCGATGCGAGCCCGGCGTCCACAGCCCCTGGAAATGAAGGCAAAGGCTTTTGAATGGAAGAGACGTGGCTCCTCACAGTGATTTGCACGCATGCCACGTCTCCACCAGTTCTGTGTTCCGACGTGGGCTTTCATGAGCAGGTGACTGGAGCCCAGGGCAGTCCGCCAGTGCAGATGACAGCCCTGTCAGCTTCATGGAAGGATCTAAAACAATTGGGAGCAGTTGTCTTTCATGTGAGCTCCCGCCCCCGCCTCGGAAGACGGTCCATGTTCCGGCAGGAAGCCTCCGCAGCGGTTCGCTTGATGGGCGTGTCGCCGCGGCGCTTGCACTGCTTCCGAGCCATGGCAGCCTGGGGCACCCGGAGGCCGTGTGCGTCTTCACCCAGTCGTGCATATGTGTGCGAAGCCGACCTGCAGGTCTGCCGCCGCCCGTGCATCTACTTCTTGGCTGGGCATTGCGAGAACGGGAACGCCTGTGCCTATTGCCACCTCCCCCACGTGGCTCCCTGGCAGCATGAGTCAGTCTCCAGCTACGCTCACAGGCATCTAAGTACTGCAATGCAAGTACAGAGCTATGCATCTATAGCTCCATCCGCGTTGTCGCACTTAGTTCGCACTTGCTGCCCTGTGCTGCGCAAACTTACGGAATCGTGGCAACAGGTTCAAGGCTGACATGAGATACATTCATTAGGGCGACACACACGTACAGAGCCTCAGTTGGTGTGCATTGCGACCCTTGATGGACACGTACAGGTGTTTGGGCAAGGCCTATGTGACATTTGCTCAGAAGTGCCGGGCACGCAAAAAGCAATGCTGGAGCGTACAACGTCGGACGCTGTCTTCTCAGTGCGAGGCAGTGAGACTTTTTTGCTGACCCGTCAGCAGGCGTGTCACTTAAAGGCAATCAGAAATCAACAAAGCCACAGCTCGACAAATCATCCAACAAACGATGTCAATGAATGCGGAGTTTTGTTTTCCATCGCGTGGTGCTTTTGAAGTCTGGCCGAAGTAGAAATACCACAGGAGTCAGCTAGGGTGGCGGCCTTTGCAAAGCATGATGCCTGTTGGCGTAAGGCTTGTCCAGCACGGACACTGTGCATGTTGAGCTGTGTCAGCCTGGAACTCTCTCTCTCTCTCTCTCTCTGTCTCTCTCTCTCTCTATCTCTCTGTATCTGCTTGCAAGTCCACGCCTCCATGCGATTCCATGCGCCTCGGTGATTGCTACCTGCCGCCATCAAGACTAGGAGGGCCCCGTGACTCTGTAGCTTCAGAGAAAAGCTGTTTATAAGCCGAGGAGAAGACTCCAAAGCTTGACAAGAGGCAGCGCACCATCATCCAGGTGGCTGGGCAGACTTCTCGACCCGGGCAATTCCCGAGTTCCCCGCTCTTCGCCAGGGGCTCAGCCGCCAAGAGCTGATGGCGCTGGTCCTCGAATTCTGCCGCGCGAAAGCTGAACAGGCCGGAGGGGTTTCGGGGTTCACTCTTCAGAGTTCGGCTTGCAGCACGAAGCCCGTCCTAGACACGTCCCCCTACCCTAACCCAGAGACTCCAAAACCCTTTAATAAAGGAATATAGCTTAAATCATATTAGGGTTCCTACTATAAATTTAAGGTATATTCCTTAAGGGGCTTTTGGGAGTCTCTGGGAAAGCCTCCGCGGCAGGTGGGTTTTGTGGAGGAGGCCTCTGAGGTGCTGGAGTTGCTGGAGGCGCCCCAGACTTGGCCCAAAACACCTCGAAAAACTGCCACAATGTTGTGGGTTTTTAATAGGGATTATAGGGATTATAGTATCCCCTATCTTCATCCCTATTAAGGACTTTTACTAGGGGCTATAGTGCCCCCCTGTTATATTACCTATTGAGGCCTGGGGGAACATCCCAGGTTCAAGCAGTTTACGCAGTTTACGAACGACCCGTGGGGTTTTTCCTGCGTGCGAGAGGCGGAGTCGTGTGGTACACGGGCATTGCCAGCATCCATCTCGGACCGGGACTCCAGCTCAGCCTTTCTGCGCCCGTCCAAACGTTGTTTTCTGATATGGGGACTTTTTTGGCCAAGACCCAACAGCCCTGCCCAGTATCATGCAGAGGTCCCCTACAGCTTTAACTTTGTCACCTCCAAGGATATCCGGAACCTGAACAAGACCATGGCGCGCATGAACTTCTCCAACTTGATCGGCCCTTCGAGTGCAACCCCAATCACTACTTGGTAGCCCAGCGGTACCCTTTGCCCTTCTTTTTGTTTTTGGGTTTCTGGGTTCCCTTATAAAGTAACCAACCCAAAAAGGGTGCCCTTCTTGTAATAGGGTTAGTGGGCTACCAACACGAACTGGCTGGTTCGTAGTAGGGAATGAGGCAATGAGGTACCCTACAGAATCCCTTAAAGGGTATATGTAGGGCCCTCATTCCCTCATTCCCTACTAAGACCCAGGGGGGCTAAGGTAGGTCCGACCGAGGCTCATAGCCTGCCATGTAAGGCGAGGCAGCCGGAGGTAGCGAGGTGATTCCGATGTAACTTCAGCGCAGAAGTGCTTCCTACACGCATCCCAGTCAGGTTTGGGAATCCACCGATACGGAAGGGTTTAGGGTTTAGGGTTTAGGGTTTAGGTTTAGGGTTTAGGGTTTAGGGTTTAGGGTTTAGGGTTTAGGGCTCAGGGTTTAGGGTTCATTAAGACATGAGCTACGACAGTGGTTGACATGTTTTCGCTGCGCAAGTAGACTAAGTAGCCCCCGGCAGCTTGACTCTAAAGCATGGCATCATGCTCACGCTCCGAAGTGCAAAGAGAGAGCTTGTCCTCGTTGCATGGGCCTATTGGAATACGATTCCGGCTCAGCTCAAGCGCATGCAATGAACTGCCAGTTACTCAACCTGCCTACTGTCACACCGTTGCCTAAACAAGGCAACAGACTCGGGCCCCGAGAAAGCCGAGGTCGCCCTAATTAGAGCTTAGTCTTCCCCCCTCAGAGCTCTCAGCGACCAGTAGAATGACGGTGTCTTTGCAAGGCTCATCAAGAAAACCCTAAATCCTAAACCCTAAACCCCAAACCCCAAACCCCAAACCCTGTACCCTATACCCTAAACCCTAAACCCTAAACCCTAATGCCGTTGAGGATTGGTGACGCACCAGTCGCCGAGCCGCCCCGGCAATGCCTCGCAGAGCTCCGAACGCCTGACGGGCGCGCTGGAGAGGCCCCGGAGCCAGCTGGGGGTTTACGTTTAGGGTTTAGGGTTTAGGGTTTAGGGTTTAGGGGTTTAGGGAAATAGGGGACTAAAATCGACCCCAAATCGTAGGATCCCCTTGCAATAAGGACCCCCCAAGAAGGTACCCCCAATGTCGTCAACCCACAGCTCATGCAGGTGTTCGGGTCGGAGGGCTTCTACTTTTGCTGGATGAGCTGCGAGGGCTTCGGGAATCGCAGTGGAAGAGCCCCATGTGGCAGGTTTAGGGTTTAGGGTTTAGGGTTTAGGGTTTAGGGTTTAGGGTTTAGGGTTTAGGGTTTAGGGTAACAGGCCCCATGCTTCTGCGCACATCTTGAAGACCTCCAGCTCCCAGAACATTGCGAGCCCAGACCCCCAAATTCAGCATCGGCACCGGGGGACATTGGGGAAGCGCGCTTGCGTTGTCTCTCTCTAAGCTTTGTCATAGTTGGGTAACATCTTACGTTTTTAAGGGTACTTAAACCCAATAAGGAATAACAGTATAAATTTTTAATATTATCCCAACAATGACCTAGTAAGGGCGACAGGAGCATGTCACTTTCCGTCAAATTGCCGCCGGCCTGAAGGCTTCGCATGTGCTTCCTCCCGGAGGCCATGAACGAGCTGGTTGCGAGGTGAGATCCAATGAGACAGTGGCCTCTAGGCTCCGATGCTGGGATTGCTGGGTGACAGTTGAACACGAACTGCCAAGGGTTCGCATCGTTTTCTTTCGCCCTTTTGAGCTAGCATTCTTTGGGAAAAAGCCGCTATCGTGGCTTGGTCAGCGATTCCTTACAAGCAGGGGGAGGAGGTAAGTGGTGATGGCATATGGCTACGAAGAGGGCTTCTTCCCCGGAGCCAAACCTGGTGCAATTGAGCGCTAGTTTTGACCATGATAGTCTGTCCCTAAACCCTAAACCCTAAACCCTAAATCCTAAACCCTAAACCGTAAACCCTAAACCCCTGCTATGTGGACCTGCCGAGGCCAAAAAGCCCGTTGCCTGAGCCTGCAGCAGCGGAAGTGTGGTGGGGCAGCTCCCGAGCTACCACAAATGAGCACCCGTAGGGTTTAGTGTTTAGGGTTTAGGGTCCAGGGTTTAGGGTTTGGGTGCATGCGTAGTTGTTCTTCGTCATGATTCGGTATCCTGTGTAGCTCACCCCCCCTTAAACCCGAAAGTGGCCCGCAGCTCAGTCGCACCCCAACCACATCCTACCTATCCTGTTCCGTGGTTTGGAAAGACTGCCTGAGGGGAGTTTCGGTGTTTTGGAAGGGACTGCTCGGGGGCCGAGCCAGGGTCTGCGTTCTTGCTATCGTTTGACTGACTTCGCCCCACTGCTTGCAACATGGCTTGTGACTAGTTGCCTGGACTCTGCGGGGTCTGCGAGATAGAGATATCTAAGCCCTATATCAACCCTATATAGAACTCTATAAGCCCTACATCAAGCCCCATCAAAAAACCCTATAAACACCCTATATGAAACTCTTTCAATGCTACCCCAGGCCATGTTGTCGGCACCTGACAGGATGTCGCAGGATCCGCCCCTTTTTCTCAAGGCTTGTAAGCGGCACAGGCTCCTTGCTTCGGGCCAGGTGGGCTCCACATGCCCAGCGGAGCCTTCAAGCCCACGGATCCGTAGACATACATAGTTGGACAGACTTTGAAGATTCCTTGCCTTTGAGAGGCGGCCAAGTGGCCCCTTAAGCAGCTTCCCAGAGTCCTGCAGAATTTTGAAGTGACTGCTTCAGTGCTTCAGTACTTCGCCAGAAAACTGAGAGCGGGAAGTCTGCGCAAACGTTCGCTTGTGCATATTCCTGGTGAACCGAGCCATGTTGTGATGTGCCTCAGCGCCGGGAAGCGCCTGAGCAAACCTTCTCTTGGCTTGAGTGGGTTCTTGTTAGGGAATTTGGTTTAAGCTGTCATACTGGTGTTGTGTATGAAATCATGTAGTTATATTGAGTATGTTATGTGGCAGAAAGAACCCAGCTGAATAGTATCAATAAACTGTGTTACAGTGTTTGAAGTGCACGTGGCTGGGAAGTTGCTACTTGATGGGGTGTTCCCTTGATGAGGGTGACCTCTGTCCTGTGGCACGCATTGTGCATCTGTGCATTGGAATGCCATTGTTCTCCCAGCTGCTGTCACTATTTGCATCCCTATTTGCCCAGCGCTACCAGTGTCCGCCGCATAGAATCCCTACGCGCGACATTGTTCCGCTGGGCTGAGTGTCAGCATACCAAAAGCATCTCTATGTTGCTTTTCAGGCTGCCTGCGAAGCCCACGAGCCACTAGCTCACATCTTGGAAGCAGATGCCAGGGCTTAAAGGCTTAAAGCACTCAAACCAATAGGGTTGAGTTCTTATCGGATATGAGTGCGGAATCCTGAATGTTTGGTGGCCTCGACAGCCTGGGCGGCAGGTGTTGGCACTGTTAGAACGGGACCGCTAGACGAGCGTCTATCCGTTCGTGGACAGTGAGCTTTTGCTTCTTTCGTTTTTCGGGCAGTGGGGGATGGGCACGGAAAGCCGCAGACGGGCCCTCACCATGGTCTTCGCAAAGCTTTCCTTGAAGGCAGACAAGTGGTTGTTTGTTTAGTAGCACTGGGCTTGTATGCAGATGTGGCCCTCTCCTCACTCCAAATTCGCCTGCGTGGGTTGCCGTGCCAAGGTGGCACGGCCTTCTTGACAGAGTGAGTCGTGAGATATAGCACGCAGGTCAGGAAAAAATCCTGCAGACTGGCTCAGGGGCCCGAAATTCTGTTCTCATGAGGCCAGTCTCGCTGTGTGTGTGTGTGTGTGTGTGTGCGTGCTGGAGAACAGTGCAATGCCCTCGGGCTTGAAGGCTCTGGCCCACCAACAAAGGCTCAGCACCCGAGCCATGGAAGTATATACATTGATGTAGAAAATCCTAGGTCATCACCGTAAAGTGTCGTATAGTGTCGTATAGGGTCGTATTGTTTCGCATAGTGTCGTAGAGCATAGTTTACAAGAGTATCGTAGAGTCTAGTGGAGTATCGTCTAGCATCAGTATAGCCTGGTCTGCTGGGCTCTAGAAAAAAGAAGATTGTGATTGTTTCTTTTCCTTGGCAGGGATTATAACAGGGGGTACTAGAATCCCTATTAAGGACTGCTAGTAGAAGGGCGAACATCCCAAAAGATGAGCCTAAACCCTAAACCCTAAACCCTAACCCCTAACCCCTAACCCCTAAACCCTAAGCCCTAAACCCTAAACCCTAAACCCTAAGACTTCAAGACCGCCTTTAAGCGAGGTTTGGTGCCGCCGGCGGAGATTCGCCGGCGCTGGCAGACGCTGACGGCGTCTGCAAGAAGCCTGGAAGTCTGCAACGTCCCGAAACTTCCTGACAAACCTATACCCCAGACCCTAGACCGTAGACCCTAAACCCTAAACCCTAAACCCTAAACCCTAAACCCTAAACCCTAAAACCCTAAAACCCTAAACCCTAAAACCCTAAACCCTAAACCCTAAACCCTAAACCCTAAACCCTAAACCCTAAACCCTAAACCCTAAACCCTAAACCCTAAACCCTAAACCCTGGCCTCCCAGGCCGTCTCGTGGTCCCTGGACTGTCTGGCCGCGGCCAGTGACAAGCCCGGGATCTACGACCAGGCACTACAGATGCTGCCGGCGCCCCAGTGTTTCAGGGTTCAGGGCCATCAAGGTGGGGGTTCAGGGTTCTTACGGTTTCAGGGTTGTAGGGTTTTTAGGGTTTAGGGTTTTTTGGGGACTGGGGTTTAGGGATTCGGGTTTATTTAGGGTGAAGGGTGTTAGCCAGAGTTCTGTGTTGTATCCGCGTGACAGCGACAGGTGTTCTGCTCAGGTGACGCAAGGTGTAGATTCCCTAGAGTGCGGACGCTGGCAACGTTCATGGGACGGGGGGTCACGGCTTGGTGAGGATAGAAACAATAACGCTTGAGACGCATCGAGATCAGCATTCTGCCACAAACAGATCGTTGCCGGCATGCTGCAGAGTTTCTGCGCTTAGATGCTCCATGTGATACTCTAACAGTCGAGAGAGAGAGAGAGAGAGAGTCCTTCTACTGTGTGACTGTTATCTACTTGACCAGCAAGTCGCCAGCAAGTTATCATGCAGATCTTGTTGTAATTGTTCCAAATGTATGTGGTGAGTTCTCAAAAAGCATGTGTTGATGTTTTTTTAATAGAAGCGCACACGAACCATGATCTATGTCAACTTATATGCCTTCGTCATGAGGCGGCCCCCCCAAGTGCAGCTCCTTTTACCCCACTGTGGGCGCTAGCATAGCGCCAGCTGGGCGCGAGCATGAATCTTAGAAGTGTTGGGTATGCCTGGGCCGAGACAAAAGGTATGCATGCAGGCATATTATGGCCACAAGATCCCCAAGCTAGCGCTGTGGCATGGACGGCTGCCTATGGGAAGAACCGCAGCAGCAGAACCATGGCGTCCAGGATCTGCTCAACCCAGAGACTCCAAAACCCCTTAATTAAGGAATATACCTTAAATCATATTAGGGTTCCTACTATAATTTAAGGTATATAGCTTAATTAAGGGGTTTTGGAGTCTCTGGGAAGCAAAGGCCGCAGCGTAGCTTCAGCCATGCTGAGAATGCTCTGCGAAGCGCGGTGCTGGCGCATTCCCAAGACTCCAAAACTCCTTAATTAAGCAATATACCTTAAATTCTAGTAGGAACCCTAATATGATTTAAGGTATATTCCTTAATTAAGGGGTTTTGGAGTCCCTGGGTTTTTGTATCAGCTTTGAACGGCGTTATGTCAATGAAGGTAAGCATGCGAAAACTTTCAGGCGGCTACTACACTTTTTGTCAGTATCTGTTGCACTTTCCCCATCACAACTTGCAGAGACACAGCATTTTTCTTTATACAAAGTGTGTGTGGTCTGTATTTGCTTAGAGGGCTGTCCAAGTCAAAAGCGTGCCAGCAAGGTTTGCTTTCGGAAGCTTGCGACACACATGCGCATGAGAAACCTTGAACACTGATGCTCAACTCTGGAAGCTTGAGCCTTTGATGGCTTCGATTCTTTTTCGAGGCCCTTGTTTTAGCAAAAGTGAGGATCTCCAAGGGGTCGTCCGCCAACGGCAGGCGTCGGAATCAACGTTGGGCATGTGGATTGCTAAACCCTAAACCCTAAACCCTAAACCCTAAACCCTAAACCCTAAACCCTAAACCCTAAACCCTAAACCCTAAGCCCTAAGCCCTAAGCCCTAAGCCCTAAGCCCTAAGCCCTAAGCCCTAAGCCCTAAACCCAGGCCCACCCAAGATCAAGGTTTGGTCCTCAAACCCAACGAGCCTTTAACCCGTGAGCCCCTGACGCTCGATGCTTCTGAATGCTGGGGAGCAGTAAGGTGAATTAGGGTTTAGGATTTAGGATTTGGGGTTTAGGGTTTAGGGTTTAGAACGATAGCAGCAGCTGCACAGCCGCGACGCAGCAATCGTGATGTTTTTTGCCGCCGGCTCTGAGGTGCACTGCGGAGATACTCACCAGAACTGAAGTGGCGGTGCGCCCGCTGCACTAGACTGCAATCACTAGTTCAGGGTTTAGGGTTTAGGGCTTAATTTGGGTTTGGGGTTTAGGGTTTAGGGTTCAGGGATGTTTAAGGTTTGGGGATGCTTAGGGTTTTGGGTTTAAGGTTTACGGGTTGTGCGCAATGGGTTATGGCTCCAAACCTCCGGCTCCCAAATTGCAGGGTTTAGGGTTTAGGGTTTAGGATTTAGGGTTTAGGGTTTAGGGTTTAGGGTTTAGGGGAAGTCCGTGGCGCTCGTCGGCCACGGGAAGGTTCCCAGCGCAGGGCCCCGTGAGCGTGAAGCAAGAAGCCAAGCCTACTTGGAGGTTCAGGGTGCCCAAGTTAAAGTGTAGGTATCACCCACCCTAAATTAATAGGGTTCTAGTTGGGTTATGGGTGCAGTTCTACACACACACACCAGGTGGTAAGCAACGAGTTCCTCATATATGCGCTACTTGATGGTAAACCCTTGGAGTATCCGTGAAACTTCAAGTGTCGCATGCAGTTGAGGGCCTACAGGAACGCCGGGGCCGAGAGGCGGTTCCGCCCATGGAGCAAGAAGGTTCCACCCAAAGACTCCAAAACCCCTTAACTAAGCAATATACCTTAAGTTCTAGTAGGAACCCTAATATGATTTAAGGTATACTCCTTAATTAAGCAATATACCTTAAATTCTAGTAGGAACCCTACTATGATTTAAGGCATATTCCTTAAGGGGTTTTGGAGTCCCTGGGCACTCTCCACCAGCCCTCGGGGCCCGGAAGCGCCCTGTTTGGGGGATTGCTAGAATAGGGATTGCCGTATTTTAGGGGGTATCTCAGGGGAACGCCCCCCCCCCCCCCGCCTTACGTTTCGAAAGGCCCCTCCAAGCCCACCCTAAACCCTAAACCCTAAACCCTAAACCCTAAACCCTAAACCCTAAACCCTAAACCCTAAACCCTAAACCCTAAACCCTAAACCCTAAACCCTAAACGCTCAAAGGAGACCTTTGGGGCAAAAGGGATGCCCTCCCGCACCTTCCTCCGGGCGCTGAGCCTGGCAGGCTTGGGGGCTTTTTAGGCTTGGGGTTCCGGTTTGGAGTTTAGGGTTTAGGGTTTAGGGTTTAGGGTTTATAGAAATTGTACATATAGGGTTTGGGTCCCAATAACGTTTTGACCGAAACGTTTTTGACCGAAACGTTTTTGACCGAAAGTTTTGACCGAAACGTTTTGGTTTTTTTCGAACTATTGTTTTTTTTTTGGGCGGGGGGGGGGGGGGGGGTGTCTGTGGGGGGGAGATCTGGAGGGGAGGTTGGGGGGGGGGGTTGAGGGGGGAAAAGCTGGGGCAGGAGGTTTAAGTAAGTTGAGCAGCAATTGGCCTAACAGAGCCAGCTTCTGTTTAGACAAAGAAATTAAGAATGATACCACAATACAATTTCTATCTATTTTGTCTTGAGGGTTTCGGGTTTAGGGCATAGGGTCTAGGGTTGGCAGTTTGAGGCTGAAGCTTACAGGTGTTCTGTTAAGTTTAGAGGGTCTAGTTGTTTTTTTTAGCAGTTGAGGGTCTGTATTAAGCTTGCGCGGCTTAGGGTATGGGAGTTTGGCAGCGATTCCGTGCAGCACTTCGTGAATTCCCCAGCCATCACGTCGGGCTCCAGGGAGTTTGCCTTTAGCTTTGTGACTTTAAGGTTTAGAGTTTAGGGTTTAGGGTGTAGGGTTTATGGGGTTTAAGGCAGAGGAGCCATGGGCTCGAATGTAAGCCGAGGGCTCAAGCAACTACTCACCCGAGGATTATCACTTTACAAGTTTTTGGAGGTTCCTCGGACTCATAATATGAAGGGAGCCTGAAAGTTAAGCTTTTATTAAACCCTAAACCCTCAACCCTAAACCCTAAATCCTACTTTCTTGGGGTCCGGGTCCCTTATAAAACAAATCCTACCTTCTTGGGGTCCCTGAAAGAAATCCTACCTTATTGGGCTCCCTTATTGAAAAAATCCTACCTTATTGAGGTCCCTTATGTTCAAAAATCCTACTCTGCGTTGGGGCTTCGATTAGAGGTGATTTTCGTATTCCCACATATCTGGGCGGGGAACGGCCGCGAAGACGCTTTGACGAACCGACGTGGCAGGGAGGGCTTCTGGGGGCCCTCGCGCGCGAGTCGTGGAGCTCCGCCCCGAACCATGGCCGTGGGGGCGGGATGTGGGGGTTTCCGAGAATAGGTCTTTTTTGGGGGGGGATTCCGACAATCAGGATTAGAGCGTTTGGGGGTACATCCGGGTACCCCTATTTTGGGAAATGCCCATTGTATGGAGCTTGCAGAGCGAGGAGACTGAAGGCAACGCGGCAACGCTCCCGACAACAGCTCCAGGATTGCCTCAGCAGGGTGGTGTTGGGTTTAGGGTTTAGGGTTTGGGGTTTAGGGTTTAGGGTTTCGGGTTCCACGCTTGGAGGAGCATGTCCAATGCTCCCGACGTCCAAGATCAAAGGGGGGGACCCAAGGCTACAGGGGGACCTTCTGCGGCCACCCTCTACCACAGTCTTGCGGCTCGAGCCGCGATGCCAAGCGTTGTTTGCCCGTCGGTCTTCACGCTTCCCTGAGAAGCAGGAGACCGGCAGTTGCGTGGGCTTCATGGTGATTGTCCCATCGACATTTGTCTTGAGACATGCATCTTCTTCGATGCCAAAACCCCAAATCCTAAACCCTAAACCCTAAACCCTAAACCCTAAACTCAAAGCCCTAAACCCTAAGCCCTATTCCCTAGGCCCGAAGCCCCTAAACCCTGCATGTGAGCGCAGCATGCGAAGGCTTGGGAGCCTACTACCAGCAGAGGGGCAAGCCTCGGGCCGCGGTACGTTTCCTGGAACAGGTCCCGTTGCTTTCAGATGGGTTGCTTTGAAATCGGCATTTTCCCAAAAAAGGGGAGGGTTTGGGGTTTAGGGTTTAGGGTTTAGGGGTACCCCTTTTATACACCAAATAGAATGGAATCCCCTTCAAGGGTCCCCCAGAAAGGGTACTGTAGTAGGGGTACCCCATATCGGGCAGGGTTTTTTTTGGGGGGGTTTTGGGGGGGCTGGGGGCTTTGGGGACTGTTTAGGCCTGCAGTGTCTAGGGCTCTGAGCCGCTGAGGGCTTCTGGGGGCTGGGTTCTTTGAAGGTTTGAGGTTTTCGGGTTTCGAGGGTCGAGTGCGAGAGGGAATGACTTCCTGTTCGGCCCTTTGAAGCACGTCGGGTTTAAGGTTGCCATTGTGCAATGCACCGTGCCCTTGAGTCACTTGGCCAGTCACCCCAAGTGGTGCAAATACCCTTGCCGGTGAAATAGAACCCTTTGTGCAAAGGATGGGCCCAGAAGTAGAACAATTCAGTGTAGAACCCTTTGTGAAAAGGGCGGCCCATAAGTAGAAGAATTCAGTAGTACTTCCGTACGTCTAGGCTGTCGGCGGGCAAGCCAAGTTTGCGCACCCAGCTGTGCTGCTGAACCTCTGCTGGGCCCTGAGTACGACGTCTGTGCTTGAAGGTTCAGGGGTACGTACTCCTCAGTACGGTTGTAGAACTGGATCTGCCCACCCTTTGCCAGGGTTGAGTGGATCACTTGCATCATCCGTGACTAAACCCTAAACCCTAAACCCCCTAACCCGAAACCCTAAACGGCCCAACCTGGGTGGAGACTCTACGTCGCAGCTCTGGAGGGGGAGGAGAAGCAACTGCCGCGCGACACTTTTCACGTCCCCCCATCCCCTCTTACTTGGGGGAATTTCTGCTCCACGGATGGAAAGTGCACGGACACCATTTCTCTCAGCCTTTTCAACCTTGCTGGTGAAGAGGAGATGCATCATCATAGGATCAATATCCATGGTGATGGCCCTTGCAGATGTTCGCATGTTCCGCTGTCAGTCTGTGCTGGTGTACAACGAGGTTCATGGTATTTGTTAACCAATTATTAACCAATTACAACTGTACTTATATCTGTACTTATAACCCAATTAAGGCACTTAAGGGGCTTCAAAGTGGGTTATAAGTACAGTTGTGGTTAAAAAGTGCCCTCAACCCTGAACCCTAAACCCTAAACCCTCAACCCTCAACCCTCAACCCTCAACCCTCAACCCTCAACCCTCAACCCTCAACCCTCAACCCTCAACCCTCAACCCTCAACCCTCAACCCTCAACCCTAAACCCTAAACCCTAAACCCTAAACCCTAAACCCTAAACCCTACCTTTTGAACCTCCAAGTATAGTGGTGCTGGAGGCAGCTCCCATCTGCAACTGCGCGAGCCCGGGCGGGCCCTGTCCTACCTGTGCCAGGTGCGGTGTAGGGTTGGGATGTTCCCCCGTGTTTGGGGTTTAGGGTTTAGGGCTTAGGGTTACGGTGACGTTTTTTAAATAAGTGGAGGGCGGCCAACCAGCAACGGCCAGGGGGGTAGTATAAAAGACCAGTTTAAATCCGCATGTTTTCGTGTTTATGCACTAGCCCCCTCCAGCCAAGCCCCCCTCCAGCCCCCCCTCCAGCCAAACCCAACCCTTCCTCCGAACCCCCTCTCCGGCCCCTTGCCAAGCCCCCTCCAGCCAACACCCCACCCCCTCCAAACCCCCTCCAGCCAACCGCCCACCCCCTCTCCAGCCAACCCCCACCCTCTCCACCCTTGCCCCTCCCACCAAACCCCCCCTCCAGCCAAGCCCGTCAACCACCCAGCACCCCCCCAACCCCTCCAAACAAACCCCCCCCTTCCACCCCCCTCCCCCCTCTCTCAGCTAACACCCCCCCCCCCCCCCTCCAGCCAACCCCCCTTCCACCAAACCCCCAGCTCCCTCCACCCCCCCGTCCGCCAACCCCCCCCTCCGCCCACCACCCTCCAGCACCCTTCCCCCACCTTCCCACCCCCGCACCCCAACAACCCCCCCCTCCAGCCAAACCCGACCCCCTCCAGCCAAACCCCCCCTCCAGCACCCCTCCCATCCACCCCCCTCCTCCAGCCACACCCCCCCCTCCAGCCAAACCCCCTTCTGGGGTTTTCGGGCTTAGCACCCCCCCCCTCCAGCCAACCAGCCAACCCACCCCCTCCACCCAGCCAACAACCGCCAACCCCCCTCCAGCCAAACCCGACCCACCCCTCCCCCCTCCAGCCAACCCCCCCTCCTCCAGCCAACACCCCCCCCTCCAGCCAAACCCCACCCTTCCTGTTCTGGTGTTTTCGGGCTTGGTTGGAGGGGGCTGTTGGGGGGTGTTGGCTGGATGGGGGCGGTTGGCTGTTGAGGGGGGCCTTGGCTAGGCGTTTTGGGGGGGGCTGGGGGGGGAGGGGGTGTTGGCTGGGGGCGGTTGGCTGGGGGGGGTTGGCTGGTTGGAAACCGGCTGGGTTGGAGGGGTGCTGGGTGGAGGTTGGCTGGCTGGAGGGGGGGTGTTGGCTGGAGGGTGTTTTGGGGGGTGTTGGAGGGGGGCTTGGCTTGGCGTTTTGGGGGCTGGGGGGGGAGGGGGTGTTGGCTGGAGGCGGTTGGCTGGAGGGGGTTGGCTGGTGGAAACCGGCTGGCGTTGGAGGGGTGCTGGGTGGAGGTTGGCTGGCTGGAGGGGGGGGGTGTTGGCTGGGGGGGCTTTGGCTGGATGGGGGCGGTTGGCTGTGGAGGGGGGCTTGGCTAGGCGGGTGTTTTGGGGGGGGCTGGGGGGAGGGGTGTTGGCTGGAGGATGTGGGGTTTGGCTGGAGGGGTTGGCTGGGGGGGTGGTTAGGGTGGGGGCTGGAGAGAGGGCGGTTTGGGTGTGGCTGGAGGGGGTTTGGGTGATTGGTTGTGAGGTTGGTGGGGGGGGGGGGGGTGTTGGCTGGAGGGGGGGTGTTGGCTGGAGGGGGGCTTGGCGCGGGAAGGCTTGCTGGAGGGTCTATTTCCGGATGTTTAAAACGCTGGGCGGCCTGACGCCGCGCTCCACGGAGGTAGTATGAAATACCTGTTTGACTGTTTAGATGTCCGGGTATTAAAAAACAGGCACCGTAGGGTTTAGGGTCGTATGTACTAGCAGTCCTTAAAAGAAGGGGATTCTATGTACCCCCCATTCTAATCCCGATGAGGGGTTGTTAGTATAATCCCGATTAAGGATTGTTAGTAGAATGCCTATTAAGGACTGTTAGTGTAAGGGGGAGCATCCCAAAGTGTAGACTACTATTTGCTTAAGAACCCCAAACGAATAAAACAAATAATAATCCCTTTATCACCCTCAACAAGGAAGAATCCATTTTTTATTTTTTGGGGGTTCTTAAGCAAGTACTGGGTCGATGTGGTTTCTTAGCCCGCAAGCCCAGAAGATAACCCAATCGCTGTGTGCCCTGCGGAATCAGCAAAATTCACATAGTTGGTGCTTACCAGGTTATAGTTCTGTAAGCTTCTGTTGGAACACGAAACGCGAGGGCACGCTAGCAATGAGCATGTGAATATGTGACCGTTTTATATGCTGTATCTCATGCACGAAACGAATCAAAACACCAAGGTGCACCTGCTAGGGCGTCATCGCTCGTTGCAAGCAGGGTTCAGAGTAGTAATTAAGTCAGAAGTCCAGGGTGTTTAACAGGCCCCCGGCGTCTTTTTGCAACACAGGCTTTATGACACAACAGGGAAAGCCGAACGTATGCAACAAAGGGGGGGGACACCGTGACATACCCCTATTCAGGCCCGCAGCCGTGTCGCACTCATAGGTTCGAGTGCATGTTGGCCTTGGCCTTGCCAAGACAGGTCCGAGGTATCGTTCGCGGTATCGTTCGGGTATCGTTCCGACAACAATACAGACCCCCCCCCATCCAAAGCCCATTTCTTCAGGTTACGTTTCAAATGGCAGTTATAGAAAAATCGCTGTGCCCTGCAGGAAGGCTCCGCGAAACAGGCATTTTTTTTAACGTCTCAAGCTAGACTCACGTGGCTATCACCGAGAGGTAGCTTCGAAAAGAAGTTCACGGGTGGATTCATGGCAGCGGTACTGTTTTATCGCTGTGCCCTGCGGGAAGACTCCGCAAAACATGCATTTTGTCATAGGTACATCCTAGTCTTAAGATGCTATCCCCAAGAGGTAGAGAGTTTTTCCTATCATGATCGCATGTTTTGGGAATTGTGTGCCCTCGGGATTTCGGTTCTGGGCTATCTTCTTGACATGTTGGGCTACCTTCTGTGCCATGGGGTTGGCAAGGTGATTGGGCCAAGAAACCACGCGCGCTCGTAGTAGTAGAGGCGATCCGCAATGCTCCGCAGCCAAGAAGACTGCGACCAGGCAGTGCTCGCGCTGCGCAGCGCGACGGGCCGCCTCTGCTCGCAAGACGGCGTGGAGGCCCATGGTAGGGTTTAGGGTTTGGGGTTTGGGGTTTGGGGTTTGGGGTTTAGGGTTTAGGGTTTAGGCTTAGGGTTTAGGGTTTTAGGTAGGGCCCTTCAAAGGGAACCCTCCTTAACCCTCTTCTGGCTCTCTTAAACAGGGACCTTATGCACAGGGTCTATATCCCAAGGGTCCACGGTAGGCCGGCGCATCCTGCGATCTGCGCGCGTACATCCGGCACCGCGTTTACTCGTGCAGCCTTCAAGCCCTAACCTAAACCCTAAACCCTAAACCCTCAACCCTCAACCCTAAACCCTAAACCCTAGAAGTTTGCATGCGGCTTTTGGAGGTGGACGCCTCTGCGACGGCCGCCACCGCGGCAGTGTTGGCTGTCCTGGGCCCGGCGAAGCCCGAGGTCGGGCACCTGGAGATCACGTCAGGATCGTTGAACATGGATGCCGCGAAACCCTAAACCCTAAACCCTAAACCCTAAACCCTAAACCCTAAACCCTAAACCCTAAACCCTAAACCCTAAACCCTAAACCCTAAACCCTCAACCCTAAACCCTCAACCCTAAACCCTAAACTCAGGGCTCCGTGTGATGGGGGGCGGCGCTTAAGCCCTTCGACATCGATGGCGAAAGCCGACCCAGGTCGCTCGCCCGCCTCCCACAGCATGGGGGTCGGTAGCGCAGACGATGGGCCCCGTACACTGGGTCCCGTTTTTGTCAGATACCTGGCCTTTTCGGGGTACCCCCAAAACCCCTAGGCCAGGCGGAGCCGGACCCTCGCCGACCCCCCTTGACCCGCCTGCCGGACCCCTCGGCCCCCCCTTTTGCCCCTGGCCCCCCTCACCCTCCCTCATCTGACTCCCCTGGCCACCCTAACTCCCTGACCCCCCGACAGAATGAAGAAGTTTTAGGAAAGCTTTGCCGCCTCGGACGGTGTGGGGTGGCCTTCCACAATCGGGCCAAAGCTGCTCTTCGCGCCTCACGAAGCTTTCGTGCTTGTTCCAACACCTAACCTTCACAGCTAAACCCTAAACCCTAAACCCTAAACCCTAAACCCTAAACCCCAAACCCCAAACCCCAAACCCCAAACCCCAAACCCTAAACCCTAAACCCTAAACCCTAAACCTTAAACCCTAAACCCTAAACCCTAAACCCTACACCCCGATCAGGACCTGAGCAATGAAGTGGCGGCACCCTCAGCCTTCGCCGTGTTTGGAGCCCATGCGGAACAGCGGCAACCTCCAGTTCTCAGGATGTGTGGGCTCGCGGAAACCTTTGGGTGGATCCATTTGGTCAGCCAGGCATGTTGGCAGCATGAACCCATACTCGACCTACAGCAGTATGAGCAAAGGAGCTCTCTGCAATTTGCAACTCGACCCTAAACCCTAAACCCTAAACCCTAAACCCTAAACCCTAAACCCTAAACCCTAAACCCTAAACCCTAAACCCTAAACCCTAAACCCTAAACCCTAAACCCTAAACCCTAAACCCTAAACCCTAAACCCTAAACCCTAAAACCCTAAAACCCTAAAACCCTACATGTCTCTTCTCGCGCCAGGCCAGGGCATCGACCTGTGGTCGGAAGATCAAAGGCCCATAGACATCCCTGATTTTGTCACGTGCTCCGGCAACTTCGTGCAAGAAAGGGCCGTGGCAAATACGGCATACTTGGAGTTTCATGGTACTTAATAACCAATTATAACTGAACTTATAGCTGCGCTTATAGCCATATTAGGACCCTTAAGGGGCTTATAAGTGGGTTATAGGTACAGTGATAACTGGTTAGTAACTTAGGAACCACGAACCTCCAAATCGGGTGGCACAGGGCTGTCTGCAGGCTGCGCATTCAGCCTGGAGGCACCCTGGAAACGCCCGAGGTGCAGTTCCAGTGTGCTGGGTTTGGGGTTTGGGGTTTGGGGTTGGGGGGTTTGGGGTTTAGGGCTTAGGGTTTAAGGTGAGCAGCGAAGAGCTTCAAGAGGTGGCCTGTGATCCATCTTCAGTCCGTCGAATCATCAGCACGAGAGGCTTCAGGTTCCGAAAGTGTCAGTTCATCAGCAAGCTCCTGCCATCTGTTGCCACAATCTCGACATGGGGATCTACATCTGCAAGTCGCGATCGGCTTTCTGAAGTTGAAGCGATGGTTCTGCTGTTTTGCCCAACTCAATGTCTCGTTGTACCCTAAACCCTAAACCCTAAACCCTAAACCCTAAACCCTAAACCCTAAACCCGAAACCCTGAAGCACCGCTTGCCACTGCAGCTTCCCACGTCAGACGCGCACACGGTTTGACGCACGGTAAACCCTAGACCCTAAACCCTAAAGCCTAAAGCCTAAACCCTAAACCCTAAACCCTAAACCCTAAACGCGTCACTTCGACATCCAGGATGTTTCGTCTTCACGCGAACCCCCTGTGCGCAGGCCTCGCAGAGCAGCCTCCCTGAGTGCCAGAGCAAGGAGGCCTCTCACTAAGCTCACCTGAAACAGGGTTTGGGGTTTAGGGTTTGGGGTTTAGGGTTTAGGGTTTGGGGTTCGGGGTTTAGGGATTTGGGGTTAGCGGTTTAGGGTTTCGGGTTTAGGGCTTAGGGCTTAGGGTGAGCAGAGAGGAGCGGCACGCATGCTTTGTGCCTAACCATTGCCTACCTCCGCTCAGGCACATGTTCCTGAATTATGTCAAACACCTTGACCAGGGAGGTATCGTACTTTACACCCTAAACCCTAAACCCTAGACCCTAAACCCTAAACTTCCTAGACCCTAAACTTCCTAGACCCTAAACCTTGCTATGCTCTCCAGTGCTTGAGACCCTGGGCCACAAAGTCCGAAGCAAGGGCCTCCGGTTTGGGGTTTAGGGTTTAGGCTTGAGGGTTTAAGGTGTAGTTATTGGGAAGTACCAGTAGTATTTAGGGGCTCCGTGCTTTGACCACAGAACCTTGTCTTGGCAAACTCTGGTCCCAGGTTGGTGTGGTGGGCGCCCTGCAACAAAAAAGCGCTCTGAACCCCAAAAGTCTATCTGCAGACCCTACGTAAACCAACCCTAAGACATCCCTCAACCCCAAACCCTAAACCCTAAACCCTAAACCCCAAACGCCGCCCCAAAGCCCACACCCAGCGCAGGTCCGCAGAGCTCCTCGCGCCCCTCCGCACAGCCAGCCGCGAAGAGGGCTAGGTGGCGTTTAGGGTTTAGGGTTTAGGGTTTTAGGGTTTTAGGGTTTTAGGGTTTGAGGGTTTGAGGGTTTGAGGGTTTTAGGGTTTGAGGGTTTGAGGGTTTGAGGGTCTTAGGGTTTTAGGGTTTTAGGGTTTAGGGTTTTAGGGTTTTAGGGTTTAGGGTTTGAGGGTTTGAGGGTTTGAGGGTCTCAGGGTTTTAGGGTTTTAGGGTTTAGGGTTTTAGGGTTATAGGGTTATAGGGTTTTAGGGTTTTAGGGTTTTAGGGTTTTAGGGTTTTAGGGTTTGAGGGTTTGAGGGTTTGAGGGTTTTAGGGCTTTAGGGTTTTAGGGTTTTAGGGTTTAGGGTTCAGGGTTTAGGGGGGGCTGTAGGGGCTTTAGGGTTTAGGAGGAGTTTAGGGGGGTTGGGTTGGTTTGGGGCTCAAGATCTTGTGGTCGTAGGGAGTTGAGGGGAACCCAAGGCTGCCCAAAACCGCTGCCTGTTTGGGTTGAGAGTTTTAGGGTAGTTTAGGGTTTTTAGGGTAGTTGGCGGTTTTGGGGAAGTTTAGGGTTTTCGGGTAGTTGGGGGCTTTTAGGCTAGTTGAGGGTTGATGGTTCAGGGTTTAGGGTCAAGAAATCTGTTAAAAAAAGGACCCGAACTCCGCTTGCGAGTGTCAACATGGGTGGCCTGTCTGGAGGTTTACCATAGTAGGGGGTACCCTCCGAACATTCCTCTTTAAGGGGGATTCTACTATATTTGGGATAAGAATGGGTACCCCTTGTCTTATAGGAAACAGAGAAGGATTCTCTCTCTCTCTCTCTCTGCCATGTTTGTCGTGCACGGCCCCATGGTCTCGCATGCGGCAGGCCGGCATGGCCTCGTAAGCAAAGAGCACGCGGCATCCAGCAAGGAGGGAGTGTTGTGTGTTGCCATGTTGCGATACGGGGGTTTCCGATTTTCGGGGCTCCCTTATTGGGGTCCTTACTGTAAGGGAGGCCTACTATTTGGGGTCTATATGGGGTCCCCTATATTCGTAAACCGCCAGATGTTGAGATGTTGCAAGGTCCAGTCATGGTTCGTTCTTTTTGGATTGATTTCTGGTTTGCATCGAGTGAGTTTGTCGGTACATCGCGACGAACGCTGGGTTTAGAGCAAGGTCGAAGGGTGTGAGGTCCTGTGTTGTGAGCACAAAACAGCCCCAAACCCTAAATTCCAAACCCCAAAAACCCAAAAGCCCGAAATCGGGGCGGTGAAAAGTGGGGCGGGGGGGGGGGGGGGTGGGGTGGCATGGAAGAGACTCAGGACAATCAGTCTAAGAGGAAGCGGGCCTAAGCTCCGAAGCAAGAAAAAGTGAGGAGCCGACCATGCCCGGAACAGGGGAAGCGCAGGAAATCTTAGGGTTAGGGTTTAGGGTTTAGGGTTTAGGGTTTAGGGTTTAGGGTTTAGGGTTTAGGGTTTAGGGCTTAGGGCTCAGGGTTTAGGGTTTAGGGTTTAGGGTTTAGGGTTTAGGGTTTAGGGTTTAGGGTTTAGGGTTTAGGGTTTAGGGTACTTAAAACCCCAGTTCTACCTGTACTTATCAGCTCCCGAAGTCCCCGAAGTAGGTTAGAAGGAGACCTCCACCTGGGGCCACAGCCGTAAACCCTAAACCCTAAACCCTAAACCCTAAACCCTATACCCTAAACCCTAAACCCTAAACCCTAAACCCTAAACCCTAAACCCTAAACCCTAAACCCTAATTGGGGTTATAAGTTCCCATGAACCCCCCAGAAGGGGCCCCCCCACACAGGGAGGTGTGCCGACGGAGCCAATAGCCTAGGCGCTGACTCGGAATAGGAGGAAGAGAGCCTTGAATAACAGAAGCACAGAGAGAGAGAGAGAGAGAGAGAGAGAGAGAGGGCGGCCCCCCTCACCTGCCAACGAAGGAAGGGAGAGCTAGAAAGCCTCTGTGCGTGTGTGTGTGTGTGTGTGTGTGTGTGTGTGTGTGTGTGTGTGTGTGTGTGTGTGTGTGTGTGTGTGTGTGTGTGTGTGTGTGTGTGTGGTGTGTGTGTGTGTGTGTGTGTGTGTGTGTGTGTGTGTGTGTGTGTGTGTGTGTGTGTGTGTGTGTGTGTGTGTGTGTGTGTGTGTGTGTGTGTGTGTGTGTGGTGTGTGTGTGTGTGTGTGTGTGTGTGTGTGTGTGTGTGTGTGTGTGTGTGTGTGGTGTGTGTGTGTGTGTGTGTGTGTGTGTGTGTGTGTGTGTGTGTGTGTGTGTGTGTGTGTGTGTGTGTGTGTGTGTGTGTGTGTGTGTGTGTGTGTGTGTGTGTGTGTGTGTGTGTGTGTGTGTGTGTGTGTGTGTGTGTGTGTGTGTGTGTGTGTGTGTGTGTGTGTGTGTGTGTGTGTGTGTGTGTGTGTGTGTGTGTGTGTGTGTGTGTGTGTGTGTGTGTGTGTGTGTGTGTGTGTGTGTGTGTGTGTGTGTGTGTGTGTGTGTGTGTGTGTGTGTGTGTGTGTGTGTGTGTGTGTGTGTGCGTGCGTGCGTGTGCGTGCGCGCGCGCGCGCGCGCGCGTGCGTGCGTGCGTGCGTGCGTGCGTGCGTGTGTGCGTGTGTGTCTTGCTGGCTGGTTCTTCGTAGGGAATGAGGGCATGAGGTACCCTATGCAATCCCTTAAAAGGTATTCCTAGGGCCCCCTACTTCCCTCCTTCCCTACTAAGAGCCAGAGGAGGCTTGTCATCCTTCTGAGGAGGCTTTCCAGTACGAGGTGGATGCAGCCGTGGTGAAGACCATCATGGTAGCCAAGGCATCCTTGCCTAGGTATTTCCCCAAATAGGGGCTTTTCTTAATAAATACAATAGGGGTGTTTTCTTATTATAGCCCAAATAGTATAATCCTTCTTTTTGGAACCCCCTAGAAAGGGTACAGTACCACCCACCCCATTTTCGGAAACCCCTTTGCTTGTTTGCAAATCAGTGATTCACATCTTCCGTGATGATTGTCCTGGTGGTTTAGGCAAACAGACTCTCATTCAGAGGAAGCACCCGAGTTGTTTTCTCCGTGTGCTGAAGCTCGGGGCAACTGCAAAGTAATAGCCTTGAATCGGGACGATGGGCGTCATTGTAGTCACAATACCCCATTGTGGTAAAATTGCTATGGCGGGGCGAGAATTCTAAGCCCCAACGACTTCCGAATGCCCTCCCGGCATGCGAGTTCGCAGGTTCTCTTGTGGCCGTGGCCTGAGCTGGGGGAAGAGGCATGGTAGGGTTGTGCATCCGCAGCTTAGCGAGAGTCACGCCGTGTTGCCGTAGCAGTCTGAGAAGCAATCCGCGGCACTATCGTAACAGCTGCAGCAAATCCAGGAGCGCTTGTTGTAGAACGGCGTTGACAGGTACAGTGGGCGGGGCACGTCAGCATTGGCACTCGTTCAACAAGGCTTTTGCCGCAGGTGTCATTCTTACTCGAACCACCGCATCCCCTCCATTGTCGCGTTGCGCCTTTCAAATAAGCCATGTGGCTGATCTTGCAGGCCTCACTCCTGCTTGCAGCCGCAAGTGGTAGTGAGGACGGCAATTGCCGCCGCGAGGAAGTCAGCATGCTCCAGGCGGTCCAAACCCAAGCCGCGTTGACTGAGATGGGTCGAAAGCAGGCTCAGGCCACGAACGTCACGGCAGGACCATGTAGCCAGAGGATGGCCTTTGAACGCTCAGTGCACACGTTTCCTATACAGAACCTGTACTGGCTACACATTCCCAAGGCCGGCACCAGTTTCATTGCAACTGTCTGGAATTATGCATGTGGGCAGGGAAAGGAGATGTTGGACTTCACAGTAAGCGACAAGTATGCTCCTCATTGTGGGCGGTGCTATGACTACGCGCTCATGGAACGATATCCGAAGCATGAGTATTGCACACAGGACGTGCTACATAGCAGGTTCACTACGGCACACAATCCGATTTCCACGGAGAAGATGCAAGATATGGGAATGCATGCTGTGGCTATGTTTCGTCAACCCAACCAGCGCATTATCTCGGCACGCAATGATGGGTATCACGCCAATGGCTTTTCCAAAGCCGAATTTGCTGCCCTTCGGGCAGCGTGCGGTAAGCCCCATTCAGTCGAATGCTTCGCGCGGTATCCTGGCATAGCGGGCTGCATGGCGCGCATGCTCACCGGCGGAACATGTGCCGAAAGCAGCGCAGCGCGCTCAGGCCCCTTCGATGGTGGGAGGGCCCTGGTTGACAAGGCCACTTGGGCTGTGCTTTGGGACAATTTTTTCATCTCACTTCTTCTCCTGATAAGGGAACCTATTCATGAATAGTTTCAAAGGGTTCAGAGCACAACTCAGGCCAAGAAGGCCATTGCCCAGCTTGCCTTTGTGGGCCTCACGGAGCGCTGGAACGACTCCGTGTGCCTGTTCCACCGCATGTTCGGAGGGTCCATTAACCCGGCGGAGTTCATGAACTTCCACCACAACCACAAGCATGATGGCAAGCAGATGTATGAAGAGGACGCCCTCAATGGATTCCGTGACGACGCCGACGAGGAGGTCTACGCTGCAGCTCGAGCGCGTTTCGAGAGCCTGCTCCAAGAGCATGTGCCGGCAGGAGAGTCGGCCTGTGACGGTCTGTCTCTTTGTCATAGTTGGGTACCATTTTGCATTACTTAAGGGTACTTAAAACCCAAGAAGGAATGCAAATCTAGATTTTTCTATTTTATCCCTACCATGAACTAGGTCTCAGCCCGCTGAGTCCGACTGCCGCTGCGAGACTCAGCGCCAGCAGTGCGGCTCTGTTCCAGGTGCTGGTCTTGACTGCGGGCAGTGCCCAAGAACCAGACTCGGCTTCCTAGGCGAAGAGTCAAGGAACGCAGATGTGCAGTGCAGTGCTGGTTCCTGCAAAGCCACTGACCAGCAAGTCCCTGTCGAGCTCTTCAATTGGGCCCTCCCTCTAAACTTCGTGATGAGGCGCGGCCATGCCTGAGTTGGGCAACAAGACAGGGCAATACGGGCAGCCTGGCCGCGTGATGTGAAAAAAATCGCGCGCGGAAGTCGCAGGAAGCTCGGCAAGCGACCTCACTTTGGGATCCCAGATACAAGCTAAGCAGCTAAACCCTAAACCCTAAACCCTAAACCCTAAACCCTAAACCCTAAACCCTAAACCCTAAACCCTAAACCCTAAACCCTAAACCCTAAACCCTAAACCCTAAACCCTAAACCCTAAACCCTAAACCCTAAACCCTAAACCCTAAACCCTAAACCCTAAACCCTAAACCCTAAACCCTAAACCAAGCCGTGACCTCCATGCCAACCGGCAGGCTCTTGACAGCCAGCAGGTGGTTTCCGCCTACCGAAATGGCGAGGATCACGTGGAGCTCGAGGCCAGGAAGGGTGGGCTTCCCAACCCAACCCGAAACATACTATTATTATTATTATTATTATTTTCATCATTATTATTATCATCATTGCTATTCTTATGTTTATATATGTATATATATATATACATACTTTGTATGTATGCCTGTATACATATATATATATATGCTCACCCCCCCCCAATGGACCCACCGCGGATGGCAGCCGAGTCCTAGCCAGATCAAGGCAAAAAACAACAAAACAAGAAACTAACAAAAACCAACAAACCAAAAAAATCCAAAAAACCAAAAAAACCAAAAAAACCAAAAAAACCAAAAAAACCAAAAAAACCAAAAAAACCAAAAAAACCAAAAAAAACATCTTTTCCAAAACTATGGGGCTGGGGCCTCCAAAAGATGGTTTTTTTGGTTTTCTCGAGAAAAAGATGGTTTTTTTGGTTCGAAACCATCTTTTTCTCGAGAAAAAGATGGTTTTTGAGCAGCCGCTCTTCTAAAAACCATCTTTTTCTCGAGAAAAAAATGGTTTTACCAGGACAAGACCTCCAAAAACCATCTTTTTCTCGAGAAAAAGATGGTTTTACCAGGACAAGACCTCCAAAAACCATCTTTTTCTCGAGAAAAAGATGGTTTTTCCAGGACAAGATCTCCAAAAACCATCTTTTTCTCGAGAAAAAGATGGTTTTTCGAAGAGCGGCTGCTCAAAAACCATCTTTTTCTCGAGAAAAAGATGGTTTCGAACCAAAAAAACCATCTTTTTCTCGAGAAAACCAAAAAAACCATCTCTTGAAGGCCCCAGCCCCATAGTTTTGGAAAAGATGGTTTTTTTTGTTTTTTTGGTTTTTTTGGTTTTTTTGGTTTTTTTGGTTTTTTTGGTTTTCTCGAGAAAAAGATGTTTTTTTGGTTCGAAACCATCTTTTTCTCGAGAAAAAGATTGTTTTGAGCAACCATCCTTCGAAAAACCATCTTTTTCTCGAGAAAAAGATGGTTTTACCAGGACAAGACCCCCGGAAACCATCTTTTTCTCGAGAAAAAGATGGTTTTTCCAGGGTAAGATCTCTAAAAACCATCTTTTTCTCGAGTAAAAAATGGTTTTTCGAAGAGCGGCTGCTCAAAAACCATCTTTTTCTCGAGAAAAAGATGGTTTCGAACCAAAAAAACCATCTTTTTCCTCGAGAAAACCAAAAAAACCATCTTTTGGAGGCCCCAGCCCCATAGTTTTGGAAAAGATGGTTTTTTTGGTTTTTTGGTTTTTTTGGTTTTCTCGAGAAAAAGATGGTTAAGTTTTAGGGGTTTAAGCCTCATGCACTACAGGGTTATAAGGTTCTAATCCTATAGGTATTGCCTTAACCTTTAACCCTAAACCTTTAACTTTAAACCCTGCAGGGTCAACCCTGTGAGAAATTTAGAGATAGACCCCGAAAAGACCCTAAACCTTCTTACAGGGTGTAATGGTTTAAAAACCGATAGGACATGTACACCTTCAGCGCCTGTAGGGTTCAAGCCTTTGAACGTGCTAGACCCCTATAGGGTGCTAAGGTTCTGACCCTAAAGGGTTTAGGATTAAGGCTTAAATGCCCTCTAGGTTTAAATGCCTAAGTCTTAAACCCCAAACCTTTAAACCTTCATCCTATGGGGTTTGAAGGTCAAGGGTTTAGGCTTGATTGCCGAGGGCTTTAGGGTCCTGACCCTAGAGGGTTTAGGGTTAAGGAATAGATGCGTAAACCTTAAACCCTTAAGGTTTAAACTCTATGGGCTTAGGGGGCTTAGGTTTTTTTAAACCCTAAGCCTTAAACCTTCACACTACAGAGTTTAGAGGTGTTAAGGGTGACAAATTGATTACATACTTAGCTTTAAATGCCTGAATCTTAAACCCCAAACCTTTAAACCTTAACCCTATAGGGTTTAAAGGTTAAGGGCTTAGTGTTAATCGCTGGCTTAGGTTTAAATGTCTGAATCTTAAACCCTAAAACTTTAAACCTTCACCCTATAGGGTTTAAAGGTTAAGGGTTTAGGTTGAATCGTCAGCTTGGATTTAAATGTCTAAGTAAAGAATCCTAAACCTTTAAATCTCATCCCTATGGGGTTTAAGGTTAAGGGTTCAATATGAACTGCCGGCATAGGTCTAAATACCTAAACCTTAAACTTAAACCCTAAACCTTTAAATATCTTAACCCTATAGGGTTTAAAGGTTAGAGGCTTGGCGTAAATTGCCGGAATAGGTTTAAATGCCTAAATCTTAAGCCCGAAACCTTTAAACCTTAGCCCAACAGGGTTTAAAGGTTAAGGGTTTAAAATTAGTTGCAGGCTTAATTAGGTTTAAATGCCTACATCTTATATCCTAAACCTTTAAAAATCTTAACCCTATAGGGTTTAAAGGTTAAGGGCTTGGCTACAGGTTTAAATGGCTAAATATTAAACCCTAAGCCTCTAAACTTTAACCCTACAGGGTTTAAAGGTTAAGGGTTTAAAATTAGTTGCAGGCTTAGGTTTAAATGCCTACATCTTAAACCCTAAACCTGTAAAAATCTCAACCCGATAGAATTTAAAGGTTAAGGGCTTAGCTTTAATTACCGGCATAGGTTCAAATGCCTAAATCTTAAACCCTTAACCTTTAAACCTTAACCCTACAGGGTTTAAAGGTTAAGTTTTTTTTTTGCAGGCTTAGGTTTAAATGCCTAGATCTTAAATTATAAACAAAAGCCAACAGAAAGAAAAACCCTCCGTGCGTGTGTGAGAGGGTGAATTAAGGAATACAGTCAAAAATCCGGTCACCGGAAAATCACCAGACAGCATAGGTTTTATCGGTATTTGCGGTACTTTTGCAAAGATCAAGGCCCGCGGTGGGTCCATTGGGGGGGGGTGACCATATATATATATATGTGTACATGTATATCGATATGTATATGTATACGTATATGTATATGTACATGTGTACATGTATGTGGTGTTATAATATATATATATATACAAAATGTTAAATCATATTATGTCATGTGATATTACTATATTGCCTCAGAATTCATACACAACCTTATGTCTCGTAGCGAAGATGAAAGTTGCGAGGCCTCCTTGAAGAAACTGGCGGCGCCGGGGATCGCCAAGCACGCGGCCAAACTGAAGAAGGCACTGTGTTTGGGTTTAGGGTTTAGGGTTTAGGGTTCAGGGTTTAGGGTTTAGGGATGTTTAGGGTTTAGGGTTTAGGGTTTGTCTTGATTTATATAAGCCTTTTTTGGGTCTTTGGCAACAAAGCATGTGATACAGTTTACATAAGGGGAACGGAAGGAGCAGCTTTGCCAGGTCACAGCCTCTGAGATGTCACCGACACAAGTCCTAAGCCTGAAACCTGTTGGCACTGACGGCTTACTGCCGGTTAGCAGGGAAAGATTGAACAGTAGTACTAGCAAGAAGCAGGGTAAGATTAGAAAATCGTCATGCAAGTACCCCAAAGCTGACGCGTTCTTCATGCCTTATGAGTCATGAGAAGAGGCCTGGCCAGAGTGGGGGAAGATGGCCAGCGGAGTGCCGGTGCCGGGCGCTGGACTCGTCCTCCGAGAGTGCTTGCTGCGCAGCCCCCAGTTTCCCTCTCTCTCTCTCACTCTGTTCTTAAAAGTTTGTTTAAGTTAGCAGGAGTACTGCTCAGCTTATACTTGTATATCGAACATATAACGTTAAGTAGTTGTGAAGCCTTGAAACGCTTAAATGGATAAAAAGACCCGACCACTGCGCCAAGGCATCCGGGCAAGTAGGCGAAGAACGGTGTGGGTGGAAAGCGTTCGGGTTCGTGGTTACTCACGAGAATGCACAAACACACACAGAGACATGGACACACACACACACACACACGCGCGCGGTTGCACGCGAACTGGTTTGCACTTGACTCTGCGAGTGCAACTGCAAATCCACATCGTCATTCGTGATCATTCGGACTCAGCATGCATCGTTCAAGATGCTCTGCTCAGTAGAAAGAGCAGGTTGTTGAGAATGTGACTCAACATTATTGATTTTTCTGAGTATAGCTCAGATAGACAGGTCAGATACATAGATTGCTTTTTGGACATGTTGAAATCGTTATTCTTCAAATAATCCCGCAACTTCCGACACATGCTGTCCACTCGGCGGACTTCAGTGCAAGTTGTTTGGAGAGATTTCAGATGGACTAACTGTCGCGAATGCATTAGGCAGAGCAAGGTGACATTGTGAGTATTCAGTCATTGGTGTGTAGAACACTTCAGTTTACGTGGGCGTTGCTCTAAACCCCCGCCTGTTGACAGTAGATTGAGTCGGCCATACAGATGTTACTGCGATTCTCCATGTGGGTGGTGCAATGCTTGTAGTACGGGTGATAGTCCATGCATTGTGCTTGTCATGCAGAGAAGCCTTGCCTGTCTCGCGCGAGTGTGAGAGTCGTAAACGAAACACAGGTTTTGTGTTCCCGGCTGCTTCACGCCCCCACGTCCGCCGCACAAGGTTTAGGTTTGTGGGCTTAGAGTTGAGTCCGTCACCCCTTTCCCCCCCAAGAAAAACCCAAAACCCCTCTCCCCAAATACAACGAGAGCAAAGACACCGAGGTTGAGCTTCGTCCACGCCGCAACAGCTTTGGCACAGCTCAGCTCAAAACCTTTGTACAACGTTTGGGTCGTCCCTCCGCTGCGCACCTCGGCCGAGGATCTTTATCTGTTGCTTAGTAGGGAATGAGGGAATGAGCATACCCCCTATATCCCCCTATATAAACCCTTTAAGGGATTGTATGTGCCTTATATCCCCCTATATATACCCGTAAGGGATTATACATGCCCTATATCCGCCTACATATACCCTTTGAGGGATTCGATGGGGTACCTCAATTCCTTCATTCTCTACGAACCAACAGTAAGAGGAGGTTCTATTTTGGAACCTTGGAGAGGCTCTCACCTTATATACATATTCCCCTATATATGTATATGTATATATATATATATTATTATGTATATATAAACATCTATGTATATATATATATCTATGTATATATACACATAGAGTCGACATAGAGGAGATATTGTATGTTATAATTTTACATATTTACATGTGCGTGCATACATGCATGCATACATACATGCATACATATACATAGACATAGACATAAACATAGACATAGACATAGACATAGACATATACATATACATACATATACAGATCCATATACATGTACATATACATGTACATATACCTATATACATTTTTTTACATATATATATATATATAGGGAAAAAACAGCACGGCGCATGGCCCTTCTCGTGCGCTTGCCAGCCGAAACGCGATTCCTTGAAAGTCCTCGTCGAACCCTCGTGAAATCATGATGCTGCAGAGTACTGCTCCCTACGACCTCCTAAAAACCAAACCCTCCTAAACCCTAAACCCTATTTGAAACCCTAAACCCTAAACCCCACTTCCAGGTGAGGGCCTCGTCCTCGCCATCGTGCTCTTCGGCTCCAAGCATCCTATGGCCCTGAGGCCGTTAGGGTTTAGGGTTTAGGGTTTTCGGGGGCATGCAAGGTCCCACCCACCCCCGCAGCTACTGCTGCCAAAACTAGAACCATGGCAAGTGCGTGGAACGCATCAGCGAGACCCCCTGATACTTCCTGCACCTATTGGCCTTAAACCTCTGCAAGCCCACAGACACCCTCACAGCACCCTCAGCAGCTCAAAGTTTTTCAGAACGGCTTAGCCTGTACCCCTGCCCGAAATGGTCAGGCTCATCCACGCCTGCCAGCGGGCACAGGCCCCGGATCCAGAGCCGTCCCCGACGCCACGCAGCCGAGACCCCGGCCGCCTGGCCCAGCCGAGGCTGCCTCCGGTCTTTGGGTTTAGGGTTTAGGGTTTAGGGTTTGAGTTTTGTGAAGGATGGGGAAGGGGAGGGGGCTTCAGGGTCTCAGCTGCGCGCCGTCCGAAAGGTGCCGCGCGCCGGCCGAGCCCACGAAGCCGCAGCCGAAGCCGCCAAAATCGGCGGCGAAGGCGAGGCCAAAGCGCTCCTGGGCATCATATAAAGCCGGGTTTATACTTTAATCATTGGTGAGTGCATATCAAGAACAACAAATGTATAAATCAATAAATAAATAAATAAATATATATATATATATATATATATATATATATATACATAGAATGTACTTCATATGGGCGCTCATGTTCTTTCCGGTGGCCATCTTATGTAAGGCCCGGCGCTATCTGAGTATCTGAGCCATCATCTGAGTCATCTGAGTCATCCGAGTATCTGAGGCCCGCCCATGAAAGGCCGCACGTGCCCAGCCTGGAATGCCGGGTCGGGCTTGCAGCCGGAAAAGGTTGAACAAATGCATTCGGTGGGTCCGGGCCTGAGCACTCCCTACTATTTGCTTAAGAGAACCCCTAAAAAGCAAATACCATGAGAATCCCTATATTGCCCTCATAAGGAGGAACATGTTTTGGTTGGTTTTTTTAAGCAAGTAGTATTGGGATGTTTCCCCTTATACTAACAGGCCTTGATAAAGATTACAATAGGGGGTGCTCAAATTCTTTTTAGTAGCTACGAGCAGTGCGTGCCATCTCCATCTCTTTCAGCAACGTCCAGCAAGGTCACGTTCCGAAGGCCAGCGGCCCGGCACAGCCCACCATGCTCCAATGTGTTATGCTGATGGTTTAGGGTTTAGGGTTTAGGGTTTAGGGTTTAGGGTTTAGGGTTTAGGGTTTAGGGTTTAGGGTTTAGGGTTTAGGGTTTAGGGTTTAGGGAGCAGCATGGACAAGGTGCCTGGCACAGCGCTGGGCTTGGATGGAGGAGCTCCCAGCATGAAACAACACTTGTTGGATTGGGTTTAGGGTTTAGGGTTTAGGATTTAGGGTTTAGGGTTTAGGGTTTAGGGTTTAGGGTTTAGGGTTTAGGAGTTAGGGTTTGGGGTTTAGGGTTTAGGGTTTCGCGTTTAGGGTTTAGGGTTTAGGGTTAAGGGTGAAGGGTTCAGGGTTTAGGGTTTAGGGTTTTGCTCGCTGAGCAGGAGCAGAATACATGCAGACTCAGTCTGTTCGGAGACACAGCGATTCGAGGCTCCTTGCCCTCTGTCCGGGCTGGCTGAGGGAATGAGGTTCCCTATATCCCCCAAAATACACCCGTTAAATACACCCGTTAAGGGAAAATATAGGGTACCTCATTCCCTCATTCCCTACCAACCAACAGTAAGCTTCATGGAACAAAGCGTGTGTGGCGAAGCCCCAGTCATTGAAGTCTCGCCATCGCTTGGGTTCCGAATCCTGGTTCGTTCTTCCGCGGCCATTTCAGCCGAAAAGTTGCTGCCAGGCAGACGCTCTCCCCGGTGCGGCAAGAGTTCTGGACCCGGCGTGAGGGCCAACGGGAGCTCAGGCACATACAACGGCAGGCTCGAAGGGACGGGACAATGTGATCTTTGGAGTAGATGTAAACGGACTCGCTGATATCGAGCCCTTCCCCGCAGACGTCAGTCCGATGGTGGACGCAGGAAGCTTCTGAATCTCCTGTGTGGTAACACAAGCAAATCCTGTGCAAGCGTGATAGCGCCTGATAGCGCCTGTGCTCAGGCAAATGCCGAAGTGCGCCGAGAGCTTCAACGCCCGCTCTCGTCCGTCGGCGCCCAAGAGCTCTGATGCTTGCCATCTATAGTAATCTATAGTAGAAGCCAAGAAGTTGGAAACTCGCCTCAATCCCTAAGAGTAAAGTATAGGGAACCCCAGCACTATTTGGCCTTAAAAAGGTTTCCAACTTTTTGGGGTTTACTGTAAGAGCAACCAAACACGACCTGCTCCTTGCCACCACTATCAGCCCATCGCAGCAGCGGCAGTAGCGGCAGCAGATGGGTGTTAGGGTTTAGGGATTGGGGTTTAGGGTTTGGGGTTTAGAAGAGTTTCGCTGCAGCAGCAAGGGCCACAGTTCGCTTGTTGACTGCAGTGACTGCAGGACCCGGCAGTGGGCAGAAGAAGGCCCGTGAGCACATAATTTGCTTTGGGCAGAGCTGAGGAATGTCCCAGAAACCTCAAATAGAATTGAGCTTGACAAGAACTGTTCGGTGCCCCCCCCCCCCGCCCCTCCCCCCCCGAATATTGAGACGGTTTTGACGACCCGAAATACCCATGCTCGTGAATGCCCCCTCGCCCCCCCCCCCCCCAAACCCGAAACCCTAAACCCTAAACCCTAAATCCTAAACCCCCTAAACCCTAAACCCCCCCCCCCTCGCGCATGCTAGCTTCGGGGCGGAGGCAGCTTGAGCTGGAGGCAGAAGGCCGGCTTTGCCGTTGGAGAGTTCGAGCAATGTTCTGGGTTCAGGGTTTAGGGTTTGGGGTTTAGGGCTTAGGGTTCAGAGTAGGCTGATGAAGGTGGGTTTAGGGTTTAGGGTTTGGGGTTTAGGGTTTAGGGTTCAGGGTGGGCTTAGGCAAGCGGGCACGGAACCTGCAAGCCAGTTCAAAGAGAGCAAAAAAGACGCAAACAGAGAGAGATTGCCAGATTCGGCAAAACTCATTCTTCAAGACAGGCGCCCCCTCCGCGCTCACCCTGTCACATGGGGGTTTCAAAATAGGAGTACCTCTTCGGGGGTTCCACTAATAAGGATTAGTATCTGGGGTATATTGGGGGTACCCCTACTTGGGAAAATTTCCGCCTGGGTTCCCGAAATAGGTGTACTCTTGCAATGTATACCCCGAGAAGGATACCCCTCTTTTCATAAGCCGCACACGTGGGTGCCATGAGACGATCTACACCATTGTTGCTACCAGTGGCTGAAGTTCAGCAAGCCTCCCTAGACCCTAAACCCTAAACCCTAAGCCCTAAGCCCTAAACCCTAAACCCTAAACCCTAAACTCCCCTAATACGGTCAGTTCCCTTTTTCCTCTGGCCGCGGAATCCGCATTAGCTCCAACAGCTTCCCCAAGCTCCAGGACTCTGGAACCCTAAACTCCCGGGACCAAGGGTTTAGGGTTTAGGGTTTAAAGCCCGACATCACAAACCCTCGAACTCCCAAGCAGGGCTCAGGGGGCTCCCAGGCAACGCCTCCCCTCGTTTGAGGGTTTAGGGTTTAGGGTTTAGGGTGTCTAAACTCCCCAAGTCGGGAAGAACTCCTGCAGAGTAAGTCAACACTAAACTCAACTTTCAACCCTTCAAACCCTTCCAACCCTTTAAACCCTTCAAACCCTTCAAGCCCTTCGAACCCTTCGAACCATAAACCTAAACCCTTCGCACCCTAAACCCTAAACCCTAAACCCTAAACCCTAAGCCCTAAGCCCTAAGCCCTAAGCCCTAAGCCCTAAACCCTAAACCCTAAACCCTAAACCCTAAACCCTTCAAACCCTAAAGCGGGTCGAAAGGCCCACGGCGCGCTTCTGGGACCACATCGACGCCCGCGACGCCTCGCTCCCAAACACCAGAGGGAGGCCCCGGGATCTTCGGGTATAGGGTTTAGGGTTTAGGGTTTAGGGTTTAGAGTTTAGGGTTTAGGGTTTAGGGTTTAGGGTTCAGGGTGATACTAGTAGGTTCTTGGTAGGGAGTCAGGGAGTCAGGGAAAAAGGAATCCAGGGCTCTCTTTCATAAGGGACTCTACAGGGTACTGGTACCTAATTCTCTAGTTCTGTACGACGAAGACCCTGAAAGTTTGGTTGAAGGTTTGGAGTTGCGAACCTCTAAGCTCGTAGAATCTCGTAGATCTTTACTCCCCGTGCAGAGTGTCACTGATGGGAGGGAGCGTGGAGAAAGGGGGCCACAAACTCTAAACCCTAAACCCTAAACCCTAAACCCTAAACCCTAAACCCTAAACCCTAAACCCCCCAACGATGTAGCTCGGGTGCAATTCTAGGCGCATCTTTGCCTTGTCGGAGTCTTGGGATGTTCCCCCTTATACTGACAGTCCTTGATAGGGAGTATATAGGGGGGCACTCTAAGGGAACATCCCAACTTATAGGGCATACAGCCCTAACCCCTAAACCCTAAACCCTAAACCCGAAACCCTAAACCCTAAACAAGGGGGGACCATCCCCAAATCGGAGCCTATCAGCTTGGCACCAGGGACGCCGCGGGAGCCCGTTTGGAAGCAGGCTGCACGGGCGCACTCGCGGAGGCACGTACTGTAGAGTCCGTTTTGGGGGTTCTGCATGCAGGGTTTAGGGTTTAGGGTTTAGGGTTTAGGGTTTAGGGTTTAGGGTTTAGGGTTTAGGGTTGAGGGTTGAGGGTTGAGGGTTGAGGGTTGAGGGTTAGGGTTGAAGGGGTTCGGGTTTAGGGTTTTTGGCTTGAGGGTTGAGGGTTGAGTGTTTATTCCTTCCTAGTCTATGGCCCCCAAAGGGGCCTTAGTTCAAACCGGCCCAATCATCTGGAGTTGCAGAGCATTGCGGCCAACCTGAAAGCACACCCAGCACCTGCAACTGCACCTAAACCCTAAACCCTAGACCCTAAACCCTAAACCCTAAACCCTAAACCCTAAACCGACCCTGTACCTTCGGAGAGCCTGGCAGCCAGCTGCTGACAATAGCAGGGGACGCTTGTGTGGCAGCAGCCGCTAGGTCGTATCGTTGTGGGTTTGACAGTTACGAATACCTTGTTTAAGGGTTATTTTCGGGGAACGAATGACCATCGTGTTATTTCAGGAGCCTAGGCACGCGCGGCACCTTAACTTGAAGATGTAGAGTCCTCGTAAAATCTGGACCTCCGAAACCTCGAGTTTCCTGCTCATAAGCGTGAGCTTACAAACAAAGGTATGGGTGAGTCAGCTCCCAGACTTCCGCCCCAAGCACTAAAAGTCAAGAGTTTAGGCTCTGAAAGAGCCAAGAATTCCACAAACCCTGAAGCCCAAACGGGTGTCGCTTTGTGGCGGAATTCCGAATTCAGTTCAGCGTGGATTGGCTAGGGGTGCGGGGTTTAAGGGTATAGGGTTCCGAGAAGCATCGGGAAACGAAATAGTCCGAATCGTCATCAGTGGTGGTTGCAGGATGACCTCGAAACCCTCGATCTCAAACCCTTTGCTCACCGCCAGGGCGGTCTCTTCTGCCTCAGCGCCAGCCTTAGGAGTGCATGTTGTAAAGAGCCGCTCCGGGTTGCCGAGTTATCTTTGACTTATTCGGTTCTTCTGCTTGCTTGACTTAGTACGGTTGCTTAGGTTTTTGGTTTAGGGTTTATGTTCATTCGGGGGCCGCGCTCATGGGCGGGCAGCGCAGAACAGTGGTGTCCGGAAAGGCGGGCTCCAAAAAGTGCGCGGAAACGAAGGCGGAGGGCGGGCCCGAGAAAGCGCGCGCGCGCGCGAATACACTTGGTCATAGTTGTGTATCATTTTACATTTTTAAGGGTACTTAAACCCAATAAGGAATATTTATGTATATATGTACATATATATATGTTTATTTAATTATATTTTTAACACGATCCCAACCATGAACACAAACCTCAGACGCGGGGTCCGAAAAGATGCCCAGTGCCGCCGCACCCGGTTCAACGACGCTGCAGGGCAGCCGCAGATGCTTTATATGCTTGTTTCACAGAGTAGCCAGGGACTAGGAACGGAGCAATTTCGGAATGTCCACCGAAGAAGTCAAACTCTGTGTTTTTTTCATTCAGAGGGGGGTGTCGAAGTGCACGCCGACTATCCGACCATGACGGAGAAAGGGTTAGGGTGGGCGCATCTCCACGCGCCCTCCGTTTGTCCCCGCCGCCCCTTGGTTTCCCCTCTCCCCCGGGCTTAGGGTTCCTGCTGTGGTTCTTGGTCGGTTTAATTCGTGAGGGGACAAGGGTTTAAGGTTTAAGGGCGCGGGGGTCGAGAACGCGCAGCGCGAATACATGTAGAGAATGTAGAGGTTTATGGCCTTGAGGGTGTTAGGTTTGTAGACCACGGCCATCGCAACATGCGCGTGTGTCTGTCTGAGCAGACCTCGCGAACGCCCGACTGGGTCATTGTTGAAAGTCATTTACATGTTTACGAGTACTTAGACCCATTAAGGAACAAAAATGGTCATTTTAAGATAGTACCCCAACAATGGTGTAGCTCAGATACAAAAAGTTTTGGGGGTTTAAGGTTGGGATGTTCCCCCTTATACTAACAGTCCCTAATGGGGATTATAATAGGGGTACTATAATCCCGGGAGCTGTTAGTACAAGGGGGGAATATCCCTAAACCCCAAACCCCAAACCCCAAACCCCAATCCCCAAACCCCAAACCCCAAACCCTAAACCCTAAACCCCAAACCCTAAACTTAAAGTTTTGACGGTTTAAAGTAAGGTGGGCAGACGAGGTTCCTGATGCGTGGGGTGATAGAGAGCCTTAACTGGGCACTGAGGTCCAGTTCGAGCGATGCAAGCGGCAGGAAGCAGCCTTCAGCCCCAGGTGTAGGGTTTAGGGTTTAGGGTTTAGGGTCTTTACCATCACTGCTGGTATCGTCATTCGATGTCATTCGTAACTGTCATCATTGCCATCATCGTGCGAATTCTCATTTTTGTGCTTGTGCTTATGATTGTGATTGTGGTGGAGATGATGGTGGTTGCTGGGCTGGTTATACGTATATTCATAGTTAGTAACAGTTATTGTTATTGTTGCTGTGATTAGCTATTGTTATTGTTCTAGGTATTCATTGTTAGTTGTTATTGTTCTTGCTTTTGATATGGCTCTTGTTATTGTAAGTGTTCCTGCGCAAGGGATCGTTCTTGATATGGACGTGGCTAAGGTATTATTTTTTTGACTTGAGTTGTGACATTTCTTTGTCAGCTTAAAGAGCTTCATGACTTTAACTGCTTTGATCAGGGTTGCGGGTTTCATGACACCAAATCCCTGAAAGAAGGCTGTGTATAAATAAAAGCCTCCGGCTGAAGCCGCCGACCCCGCATCAGAAACGCTTCAGTCGGTTCAGGGTTCAGTGTTGATACGGGGGTATATAACCATAAGTATAGTTATAAATATAGAGATAGATATCTGCATAAATATGAATATCAACATAAATATAAATTAGATATAGATATAGATATAGATATAAATATAAGTAACAGTATAAACATAAATATAAGTAGGACTATAAACATAAAATGAATATTTATATAAGTACAAACATAAATGTAAAACATATGGCATGAAGCATTAGGAAGAAGAGCGGGCTCTTGTTTGTTTCTCGGTTTCTCCGAGGGGCTCTTAATTTAATGGTTTAGGTTTAGAAGAAAACGTGAAGACCGCATGGTCCCCGAAGCTCATGGAGGTCCGTGGGTAGTTTTTAGAGTCGCAAAGGGTTTAGGGTTTAGGGTTTGGGGTTTAGGGTTTAGGGTTTAGGGTTTGGGGTCCGCCGTCAGCGGTCAGGGGTTGCGGTCGGGGGCTGCAGAAGGTCATAAGAATCCAGAGGACTCTGGGGTTGATCGACGCACCCCCACCCCCTCCCAAACCCTAAACCCCAAACCCCCCAAACCCCAAACAACCCTAAACCCCAAACCCCAAACCCCAAACCCCAAACCCCAAACCCCAAACCCTAAACCCTAAACCCTAAACCCTAAACCCTAAATCCTAAACCCTAAACCCTAAACCCACACCAACCTTGAGGCTTTTAGAGGTCCGTGGGGGGCCTTTTCGGGTCTTTCAAGGTTGCAAGGGTCTCAGGGGTTCTTCAGGGGGTCCAATGCGCACCACCCAAAACCCCAAAAGCTTTTGAGTACTTGCAAAAGGCGCTCTCTGGTTCAAAGTCAGTGTCTCCAGTGCAAGGGTACGAGGCAGTCCCCAGTGGGGGTGTCAAAAGGCATGAAGCCCCCAAGTCACGAATTTCGGAAGCCCGAGCATGCTTTATTCAGGTAGTTCGCGCGGCGCGGGTTCCATATGGCCCTCCCCCCCCCCCTTTCCGGTGCGAGCTAAACCCATCCAACACGCCGCCAGAGTCCGCGGATTGCTTTATTCATGGTTGAGGGTTTCATGACATCAAATCCCTGAAAACAAGGATCAGAAAAACCACGAAAAATCATCCCAATGATAGCCCTTAGAATGCTCAGAGTAAGCACTGTAGTGATGGCACGATAAGTCCCAAATCTTACACCGCGCTCCAGCCCCCTAAATCTCGATCCCATCTTCGAATGCCCAGCGTGAAGGCCAGAATTTCCATCAGGGGGTTGTTCTTCCTCAGGGACCCTTTTAGGAGCCTCGCAGAAAGCTATATCTGGAAAGGTGCCCAAATTGAGAAGCAACCCCTCCCCCCTAAACCCTAAAGCCCTAAACCGTAAAACCCTAAACCCTAAACCCTAAAACCCGAAAACCCTAAAACCCTAAAACCTAAAACCCTAAACCCTAAAACCCTCAAACCCTCAAACCCTAAAACCCAAAAACCCTAAAACCCTAAAACCCTAAAACCCTAAACCCTAAAACCCTAAACCCCAAACCCTAAACCCTAAACCCTAAACCCTAAACCCTAAACCCTAAACCCTAAACCCTAAAACCCTAAAACCCTAAACCCTAAACCCTAAATCCCTAAACCCTAAAACCCTAAAAGCCGCGCACGTGCGACTCGCAGCATCCTGAGGCAATCCGGGCCGCCCGGGCCACGGCGACGCCTTCTCCAAGGTCGGTGACCGAAACCAAGGCCCGGGGCCCCCCAATTCTTTTTTGTGTTGTTCTGGTCATTATTGTTACTACTACTACTACTACTACTACTACTACTACTACTACTACTACTACTACTACTACTACTACTACTACTACTACTACTACTACTACTACTACTACTACTACTACTACTACTACTACTACTACTACTACTACTACTACTACTACTACTACTACTACTACTACTACTACTACTGCTACTGCTACTACTACTACTGCTACTGCTACTACTACTACTACTACTACTACTACTACTACTACTACTACTACTACTACTACTACTACTACTACTATACTACTACTGCTACTGCTACTACTACTGCTATTGATTATGATGTGTGATGATTACTAATGTTGCACCCTGTTTAGTATCGGCCCCCGCTTTAAAGACAAACTGGCCGAATTATTCAGGACATGCTGACTGTTTGGGAGTCCCTCTTTAAAGTCAAATCGTCCGGGCGCCGTAAGAAAATTCCACGTGGCGCGCCTTTAAAAAAGATAACCGGGCATCGCTGCCCCTTTTGAACCTATCTAAACTCCTCCCTATTAAAATCATATGAGCCCCCGGGCCGTGTAATCAGGATCCCATCCACCCTCGCGACTGTTCAGGGGGGGGGGGGGGGGGGGCCCCCACACTAAACAGGGTGCAACATTACTATTATTCTTACTATTATTATCAGTACTACCATTACTACAATTCTTGTTATTGTTATTATTAATATTGTTATGAATATTATGGTTGTTGTGATTATTATCATTATCTTGATTATTATTAGTATTATTGTTGCTGTTATTATTATTGTGATTGGCTCCCACGCAACGTAAACGCACAAAACGCGCGCGTCGATTACATCGGTGTTTTGAGTATTTCGTTTGCTTGACATGCCGTAAACACCACTGGCGTGAGTGTTTTCGCTGCGTGCGATTTCCACGTTCTCACGTATGTGGAAAGCATCGTGATTTGCGATGTTTCGCGTGTGTACGAGGCCAGAAATATCGTTATTAGCCATGCTTCGCACGTGTTGGAGCCCAGAACATTCTACATCCATGCCCGCACGATGATTACGTCCGTGTGTGTTACCAGTGAATGCGAGTCCAGACCCCTTACCGTAGCCTTAAGCCTCACGCCCAGTACTATTTCTTTACAGTGCGCGAAAATAAGTTCAGCCAGTTGTTTGCGGCACGCGTTTACGTCGCGTGGGAGCGGTGTTGCTATTATTATTATTATTATTATCACTATTATTATTACTTCTTACTATTATTGTTGTTGATATTTCAGTCGTGAATGAAGACAATTCCATACGACTGGTAACAAGAACCGTAAATCATAGATAATCACAGTAATAAGAAGAACCTTGTTCTTAATTTAATCATGCTAGCCCTCGTCGTAAGAATCTCAAGGAACAACCCCCTACCTGTGACTCCGTAACCCAAACCCGAGCAGAATAGTAGGTTCCAACCCCCCTAAATGTAGTGCAAAAAGTCCCAGAATAGTAACGAAACGGAGCCCCAGGGTACACCCTATACCCTAGACCCTGAACCCTGAACCCTGAACCCTGAACCCTGAACCCTAAACCCTAAACCCTAAACCCTAAACCCTAAACCCTAAACCCTAAACCCTAACCCTAGAATGCCCAAACCCGGATCATGCCAGGACCTCGCCATCGAAAAGCCTCGGCGGTCGCTGGAACGAACTGGGACCTGGAGTTGATTTGGGGAAGGGGTTTGGGGGTTCGGGGTTTAGGGTTTAGGGTTTAGGGTTTAGGGTTTCGGATTTAGTCTAGGGTTTGCCGCAAGAGGCCTTGCTCAGAAGCTACTATGAAATGATACGGGGACCCTCTTTATTTCACACCCATTAAATATAGTAATAGCGAAGCAAAACCATGCGTCGTTTGGCTGGTGGAAGTTGTCGGAGGAGGGGTCCTCTAACTCTTCGGAGCTTAGCACCTTTTATCTCTTGCTTGCTATGTCTCCACCAGCCAGAACAGCTGCAGGGCTTGTACAAATCGATGTGGGCGTGGCGTGCAACATGCAGGCTGCCCGAAGTGTCACCAAAAGGCAGAGACCGGATATGTTGGTGGCTGTAAAAAATTATGATCCCTGTTGGGGTACCCTAAATATTAAGTGCCATATTATAACAGGGATCCAAAAAGGGACCATAATTTAAACAACCACCCATTGAGCACATGTAGGGCCAAAGAGAGAATGGCAAATCCCTATTGGTGAGATTGTGGGAGCGCACGGGTCCTGACGTACACAAGTTCGCAGCAGGGGACCACCTTCTGGGAGGTTCATGGTACTTAGTAACCCAAGTATAACTGTACTTATAACCCAATTGTAACCCCTTTAAGGGTACTTAAGGGCGTATGTGTGGGTTATATCTACGCTTATGCTGGGCTATTAAGTACCCTGATCCTCCAAGTTGTGCATATGCCCTTTCGTGCACGATGCGCCTTGCGCAAGCTGAACAGCTGGCTCGAAGAGACGTGCGCGGCGCCTCCTTCGCGCTCCGTGTTTTTGAGCAGCTGGCCTCCGCCATTGGAGGAGGTCTTATAGGGTTCTTAAGGGAAGGGGGTTGAAGGGGGGTTAGGTACCTAAACAAAACCTTAGGGAAGCTTCGGGAGCCTTAGGGAGTCCGGGGGAGTAGTAGGGAACCTTGGGTTACATACCCCCCTTGAAAACCCCTCCCTTAAGAACCCGACAAAGGTCGGGTGGGTCTTTGGTACTTGGAGCACGTCTGAGTGGTAGGGATTCCCAGAAGCGCAACACTTGAGTCACTCGAGCTGTTCTCTGTTATATTGGTAGTATGTTACATTATATTATTCAAATACAATTATTGGGGTTGTTACATCATATTCTTATATATCTTATTACTATATTATTCTGGTATTGTTTTGTTATATTTGTACATACATGTAGTCTTATATCTTTATATTCGTACGCTAGTATATCTGTCTGAACCATCTGAAGCTGTTCGCAGGCAGCGTCGTCATTACGGCCATCAGCACATGGCTTTGGAAGGCACGGACCCAAAGCCCCAAAGCCATAAATCCTTAGTCCGCAGCTTGGAAGCCTGCTCGGGTTGGGTTTAGGGTTCAGGGTTTAGGGTTTAGGGTTAGGGTTTAGGGTTTAGGGTTTGGGTTTCGGGCTTAGGGCTTAGGGCTTAGGGTTTAGGGTTTAGGGTTTAGGGTTTAGGTTTAAAGTTTGGGGTTTTGGGTTTGGGGTTTGGGGTTTTGGGTTTAGGGGTTGGGGTTTGGGTCTTCCATGATGAGCTGCGCTCTTCACATGCCTTTTACGCACATGATTCACAGTGTGTCATTAATTGGAGGTTCACGGTACTTATGAACCAATTATAACTGTACTTATAACCCACTTACAAGCCCCTTAAATATGGTTATAAGTACAGTTATCAGTACTGTTTTGCTTGGTTCATAAGTACCCTGAACCTCCAAGTAGCGTGCTGATTTTTGGCAGGCCTGGGGCCTTGAGCCTGGAGCCGAGATACATGCGGGAGCGCGGAGCTGTCTGAGGTTGACTTCGTTTTGGGATGTTCCCGGTTTTACTAACAAGGGATTATAGTACCCCCTATTCTAATTCGTATCAAGGACTGGTAGGTAGTTTAAGGGGGAACATCCCAAGTTCTTTTTTGGGCTTGGCGCTTGATCATAGATTTTGCGGCTCATCCCAGGTCGTTCGGTCGGAAGTAAGTCGCAGGAAAAGAGGTTTTGCAGCTGGGGCATAGCCGTGGCCAAGCCAGCTAGCCCAGGACCTTGGTTTGGTTCGATTGTTGCGCTTCGTGATTGGGGGCCAGCTGGTGTTCGGTCTTGGGATGTTCCCCCTTCTACTCACTGGCCTTACTGGGGATTCTAGTACCCCTAAACCCTAAACCCGAAACCCTAAACCCTAAACCCTAAACCCTATTCCTCTTAAGGAGCTGTTAGTATATGAGAGTAACATCCCAAGTTAGGTCCTGGACTCGCGGTGGCGCTCCGGGCTCTTGCTCTGCGGAGCAAGCGCCGCCCGAGCCTGAGCAGTAGGGTTTAGGGTTTAGGGTTTAGGGTTTAGGGTTTAGGGCTTAGGGCTTAGGGCTTGGGGCTTGGGGTTTAGGGTTTAGGGTTTAGGGCTCTGGGTGATGCGGCTTTTGGAACGTTCGGGGGTTTAGGGTTTAGGGTTTAGGGCTACCGACTCTCCTTGAGGTCTTCGTCCAGTTCTTCGGGCTTGAGTAGCAGCTCATCTTGGCAGAAAGAGGCCGAGGACCTCGGCGAGGCCACGCGGGTCCACGGTTGCAGAGTTCAATATCTGAAGCTGGAGGGTTTAGGGTTTAGGGTTTAGGGTTTAGGGTTGAGGGTTTAGGGTTTAAGGGTTTAGGGTGGTAAGGCTAGCAAGTCTAGTAGGGGACTTTTTCTCGCTACCGACATTTGCGGCCACATGCCGCATCACAACAACGGGTGCGTGGCGTGGTTTACCGACAAGCGGTGTCGCTGGGATCTGTAACAGCTTCGCAGGAGGGTCTACATTGTGTTGCATCTTTTGCATTCAGGAGAAGGCTGACGCAAGACATTTCCAGCCGTCAGCCTAGCCTACAAGCTTGCAAGCTTTCGCAGCGACTGCGTGCTTGCAATGCGGATCCGTATGTCCATCCCAGGCTAATGGAAGACGCCGCAGCCTAAGACCCAACCGGCATGTCGCATGAGAGGCCCCCGGAAGACGTTGCGTTTGTTTTTTTTGCAGGGCTGCCCGGAAAACGTTGTTTGTGTCGCTGTTGCTCCCCTCTCTGTTCCTCCATCACCGCCACAAAGTCTACGTATGTTTTGGAACTCAGCGTTCCATGTCCCAGCGCTCCCGCTACTTGGAGGTTCATGGTACTTGTTTGAACCATATTAGGGCACGTATATAAGGGGCCTATAATAAGGTTATAAGTACAGTTAGAATTGGTTAATAAGTACCCTAAACCCTAAACCCTAAACCCTAAACCCTAAACCCTAAACCCTAAACCCTATAAGTACCAAGTAGCTGAGGCGCGAGGGAAGGATAACGCTTACAACAAGATCAGCTCCGCCCTCGAGTCCGCGCTTGCACCGGCGGCGGGCGGCTCAGGGCGCTGGAAGCTGTGGAATACATGTCTGGGTATGTAGGTATGTATGTATGTATGTATTGTATTATACTATACTATATTTTATTATACTATATTATATTATACTATATTATATTAAATTTTACTATACTATATTATACATATGATATTTATACATATTCACATATGAATATGAATATATATATATATATATTAAACATAATAATCATCATAATAATAAAAATAACAATAATATATATATATATATATATGTATACGAAAACATATGTTGAACTTCGATGGCTACGACTCAAGGGGCTGGGCAATAGAGCTGGCAGTGGAAGAAAGCTACAGAAAAAGCTACAGAAAAAGTCTCCCCCAACTTTTGCAGCCCAAAAAAAAACCTAAACCCTAAACACTAAACCCTAAACCCTAAACCATGCTGAGGCTGACGGTTCCAGCAGCTCCGTCTCGGGATGTGGGAGCTCGAACGACAGCGCCAGTCCCGGCCCGGTCGCCGCGCAGCAGACTCGAGGCGGACGCGCTGCGCCATGTTGCACCTGCCGGTGATCAGGGTTTAGGGTTTAGGGTTTTGGGTTTAGCATGTAGGCCATTGATGTGCTGGTGGCGCTGGCAGCTGATGTGCAAGCGACTGCGGAGATACGTGCCCTTCCTTCCTGTAGGAATACACATGGGTAATTCCGAAATTAGGGGTGCTTTAGTGGGGTACTGATTGAAGGGGATCCTGGGAATTGAGGGTCTTTTTTGGGGGTCCCCTATTTTCGTGAACCCCCAGATGGGTATTTCCCAAAATAGGGGTAGAAGAATCCCCTTAAAAGCGTCCCCAAAACGGGTACCCCCTATTGTCAGAAGCCCCCCGCTATGTTGAAGATATGCAGGCCCAGCATGGTTCGGGCAGATGTCAGCAGAAACCCGAGTTCCGCCGTCCATGTTGGGCCGTTTTTCGGCTCCAGCTCCCACCTTGTCTTGTGGGAACCTTAGTTGGGCACGGGAGTTGCTTTGCCGAGCGCCTGTGCTCCGATGCCTGGCGCCTCGCTGGGCAAGATGAGTATTTCTCCAACTAGGGGTGCCCCCCGTTTTCCCCCAAATCGAATAGAATCCCCTTAAAGGGACCCGCCAGAAAGGGTTCGGAAACCCCCCATATCTGTGGGTTCGCTCCTGGTTCTTGCTGCGTTAACAAGTCGAGGCGCAAGGGCACGAAGGGTTGGACCGCACATTGTTATCCTGCTATGCTGTTATATATATATATAATACTGTTATATATATATATACACTGTTATATATATATATATACTGTTATATATATATATATTGTTATCCTGCTATGCTGTTATATATATATATATTGTTATGTGTTATTGTGTTTTTCTATACTGCTATGTTGTTATCTAAAAAGTCCGGCGAGTGGTAGCTCAGGTGCGTCTACGTTGTCTGCTCACATCCCAGGTGCACGCATGATGCATCATGTAGGGCTTAGGGTTCGGGGTTTAGGGTTTGGGGTTTAGGGTTTAGGGTTTAGGGTTTAGGGATGCGGTGCCTTTGTCAGCGATCTTTTTTGGCCCCACCGTCGTTGCAAAGCTCCCCCGTCTTCGCCCAAGCCTCCGAACCTGGGCGCAGGATGAGACTCACTCCGTGCGGAAGCAGTGCCCTTGCATTGGTGGTCGTTACAGGCTTTGAATGGCTAAAATGTGCTGATAAGCGACACAACTCTTCGGAGCTGTGTGCCCCCTCTCCCTTGCCGCCTGTCCCGTCCTTCCCCCTCCTTTCCTCTCCTTTCCCCTCCTTTCCTCTCCTTTCCCCTCCTTTCCTCTCCTTCCTCCTCCTTCTCCTTCTTCTCGTTCTCCTTCCCCTCCTTCCCCTGCTCGCCCTCCTTCCCCTCCTTCCCCTCCTTCCCCTCCTTCCCCTCCTTCCCCTCCTTCCCCTCCTTCCCCTCCTTCCCCTCCTTCCCCTCCTTCCCCTCCTTCCCCTCCTTCCCCTCCTTCCCCTCCTTCCCCTCCTTCCCCTCCTTCCCCTCCTTCCCCTCCCCCCTTTGCTGCACTGCAGAATGTAGCAGGCACGCTGTCAGTGGCCGTGCGGAAGCTCCATGAAGTAGCCTTGAGAGGCCTTTTCCGTTTCGAAGCGGCTGCATACACCCCGTTTGTTTCACCAGGGTGGGTGCCTCAGCTCGCTCCTGTACCTGTGCCTGGGTTTTGGGTTTAGGGTTTAGGGTTCTGGTCCAACCTGTTTCTGTGCACAGATCACACAGGTCCGGAGTCCCGCACCATCTTGGGGTGTCGGCGTCCCGAGCCCAGTGCCCATAGAGTTTAGAGTGTTTAGGGTTTAGGGTTTAGGGTTTAGGGTTTAGGGTAACCCACGATCCTGTCAAGGGGCCAGCTGCTGCGAAAGCACCAGCCACCTCGTGACCACCTGGTGCGGCTCTTAAGCGGAGTCATGGCAGGCTGCTGCGACCCACCATGCCTTGTCATCCCTGCGCTTGCAGCCAAGGATCACCGACGGAAACACGCAGTTGCCGTTGACGGCCATGCAAACCTAGTAGACATGAGCAGGACCGAGTCGGCTGCATGCAATCATAGGATCCCAAGAAGGGAGGTCCCCACCAAAAAGCGCAGAACTCAGAAAGACATCCGGACTAGGAAGGACGATTATGGGAGATTCGTGCAGTTCAGGCTACAAGCGGTCCGAGGATTCCTTGTAAAGGCTCTCCCTTGGGATCCAGTAGATTCCACGCCAACACTGAATCACACATTTTACGCTCATGCTGTCTAAGCTGAGCTGCCTGCGAGGCAACTGCTTAGTTGCCATCAGTGAGCCAGAATGTTGTGCATGGCAGATTGCCAGCTGGCAGGAGACACCATCTTGGCCAACCAGGATCCTTAGCCGCGCAGGAGCCCGCAAAGTCCTCAGCTTGCGGCGAAAGGCATAGACATTTAGGTCCTTGAGATGTCCTGACTTCTCCAACCTCCGGAATAAGGAAGCAGAAGCGTCTGCAGAAGAAGCTCCTGCTGAAGACGCCGCAGAAGAGGCCACCGAGGAGGCCTCGGGAGAGGCCACCGAAGAAGCGGCAGCTGAGGAGGGCACGGAAAGCTCTGGTGCAACGGAGGGGGCCGCAGGAGATGCAGAGGGTGCCGCAGAGGGTGCGGTTGAGGGTGCGGCTGAGGGTGCGGCTGAGGGTGCGGCCGAGGGTGCGGCCGGGGGTGCGGCCGAGGGTGCCGCGGAGGGCGCTACGGAGGCCACGTCTGAGGGATCGGAAGCTGCAGCCGAGGGTGCGGCAAGTGCTGCAGCATCCCCGGCAGCAGCCGCAGCGCCGGCAGCTGCAGCTGCAGCCGCGGCGGCTGCTGGTGCCGTGGTGGAGGGCAGTGTCGCCGCCACAACTGTCGCAGCCACGACCGCCGCAGCCACTACGGTCGCGGCTGCCGCAACGACTGCGGTTCCCACCACAGTAGCTTTGGCAACTGGTGGTAAGGCTGCCCATCACCACAAGGTGAAAGCCGTTGCCCCAGGTGCCCCTGGTGCAAAGGCGGCAAAGGACACGAAGACTAAAAGCAGCGGCTCATCGGGCGCTGGCTTGCCGTGGAAAGGCATCATTCTGGTGGCTTGGAAGCATGCCCGCTGTTGTCATGAAGTGCATACACCGTATACAGGATGGCGTGAGTGGCTAAGGTGCTTTCAATCATCGCACTTGTCGTGTTCCTTGGACCGAAGCTCTACGAGGCCACAATCAAACCTGCTCGGTCCTTGCCCGCGTTATTCGGACTAGGAGTTTTAGGCTGTCGGTTCTAGAAAGCAGCTCCCAAGCGCGAAACAACAAGTTCCTTAAGCGCGCTAGAATACAGGGCCAGTTCTCTATATCAAACCCTAAACCCTAAACCCTAAACCCTAAACCCTAAACCCTAAACCCTAAACCCTAAACCCTAAACCCTAAACCCTAAACCCACAATTTAGAGAACTGTCTGTCGGCCTCTTTGCTGCAGATGGTGACGGCGAAGCCGCCACTCCCTGGCCGCCTGAATGAGATCAAGAGCGAGCCATCGGATCAGCAGGTGGGGCCAACACAGCACTCATCAGCACTCAGAATCATGTGTTCCTAGTACTAGTACTACTACTACTACTACTACTACTACTACTACTACTACTACTACTACTACTACTACTACTACTACTACTACTACTACTACTACCACTACTACTACTGCAGTACTACGACGACGACGACGACGACGACGACGACGACGACGACGACGACGACGACGACGACGACGACGACGACGACGACGACGACGACGACGACGACGACCACGACGACCACGACCACCACGACCACCACGACGACCACGACGACCACGACGACCACGACGACCACGACGACCACGACGACCACGACGACCACGACGACCACGACGACCACTACGACCACGACGACCACGACGACCACGACGACCACGACGACCACGACGACCACGACGACCACGACGACCACGACGACCACGACGACCACGACGGTCACGACGACCACGACGACCACGACGACCACGACGACCACGACGACCACGACGACCACGACGACCACGACGACCACGACGACCACGACGACCACGACCACGTATCCAATGCCAATACTAATCTCAAAAACCATTTCCCAATATCTTATGCTAAGACTATTAATTACCACCAATTACTAGTGCTAGGGCTAGTAGGAATTAGTAGGGATAACAAGACTAATATAGGTACTTCAAGTTAGTACTCATACTCCTATTCCCCTTGGGGCGACAGTCGTTGCGCACATCCACTTGTCCTACCCTTGTAAGCCCTTCGTCACCCAAGGCCACAGCTTCATGGGAATACAGTGGCATCCATGCACGAAGTTGCAAGGTTTGGGCTTCGTCGAAAGCTCGGCAAACCTACAGGAGCCGTCTAGAGCAGGGGTGATGTCTGTGAATCTTGGGCTGGAGTTGCCAACCCAACATTGATTGAGTCGCATTGTCTAGGTCGACATGTTACGTTCTGCGCAGGAAATCCGTCCTTGCTGCGCAGTCCAACAAGAGCAGCAGCGACAGTGAGGCGGCCAAACATGTACACACCTGCAGCGCAGGGCTTCCTTTGGCTGCCCCACACCATGCTCATGCTGAGGCTGTCTGGCGCTGCCTACTAGGTTCACGGGGAAAGCTTCTGTGCTGTGTCCGGCAGGATGCGGGTGCAAAGCCAGCACCGCCACTGCCTCAGCCTATCTGGCCTGTTGCAGCACGCTGCTACACCTCCGCCATGGGTTCTACCCTGGCTCCCATCCACAGATGAGTCGCCCGTAGAGCCCTAGAGTGTAGCCGCACGCAAGTGATCCGTCCCTCCCTGACTGAGACCCAGCGATTCACGCCTCGGATCGCTTTTGTAGGGCTAAGCCCCAACCCTAAACCAGGGCGCCTGCCCCCCCCCCCCCCCCCTCCTAAACCCTACACCCCAAACCCCAAACCCCAAACCCCAAACCCCAAACCCCAAACCCCAAACCCCAAACCCCAAACCCTAAACCCTAAACCCTAAACCCTAAACCCTAAACCCTAAACCCTACCCCCAAGGCGCGGCAGCACGGCCAGCGGCGCCAGCGGCGGCAGCCGCGATGCCGGCAAGGCTTCGCCTGCGGCCAAGGAGCCCAAGGAGGCCACCTGGCTGCCTTAAGGGTTTAGGGTTTAGGGTTTAGGGTGAGCCCTGTGGTACTCTTTTGCCCCTTTTTGTTGGGTTCTGGGTTCCCTAAACCCCAAACCCCAAACCCTAAACCCTAAACCCTAAACTAAACCCGAAACCCTACAACCCAAGAAGGGTAGCCCTTATAAGATGGCTGCTGGGGCTCCAAGGCCAAAGAGGCCAACAAGGAGGCCAAGGAGGCCAAGGCCTGCAGGAGGTTTTAGTTTTTTGACGTTACGGGTGGGGGGGGTGGGGGGTGGGGGGTGGGGGGTGGGGGGTGGGTGGGGGTGGGTGGGGGGTGGGGTGGATCTTGGGGGTGGGGGGTGGGGGGGGGTGGGGGTCCTAAACACTAAACCTTCCTAAACCCAAAGCCTGTTTTTTTTTGGATCTTAGGGCTTGATGTGGGGTTAGGTGGACGGGGTTTTATCAGATCCGATTTTCTCGCATTTCTTGATGATTTTGTCGAATGGCCAGTTGATTCAGCTCGAGCGTTGGGTGTTGAATCAGGGTCAGGGAACGTGGACTGACCGTCTGTCCGGACAGCTCAAGAGCAGTTGTAGAGGTCCCCCGCCTGCTCTGCACTTGCGGTTAAATTGGGACTGTCACTCGTGCAGGACAGTGGTGGCGGCGCATCTCGGGAAGAGGCCGTGGAGTGGAAGACGCAGCTTCGGGTAAGGTAGCGGTGCTTGGATGTGTGAGACCCCTTCTCATTTGGGAGTATACCTGAAATAGACCCCCCCCAAATAGTAGGATTCCCTTCTAATAAGGACCCCAACAAGGTACCCCTAATTTTAACGCTACGCGGCCCGCCTCGGCCGGGGCCTTGGCAGCCTTTTGAAGACCAGGCTCACCGATTCCGCAGATCCCTCATGTCATTGTCGAGCCGATGTGCTGCTCAATGATAGCGGGTTGGGGGCGGGGGTGGGGGGGGGGGGGGCGCAAGATCCCCAAGCTTTCATCAGGCAGCTAGCAGCTGGAGCAGCCCCCTTGTTTCTGCAGGACCTTGCAAAGCACCATTCGCCTTCGGACTTTTTGGTGCTGCGTGTAGGGTTTAGGGTTTGGGGTTTAGGATTTAGGGTTTAGGGTTTAGGGTTCCTGTGCTTCCAGCCTGGCCGTTTGCACCATTTTTAAAACCAATGGACTGGGACGTGGCTCCTCGTCGGGCTGTCAGCCTCCCCTATGCACATGGTCGGCTGGTGCTTCGTGATCCCCTGCAGATCACGGTTTAGGGTTTAGGGTTTAGGGTTTAGGGACTCCGTTCCTTGCACTTGGCATGTTGCCCTTTACTGTCGAGTCGCCTCCCCTTCGACATGCCCGCTTGGGTTTAGGGTTTAGGGTTTAGGGTTTAGGGTTTAGGGTTTAGGGTTTAGGGTTTAGGGTTTAGGGTTTAGGGTTCAGGGTTTAGGGTTTAGGGTTTAGGGTTTAGGGGGCTTAGTTGAAAGATGAAGAATTCGCGTTGGTATCCTTGTTGGAGACTGTTCAAGACAAGCTGTGCGGGCATTCAGCCCCACGTTTCACCCCCTAGTGATTTGCCATCCGTCGGCTTTCTCCGGCCCTAAACCCGAAACCATAAACCCTAAACCCGATAGCCCTATAACCCTTAACCCCTGAAACCCGAAAGCCCTATAAACCCCAAGCCCTAAACTCGATAACCCGTAAACCCCTGAAGGCCCTAAACCCTAAACCCTGAACCTCCCCCCAAAACCCTAAACCCCAAACCCCAAAACCCTAGACCGCAAACCCTGAACCCCAAGACAAGCCCTCAAGAAGGGCCGAAAGGCCCTAATCCCTAAACCCTCAACCCTAAACCCCAAACCCTAAACCCCAGAAGGCCCTAAAGGGTCCCTCTAAGCCAGGCCCCCAGGGCCTCCACAAGCAGCCGACAGCGATCCCCATCGGCCTCCTCTGGCTCGCCACTCGCCTGCCTTGGGTTTAGGGTTTAGGGGTGAGGGGTGAGGGGTGAGGGGTTGAGGGTTTAGGGTTTAGGGGTTGAGGGTTTAGGGATGTTTAGGGTTCAGGGTTCCCCCTCCGGCAAATTAACAGAAGCAGCCGCCAAGGTATCGAGCCAGACGCACCGCTGCCAACAAATCCTCCGGGAACTGAGCGGTGATGGTTTCAGCACGCCAAAACTGTCACCGTCTGTCGTCGTCTCAGTCGGTTCTTCTTTACCTCTCTTGACTAGAAGGCTTTGCCTGGAGAATCTGATGCCTCCACCGAGTATATTGGTAACCCCGCCGCGCGGAACGACCAAAAAAGGTGTGCCTCTTGATGCTGGGGAGGGGGTGAAGCTGATCAACGACTGGAGTATTCGGCATTTACCAGGTCTGCAAGCGAAATCCCTGGGCACTCGTATCCGAACTTGGCGTTGAGTCAGGCGGTCCGTCTTTGCCTCACCAGCCGAACACGGAGGAGTCGCCCTACCGCAGCCTAGCTGAGGTGCTGGCGGGAGCTTGTGTGAGGACGTGCTTTTGCATTTGGTCGGATGCCTTGGCTTTTGTGAACCGGACAGGTCGAGGAGAGATACCTTGCTGCAGCGAGGACGCTGAAGCATGCAACCATTGCAAGACACTCTCTGGTCTCTTTTGGGGTTACTATTAGAAGGGCCCTAAACCCTAAACCCTAAACCCTAAACCCTACAGGTTACTATTAGAAGGGCCTTTAGGGTACCCAAAAAAGGGACCATCATTCCGAGAGCTCACCATCTTGGTCGTGTGAGGTGGTAACCATGCGTGTTGAGGGGTTTAGGGTTTAGGGTTTAGGGTTCTTAAGGGAGGGGGCTTCACGCAGGTTATGTAGCCCAAGGTCCCCTAATACTCCCCACTACTCCCCAAAGGCTCCCTAAGGCTCCCTAAGCTTCCCTAAGGTTCCCTAAGGTTCCCTAAGGTTCCCTAGGCACCTACCCCCTATGAACCCTAAACCCTAAACCCTGAACCCTGAACCCTGAACCCTGAACCCTAAACCCTAAACCCTAAACCCTAAACCCTAAACCCTCTTAAGAGCCCTATAACTATAAGAGCGGGGGAACTCACCGGTCGGCCACGCGCGCCGCAGCCCTTGGAAGGAAGGATCCTACAACTGGGCTGCCGGCTGGGGCCCGAGCTGGTATGAAGTCCGAATCCGAACCCTAAACCCTAAGCCCTAAACCCTAAACCCTAAACCCTAGACCCTAAACCCTAAACCCTAAACCCTAAACCCTAAACCATCGCCTTGCCCACAGCCGTGTACGTCCACTGGAGGTTTCGGCAGCGAAGTTCTACTGGCACTAGTCGTAGGTCCTGTGAGGGGATATTTCAGATTTGCCCGTATTGGGTACCCTAAACCCCCTAAATCCTAAACCCTAAACCCTAAACCCTAGACCCTAAACCCTAAAGAGGGAATTAAGGGCCATCTTAGAGCCGCTTCCCCCTTCCGAGATTTGCAGCACCTGCGGGCGTCTGGGGCATCCGCTCTGCGGCCTCAGGCCAGGCTGCGGGATGCTTTGGGTTTAGGGTTTAGGGTTTAGGGTTCAGGGTTTAGGGTTTAGGGTTTAGGGTTTAGGGTTTAGGGTTTAGGGTTTAGGGTTTAAGGTTTAGGGTTTAGGGTTTAGGGTTTAGGGTTTAGGGTTTAGGGTTTAGGGTTTAGGGTTTAGGGTTTAGGGTTTAGGTGCAGTAAGACCCATCCTGCTCTGCATGCTCTTCTTGAATGCCCTCTATCTTCCGCTCTCCCGCAGCGCATTCTTCCTGAGCCAGCAATGCCCCATATCCTTGCCCTGAGCAGCCACTGAGAGCCCCACGAAGCTCCCAAGCAGCCGCGGAGCGGAGTACCTGAGGTACTGGATCACTCTGCGATCGGCTTGGCTCAGGCAAGACCATCAGACTACTTGGAGGTTCAGGGTACTTGTTAACCAATTATAACTGTACTTATAGCCCACTTATAAGCCCCTTAAGTGCCCTATTATGGTTATAAGTATTAAAAGTACACTTATCATGGGTGAATAAGTACCATGAACCTCCAAGTAGGGCCGAGCTTGCAGAACACTTCTGCGCCTCAATCAGCAAACCTAGAGTTCCGCAATCGCAGCCAGCAGCATGAGTACAAGTAAGTGGGGGTTTTACGAAAACAGGGGACCCTTAAAGTAGCCCCCCCGCCCCCCAAATAGTAGGATTTCAGGGTTTAGGGTTTAGGGTTTCTTATAGTACAGACCCCAGAAGGCACCGCGATTTCGGAAGCCCCCAAGTGTGAGAGGTTGCCGGAGGAGATTGTGGGTGAAGAGCCTCACAGCTTCGAGGCCAAGACCGCATGCAGGGTTTAGGGTTTAGGGTTTAGGGTTTAGGGTTCCGGGTTTAGTTTGGCTCAGAAGCTCTCCAAACTTGGGCGCCTGCCTGAAGGACCCGGGCTCTGTGCAGATCGCCCGACAAGCACAGATAGGCCGGGTTTCGTTCCGATGTATCCTAAACCCTAAACCCTAAACCCTAAACCCTAAACCCTAAACCCTAAACCCTAAACCCTAAACCCTAAACCCTAAAATTCCATTCCCTGGTCCCCAGCTCTCAGACTACGTCCCTGAACTCAGCCCTGAATCTGAAGGCTTTGTGCGGGAGATCAGTGAGGGCGAGGCAGAAGATCTTGAGGTCCGAAGCCGGCAGATGGCCCCTGCACTCTAGGGTTTGGGGTTTAGGGTTTAGGGTTCAGGGGTTTAGGGTCGTAGTGTCTGTACACACAGCACCTAGAGAGCAAGGTGTAAGATTCTTGTATCCTGCCAGAGATGTGTTCGACTTGGTGTTTTGTTTTCTTCCCAGAGACTCGAAAACCCCTTAATTAAGCAATATACCTTAAATTATAGTAGGAACCCTAATATGATTTAAGGTATTTTCTTTATTTAAGGGGTTTTGGAGGCTCTGGGTTCCTGTGCTTCTGATGCGGAGGACTGCCTGGATGCCATTCAAAGGCCATTCCCGCTGCTACGGCGGTCGATTCCCCTGTCGCAGGCCAGCACTTCGATTCAGGGACCTGCAGCGGCCTTAGGGTTTAGGGTTTTGTGAGGCTTGGGGGTTTGGGGTTTAGGATTTAGGGTTTAGGGCTCAAGCCCTGAACCCTATCCCTAAACCCTCAGTTGTAAAAGCTCTCCGTAATTCCGCAGCGAGGCGGTCCAATATGCCGAGGCCTTGTGGGATCGGAGCTCAGCTGTTTGTGTGCTTTGCTTGGCAATCCTGTGGTGCATAAGAATATATATATATATATACATACACATGTAGAGTAACAAATAAAGAGAGTAGTATATAGTAATGTACATATATATATATATGTTATGTATAGTAGTATGATATGTACATAGTAAATTGTGGTGGTAACTGTGGTAACATATATGACATTCGTCTCGTTTCAGCTTCATAGGCAAGGAAGAGGCAATAGTGACATGCCCACTATGTGACCCAGACCAAGCCTTGCAAGGAAGACTGACTGCTTGGGCAGCAATGCGCCGCAACTTGCACCGCAAAGCGATCATTTGTGATTGCCCGAGCTGCGTGGGCCCGCCATAGTCCTAACATTAAAGTCAATTCTAGCATCAGGATCAGCAATATACCGGCCCTGAAGCTAGGGCGTGCTAGGGCGAGACAGAAGCAGCTTCATGTCATGCCTCTGTGCACATTGTGCCAAGAGACATGCAGTGCCTCATGCAGTAGCCACTGCAAGCAGGCTTGTGCTCACTTGTGCAAGATTTCACTCCAGACATTGGTCTGGCTTCGCAGTATCTAGAGAAGCGGCCCAAGTACTCATGGTGGCCTGCTGAGGGCTAGATTCGAGTTGAGAGCGAAGTGATTGGTAGAAGAAGCCTAAGTTGGACCAGGCCACGAATGAAAGGTTCGTCAGCCGACTACTAAGTCAGGGCGTTCGGGCAAGCAGCTGGAGTTTTGTACAGCTTGCTTGGCGAGGCTTAGCCTAGCTCTGCGTGGATCAAAGATGATCAAAGCAGTTCCGGTCACTGGGCTCGCTGCAAAGCGGGCCATCCCCAAAGAAGCGCTGAGATCTGAGGATAGCTGAACAGTAGAGATCTTGCAGTGCATCTTCCCCGGCACGAGTCGTTTCAGCTGCTTTGAGAAATCGTGTAGATTACGCGTGCAGGTGGGCAGTGCCAGGTTGCCAGAGTAGGTCGAAGGCCTCGGAAAAGGCCGTGGCCTCTCACGGCAGGGCCTGGCCTCAGCTGCCGGGGTGCAGAGACTCGGGTTTAGGGTTTAGGGTTTAGGGTTTCGGGTTTCGGGTTCAGGCTTTAGGGTGTGGGGTTCAGGGTTTAGGGTTTGGGGTTTAGGGTTCAGGGTTTAGGGGGTTTAGGGTTTAGGGTTTAGGACTAGACCGGGCCATTCCTGTGTATCAGGGCGCCGTGATATCGCAGCTCACGAGGCATAGGTTTTGGAATCTGACGGAAGTCATACGATGCCCTTTTGGTTCCATAAAACTTGCGTCCCGGGTGTCATCCCGCAACCCTACACCCTATACCCCTCAATCCTAACCGCCCTAAAGCGCCCTCAGCTCTTGCTGATACTCGCAAGCGTGCTCGCGCTGTGGAGGAGTAACTCCGGTAGGTTCCTTGCCGCCGGCCCAGCATCCCGGCAGAGGTGGCAGAGGTCGCGTTTCAACCTGGAGGCTGCAGATGCTCAACGCAAGGGTGTTCCCTTCGCCCACGGCCAGCTCGAGCAGCTGTTTTCATCTTAGGGTTTAGGGTTTAGGGTTTAGGGTTTAGGGTTTAGGGTTTAGGGCTTAGGTAGCCCAGTGGTACCCTTGTTACCCTTTTGTTGGTTCGGGTTTCCCTTGCAAGGTAACCAACCCAAGGAAGGGCGCCCTGATTGTAAGATGGTTACTGGGCTACCAAGGTGGTAGCAGTTTTGGGTTTGAAGGCTATCAACCCTAAACCCTAAACCCTAAACCCTAAACCCTAAACCCTAAACCCTAAACCCTAAACCCTAAACCCTAAACCCTAAACCCTAAGCCCTAAACCCTAACCCTAAACCCTAAACCCTAAACCCTAAACCCTAAACCCTAAACCCTAAACCAACATGCGGGAACCCCTGGTCCGGGCTCAGGTGGCTTTTCTCTGTCAGGGCCTGGGGCCAGGCAAAACAAGCCGATCAGTCTCGTGAGGTCCTTTGGAAGTACTGGGAGGTTCATGGATACTTAGGGTCCCAAGTATAAGTCTACTTCTACTCTACTTAGGGGACTCTGGGAGCAATGCGTCTACTTAACCACCTACTTGTGGGACTTCGGGAGCTCACAAGTACCGTTCTTTTTGGGGGTTATAAGTACCCATGAGCCTCCTAGAAGCCATCTGCGCAGCTGTTTAGTCATGTGTGCGTCTGCAGGCGCGCGCTCGCGACCGTCAGTAGCCTCAAGAAGCTTCATCATCCAGGGCTGGATAGATGTTTGGGGTTTAGGGTTTAGGGTTTGGGGTTTAGGGCTCCCCGGTGAGCCTGTAAGCTCAAACGCCCTGAACAAACCCAAGTGCGCCATTGCGATCTGTGCACATTCACGTCCAGGCTGGCTGAAGCAAAGACTCCCGATGTGCGACACAAACAGTGAGCAAGGGTGCATCCCGGGAACTCAAGTTAGGTTTAGGGTTTAGGGTTTAGGGTTTAGGGTTTGGGGTTTAGGGTTTAGGGTTTGGGGTTTAGGGTTTAGGGTTTAGGGTTTAGGGTTTAGAGTACCATGACCCTCCTTGGAGGTTCATGGGACTTAGTAACCCAAGAATGACTGTACTTAGAACCCACTTACAAGCCTCGTAAGTGCCCTAATATGGTACCCACTGGGTTATAAGCACAGTTCTCATTGGGTTATTAAGTACCATGAACCTCCAAGTGCAACCTCCCAAGCCCTAACCTTTAACCCTAATTTTTGTTTTAAATTTACCTCCCCCCGCCCTTGATTGGAAATTCAAGGTTTTGGGAAATAGATCCTGGGCCCGAAGCCCAAAGCACCAGACTCCCTAAACCTCAAGGTAGGTATCAGTTTGGGAGATTTTTTCATTTTCCCTTTGGTAAGTGCCGCAAAGCCCTACTACACAGCACTGGTAGACCTTACAACCCTAAGCCCTAAACCCTAAACCCATGCAGCCTTCGGCAACATCACAAGCGTCTCACGATGCCAAAGAGACTTTGTGTTTCGGTTTCGGTACTTGCTTGGGCTGTTGAGATTCTGCAGTGCGCCGGTTTAGGCCGTTTAGGATGAAAAGCAACCACACCATTTGTGTGACGAGTTGGGTGATGTAGCTTGCAGCAGGATGCAGTTAGCTGCAATGAATGTTGCCTGCTATCGGAGTCGCGAACAGGCGGAAACACTGCATGTAGCGCAAACAAAGACAGTCCTGCATGGTTTGTAGAAGCCGCAAGCCTGAAGAGGTAGGGACATTGTGCTACTATTTGTTTAAGAACCCCAAAATTTAACACATATTCTTCCTTATAAGGGTAATATAGGATTATTATCCTTTTTTTTGGGTGTTCTTAAGCAAACAGTAGTGTGCGGTACCGGTAGCCATGGCTGTGATTCTTTAGTCGGCTACCCAATGCCATGGTAGCTCGCGACGCTCGGCGGCAGTACCGCACAGCTTGGAGACTTTGTCCGTGTAGAGTTGTGAAAAAAGCAACAAGGTGATTCAAAACTGTTGGGGTTAAGAGAACGTCTCCAATCACATGGCCGCGGAGGCACCGGCAGCCCTTTTGGCGCTAGGCCTTTCAGGCCCAATGTTTGTGTCGCAGATTCGCGCATTAGCGTGGGGGCCGAGTCTTGCAGGTGTGCAATGCAGTACAAACATGAGCTTTGAGCACCGCCGTCTGCAGGACTGTTGTGCTGATGTTTGTGCAACTGCGTCACCTCCAAGTCACTTGACGATGCCCCTGGGAGGACACGTATACCTTCTTGACGTCGCAGCTGCACTGCCAAAGTTGTTGCGAGGCCTTGTGACAGCCAGGTTAGGGTTTAGGGTTTAGGCTTCGGGGTTTAGGGTTTAGGGTTTTCTGCATGTGAGCCAATGTGCAGGGCGGCTGGGGGGTAGAGGGGGAGGAGGGGGCCGGGGGCACCGGGCGCTGCGTGCAGGAGGAGTGGCGGTCATGCCTTTGCATGCTGAGCTGCGACATTTTCCAGGCAGCTCGGTTCAAAGATCTTGGCAGCCCGCTTTGCCTTCCAGTCCGAGACATGGGGTCGCTAAAATCATGGATTGTTTTGGGATCCCTTTTTTACTGGCCCTAGACCCTAAACCCTCCTGATAATTCATTGTAACCATCTTCCACAGGATGCTAGACTTGCCGATGCAGGGCGAATGCGACGGTCTTGCCGAAGTGGAGACGTGCAACGTGGTGAGGGAATGCTACCGGAGGCCAGGGATTAGGGTTTAGGGTTTAGGGTTTAGGGTTTAGGGTTTAGGGTTGTACAGCATCTGACTTCCTACAGCGGCAAATCGCCTGTGGTGCTGAAACGCAAGCCGCACGATTGGCGACCCCTGTGAGGATTGACGATGCTTCCCCGAGAGGCTTCGACTTTGCGTGGCAATGTCGCTTAATGAAGGCTCGAGCAGTTTGGCCACTGGTGCACAAGAGCATGGGTACGTACCCCTGTACGTGCCACTAGTCAGCTTCCCAGAGACTCCAAAGCCCCTTAATTAAGGAATATACCTTACATCATATTAGGGTTCCTACTATAATTTAAGGCATATTGCTTAATTAAGGGGTTTTGGAGTCTCTGGGTTGCATGGAGTATCATGGAATGATGGCGTGCTTGCCCTGCAGTGCATCTCCTACTGCCTGAGGCACTCGGAGGCTGGTGTGTTGAAAGCAGGGGTTTAGGCCTAGGGTTTAGGGTTTAGGGTTTAGGGTTTAGGGTTTAGGGTTTAGGGTTTAGGGGTTTAGGGTTTGGGGTTTAGGGTTTAGGGTTTCACCTGTGCCTTACTGTGTCTTTGGGCATCTTTCAGTCCGGCGCTTCTCTCACATCTTGGCCAGTGCTTTGTGAACAGCTGACATGAGCAGGGTTTGCATTACTGTTATTGGGTGGGTTTAGGGTTTAGGGTTTAGGGTTTAGGGTTTAGGGTTTAGGGTTTAGGGTTTAGGGGTTTAGGGGTTTAGGGGTTTAGGGGTTTAGGGTTTAGGGTTTAGGGTGAGAGTATATAAGGTTCCTTTTATTATTGGCGAGTTAATATGACTAGAAGCCTGGTTGTTGTTATGTCGCTATGGCACCAGCTTGAGAGAAGGTGTGCGAGTCCATTCGCAACGACTTCATCGCGCGGCGGCCGAGTTCGTTAGTTTTTGGGTCTCCAGTCAGCTCCACTACTCTCAGCTTGAGAAGCGTGCACCCCGTCTTGCAACTTCCATGCTCAGGTGGATTGCAACAGGGGCCGTGAGGGCGAGCTGCACGAATGGTCCAAGCCCTGGCTTGCACTTCTCACGCAGATCCCCTAGCCTTGAGCCCATCCTTGGATGCCCATTGTGGATGCCCAGTGACGTCGTGTGCTCGCGGGCGCGGCCATCCGCATTCCTGCCTGGGCCCTGGATTACGTCGAAGCAATGGCTACCTTGCCAGGCCATGGCCGCATGCCCAAGTGAAGAGACCAGTAGGAGAGACATAGCGGGCAAGTCGGACTGTGTGTCTAAGGGAAGTTTCATGGGCCCTCAATATGGTCCCTGACCCTCTTTAAAGGGTTGTGACGCATGGGCACCTGAGGTTGTCTAGGGCGTAAAAGGGGTGCAAAGCGGTCCCCTTTTAAGGGCCCATACTACGGGACCATGAAAGGCTTAAGAATCCCTAAACGGCCTGAGTTACGGGGGGGAACCTAGCGGGGGGGTAGTATAGAGGGGGGAGTAGGGGAATCCATGACTGGTGCATGAGGCCGCTCCCGCTTGCTGCCCTCCTGGTGATCCTGACCTGGCCCCATATCGGCGGCCTGCCGATCCCTTGACATTTGCGTCCCTGCTCTGTCTGATCTGAACCCTAAACCCTGAACCTTAAACCCTAAACCCTAGACCCTAGACCCTAAACCCTAAACCCGAAACCCTAAACCCCAAACCCCCCAACCCCGAATCCCAAATCCCCAACATCCGAGTGGTCATGAAACTCGAGGCCTGTGAGTTGGCGGAGCATCCGGTCCGATGCTGGGAGCAGAAGAGAGGGCATCTGCGTCCGAGTTGCCCTGAAATCACCTCTCTATGCCGACACCCGGTTTTACGTGCGTGATAAAGTTGGCAACTGCAGAATCTTGTTGCATGCATGGCTCGTCATGCGCTGGGGCTGGGCTCACAGGGCCAAATTAGAGCTCTAGCCAAGAAATGGGATCACAATCATCTCATCAAAAGCCTTAGAGACATGATGGTAGCGCCCATCTTGGACCAGGGAGCTCTCGCACGCTGTAGCTGGGCATCTCCGACCGGCCATGTCGGGACCGAATGGGGAAGTCTTCCAGGAAGGACCTGAAGCACCTCACAGCCGTCATTTCAGGCCTCGCGATGTCTGTCTCTTGCGTCTCATGTGACCACGAAGTGTCTCCGATAGCCTCCGGAGTTGCAGTGCGAAGTCGTTCGTCCTCACTCGCTTGGGGTTTTGAGGTTTAGGGGTTTAGGGGTTTTGGGGTTTAGGGGTGTTTAGGGGTTTTGGGGTTTTGGGGTTTTGGCGTTTTGGGGTTTTGGAGTGCGCGTGCAGGTCTGGGGCGCAGCCTGCGCTGGCCCGATGCCTTGCGGCTCTTCAGGAGAAGCAGAGGCCGCGGCGACACCGACACTTGGGCTGGGTAGTTTCATGGGCCCTTAGTATGGTCCCTAACCTCCCTTAAAGGGTTCTGATGTATGGGCCGTTAATTTGTTCAGGGTATAGAGGGGGTATATAAGGGGTACCCACTGAGGGCCCAAGGGCTGCCGTGGGGACGACCTCATCGGTCGCTTGAGAATGGTCGAACATGATCTTCGGTTCACTGAGGCCCTCTCCAACTCGCTGATCAGGGCACTTGGAGAAGGAGGTTGCTGGGAACAGGCACGCGCATGTGACCTGTTGCAAACTGTGAAGCCACGCCAGGCCTCGAATAGGCTTGGGACCCGAGATGCGTGGAACCGACGGTGTTTCGTGGCCTCTTGGTGTCCGGGGTTTGAGTTTTCGCTGCGCAGTATGAGCTGGGCAGGCGCAGCAAGTTTTTGCAGAAATGCAGAGGGACACTCTGCCGGGTCCCGACATCATCAGCATCACCAGCTTGATCACTGCATGCGAAAGAGGCCCGGTTATGTTATTGTTGTTTTATTATTGTGATTATTATTTTCTTCTTATTATTATTATTACTATTATTATTATTATTATTATTATTATTATTATGATTATTATTGTTATTAGTTATTACTATTCCATTCATTTTGGGTAGCACGGCATGTGCCTGCTTTGGTGGAGTGGGCAGGCCGTCGCTGGCAGTATGCTGTCGGGATGGTGGCAAACGAACTGAGAAAAGGAGGCCTTGGAAATACATTACAAACAATACACCAATGCTACTAACACGTAACTACCAACCCTAAACCCTAAACCCTAAACCTTGAACCCTAAACCCTAAATTCAATAAATCCTTCCTTGCAGGGTTTGGGCATGTGCAGTCCCGCTCTTTGGCAGGCAACTTTGCAGGACCCGCCCTCCTGAGCAGCTTGCTCAGTGCCTGCGCGGCGTGCCATCAGTGGGAGCAGGTCCTGGCAGGCACGGGAGGTCACCAGGTGAACCCTAAAACCCAAGCCCTAAAACCTAAACCCTAAACCCTAAACCCTGAACCCTAAACCCTAAACCCTAAACCGGGAGGCCTGCAAGAGATGCGCTGCCGGGAGTGGACGCCGTCCCCTGTGGCCCTGTCGGCTGCGCTGGCCGCCTGCTCGCGTGCCCTGCAGTGGCAAACTGCTTTGGAGCTCCACCGAACACACAAAGATGGAGGACTGCCGGGTGTTGGAGGTTTAGGGTTTAGGGTTTAGGGTTTTAGGGTTTAGGGTTTAGGCTTTAGGGTTTAGGGTTCAGGGTTTAGACTCTACTTCTCTCTCTTGCTGGCGTGATGTTAGAGCGCTGACGCGAGGACCGGCCAACGAGGCGGTGTATGGGGCGGTTGTTCACGCCGCGGGGTGCGGCCACCAATGGCAGACTGCCCTGCTTCTGCAGCGGGAGGCACGGGTTGCAAGAGAAACCGCTTGTGTCTTGATGCTTCTCTTTTTTTTCTCTCAATATTATGACATGATTTTATGAATAGTATGTCATATATCTCTGTATTGAGTAAAAGCTGCTGAGTGGAAACTCCACCCGGCTCTGCAGATGCTGTCCCTGTCTTGCCGGCCAAACACCGTGGTCAACAACTCGCTCCTCAGCTCCCTCGCGAAGCTCGGATACTGGCAGCTGGCCATGCGCGTCTTTGAAGAGATGGGCCCATGTCAGCCTGATGTCAGGACCTCAGGGCCGCGACCTTACGCAACCTTAGAGGCCCTTAGAGGCCCGCAGGAGTTCTGGAGGTAAAGTTAACGGCGAGCAAACCGCTGGTCTGTATGACCATGACCTGCAGTCGGCCGAGGTCATCTCTTTCAATAGCACCATCTCCGCCTGTGAGCGCGGATGGATGTGGACCGCAGCGCTCCAGCTCTTCGCTCGGATGCGCAAGGAGCGCTCCGGACACTCTTGCCAAACAGAGCAGAACAGAGCAGCCTCTTCTAACCACCCATCCATCCCAAACCTTCCTTCAGACCCCTCTCGCACCTCCACGTGGGAGAGGACAGGGTGAAGATCACGAGCGTCAGCTGCAATGCGCTCCTCTCAGCCTTAGAGAAGGGCCAGCAGTGGTCGCAGGCCCACAGCAGTTTGGGGATGTTTAGGGTTTAGGGTTTAGGGTTTAGGGTTTAGGGTTTAGGGTTTAGGGTTTAGGTTTAGGGTTTAGGGTTTAGGGTTTAGGGTTTAGGGTTTAGGGTTTAGGGTTTAGGGTTTAGGGTTTAGGGTTTAGGGCAACACGTCGCAGCAGGATCCAAGCTGCAAGGTGCCCAGAGGGGACAGGAGAGCTTTCTATGAGGTGAAGCACTCGGGTGCCCAGAGACCCCAAAACCCCTTAATCAAGCAATATACCTTGAATTATAGTAGGAACCCTAATATGATTTAAGGTCTATTCCTTAATTAAGGGGTTTTGGAGTCTCTGGGTGGTTGAGGGGTCCCCCAATCCCCAAAACACCAAACCCCAAACCCTCAACCCTCAACCCGAAACCCTCCCCCCTTTCGTGGGTTTCTGGATTGGGTTGCTGTTCGGTCTTTCAGCAATGGGGTTTAGGGAGGTCTACAGTGCTTGGGTTGGATGGTTCAGGGATAGGGGGTTAAGAATTATACAGTGCAGGGGGGGCGGCGGGGGCAGGGGGTTGCGAACCTGAGTTCCCTGTGCCCGAGCAGGCCATCAGCTTTCTAGACCGCATTCAGCGGCGGCGCCTGCATAACCAGGCGCCAGCGGTTTAGGGTTTAGGGTTTGGGGTTTGGGGTTTGGGGTTTAGGGTTTAAGGTTACCTCGCACCAGCTAAGGTCTGCACGAAGGGTGTTAGTATATGTGGGTTTCCGAAAATAAGGGTACCTTCTTGGGGTCCTGATCATAAGGTTCCCTTATTTTCGTAAACCTCCATATAAGAACAGGTTGAAAGCAACTTGAGGGCAGAATAAGCATGTCGTACTCGGTGACATGCTGGAAGTCGGGCCCTACACTGTGGACGTCTTTAAGCCCGAAGCGTTAAACCCCAAAAACCCTAGAAACCCTGGAAACCCTACAAACCCCAAAAACCCTGCAAACCCTAGACCTAACCCAAAAGACGCTGCAAACCCAAGGACCCTGTAAACCATATGAACCCTAAACCCTCAACCTGAACCCCAAAACCCAAAACCCTAGAAACCCTAGAAACCGTAAAAGCCCTAAAGCCCCAAAAAACCGTAAACCCTAAACCCTCTAAAAGCCCTAGAGGCCCTAAACGCCCGAAAAGCCCAACAAAAACCCAAAAAACCCAAAACAATCCTATAAACCCTATAAACCCTAAACCCAAAAAGCCATAGAAGCCGCCCTAAACCCGAAACCCTACGCCCTAAACCCGAAACCCCCCAAAAGCCCCCAAAAAACCTAGAAACCCTGTAAACCCTATAAACCTCCCTCAACCCAAAAAAAAAACCCGAGAAGCCCTTGAAGCCCTAAGCCCGCAGGTCTCCTACAACTGTGCGGCCTCGGCTTGCGGGAAGGCCACGAATGCCACTGGTTTAGGGTTTAGGGTTTAGGGTTTAGGGTTTAGGGTTTAGGGTTTCTAATTGCTTAAGAACCCCCCCCAAAAAATGCAAAATATTCTTCCTTACAAGGGTAATCTAGGGATTATTGTTTTGTCTTCTGAGGTTCTTAAGCAAGGGTAAAAAAGGGATTACTTTTTTTCTAAACCCTAAACCCTAAACCCTAAACCCTAAACCCTAAACCCTATACCCTATACCCTATACCCTAAACCCTAAACAGTAGTAGAAGGCCCTGCGCTGGCGCCGGGCGCTGTTGCTCCAGGGGCCCAAGCCCGATGCCGTGGCCGTGGCCGTGCGGCTCGGGCTTGAAGGGCTTTTAGGGTTTAGGGTTTCGGGTTTCGGGTTTAGGGTTTAGGGTTTAGGGGTATTTGGGCATAGTTTGGGGCATTTGTTGGGGCATTTGGGGCGGATGTGCGGGCTTTGAGGGGGATCTGGGGGGGAGATTTGGATTTGGATCCCCAAACATTTTCAATACTGGCGTCCCTCAGAAAAGAGTCTGTAGGTATGCTTATAGTTTTTTACAAGGGCTATTCGTGGGGTTTTATTAAGGGTATGGGTTTAGGATGTTTTTGTTTTCTTAGGTTCGTTAAGTTTTTGTATGTTGTTTTTGCACTAGGGTTGTAGGGTTTGGAGTTTGATTTAGGGTTTGGGGTTTAGGGTTTAGGAGGCGTCGGGAGGTACAGCAGGTAGTCAACCAGTACACCACGTGCTGACTGTACTGCAATGCAGCCAAGACTCAGGTCTATCAGTGCCTGCGAGCATCTCGGCTGTTTAGGGTTTTAGGGTTTGGGGTTTAGGGTTTGGGGTTTAGGGTTTAGGGTTTGGGGTTTAGGGTTTGGGGTTCAGGGTTTAGGGTCCACTCTCGAAACTCTGAAAGCGGAGCCATTTCCCGCACGGTGGCTGCTGGGGGGGGGGGGGCCTCGCCTGTCAAATGGGCTCTGAAAGCTTCTTGTTGCGGGGGGCACGCGTGCGGCTTTTTTGTCGCGGTGCCCCACGTCTTGGAGCCTTGAACACCAACATGCTCTTGGGGAGGGAGCTCTTTAAATTAGTGTCCCTTTTGTTTTTTTTGAGGATGCGCACCATCCAAAAAGGGGCCCTATTTTAGAGAACTGAGCTCTTGCACGCCTCCTAGGATCACAAGCTGTGCTCACGCCGAGGAAGGGTCTGTTGACCTGCGCTCCCGCTCTCTCTCTCTCTCTCTCACTCTCATGTCTGAAGCAGGGTACATATTTCTGTTTCTGGTGAGTGTATATAAGGTTCCTTTTAATATTGGTGAGTGTATATACCTGGTGTCCCTTTGGGGGTACAAGAAATATATACCCTACTTCATGTCCGTTCAACAGATGCATGCGCTTACAAGTGCAACTCGTGGGCAAGACTCGCCGAACCCAGCGCCCCTCTTCAAGCAGCGTCTAGGGTCCAGCAGTTTGGAGGGCAAGAAGGGGATTTTATTCGGGTTTCGGACCCTAAACCCTCAACCCCAAACCCTAAACCCTAAACCCTAAAGCTCTTGTTTCTTCACTTCCCCGACTTTCAGGAAGGGCCTGGCATGGATGCTCGCCCTCAGCCTCTTGGGCTCCGCGAGGCCACCGGATGGTCAGGGTTTAGGGTTTAGGGTTTAGGGTTTAGGGTCATGAGCCCTGATGTTTTTCACTGGCCTCCATTTTTCTTCTGACTCTTGCTATTGTTATCGTTGTTCCTCTGCTCATTCTTGTTGTTGTTGAATGGTTGCTGCTGCTGTTCTTGGCTGTTCTTGTTGTCGGGCTTTACGAGATAGAGAGAGGGCGAGAGAGCTTATGGAGCTGTGGAAGACACGGTCTCATCCTTCTATGAGCTGGATGGCTACCAAACAGAAGAGATCTGAGGCCCAAAGTTAGGCGAGCTACATATTAGGGGGTTTTACGATAAAAAGGGACCCTTTGGGGCCCCAAATAGTAGGATCCCCTTATACTAAGGACCCCAAGAAGGTACCCCTGATATCGTAAACCTATACTTGGAGGTTCATGGTACTTGCTAACCAATTATAGCTGTACTTATAACTGTACATATAACCATATTAGGGCACTTAAGGGAGGTATGAGTAGGTTAGAAGCACAGTTTTATCATTGGCTAGTAAGTACCATGAACCTCCAAGTAGCCACCAGCTCTTGGGGGCTCCCAAGAGGAGCAGTGGCATGGCGGATGTGGCCAGCTACATCGCCGCCATGGGCGCCGCTGAGAAGGCTCGGCTTAGGGTGGGCGAATTTGCAGCTCGGTGTGGGCTTCCTAAACCCATCTAAACCCATCTAAACCCATCTAAACCCTAAACCCTAAACCCCTAAACCCCTAAACCCCTAAACCCCTAAACCCCTAAACCCCTAAACCCCTAAACCCTAAACCCTAAACCCCTAAACCCTAAACCCTAACTTGTTGGCTTGGCCAAGATAAACCCTAAAACATAAACCCCTGAACCCTAAACCCCTAGACCCCTAAAACCCTAAAAACCCCTAATCCCCTGAAGCCTAAACCCTAAACCCCCGAAGCCCCCTAAGCCCTAAACCCTAAACCTAAACCCTAAACCCTAAACCCTACACCCTAAACCCTAAACCCAGCATGCCAGGCTCAGCGGTGGCCGCACGCCTTGCTGGTGCTGCAGCAGATGAGGCCTGAGTTTTCGCATTGGGGTTTAGGGTTTGGGGTTTGGGGGGTTTGGGGGGTTTGGGGTTTAGGGTTTAAGGGTTTGGGGTTTAGGGTTTGGGTTTTGGGGGTTTGGGGTTTAGGGTTTGGGCTTTAGGGTTTGGGCTTTGGGGTTTGGGGCATGCATGGGCACGCTACGCCAAGCTCGCAGGCAAAGCCAACTGCGTTCTGGACTCAGATGATGCACTGGCTTAGGCTTGCATGTGTCAGACCTGCCTGAGCCTCTTGCGTCCGTGGTCGCAGCCTGTTGCGCTCCTTGTGGTCGTAGCAACAACTTTTTACAAAGAGCAATGAACCCTTTACCTTAGCCATAAACCCTAAACCCTAAACCCCAAACCCCAAACCCTAAACCCTAAACCCGAACCCGAAACCCTAGACCCTGAACCCTGACAATAAAGCAAGGCTGGGATGCCGCTTCCCTCAGTGCAGCAGTGAAAGCCAGCGGGCGCAGCTGGGGCCCGAAACAGCAGGTCAGGGCAGAGCAGGGAGCAGCGCAAGTGCAGAATAAGAATACCGACTAAGAAGGGGTTAGGGTTTAGGGTTTAGGGTTTAGGGTTTAGGGTTTAGGGTTTAGGGTGTAGGGTTTAGGGGGGTGTCCACGAAAATAGGGGTACCCTTTTTGGGGTCCTTAGTATGAGGGAAACCCATTCGGGGTGATTTTTCTGGGTCCCCTATCTTCCTTTTCCTCCCAGTTTCAGAGTGATCAGGACGACAGTAAGAACAAGAATTATGAGAATATGAACAGTAGGAGCTTCAAGGTACTATTTGTATCAAAGAGAGCAACGATACGAAACCTACGAATGGTAAGGCAACGACAAAAGCACAGATACGTCAGTCAGCTGCATGCGACGCAAGGCCTACGCTGGTCGCTGGCGCTTCATGTTCTTCGAACAGGGGATGTGGGAGCCTCAGCACTTGATTGGGATTTCGGGTTTAGGGTTTAGGGTTTAGGGTTTAGGGCTTAGGGCTTAGGGCTTAGGGTGGGCATCCCTAAACCCCAAGCTTTCATTGGGCATCCCGATGCCCGAAAACCCCAAAGCCCATTCTTGCGGACTCTTTTGCGGCGCTGTCGTCCGGCAAAGAGTCGATCGAGGCCGAGCTGCAGGAGGCGCCAGAAGCTGCAGATATGGCCGGGGCCCTAAAGCCCCCAAAAGCCGTACCTGGACCCTATTTACCCACATTTTTAGGGGTTATACCTACTAAATGGGGGGGGGTTACCTGTAGGTAAATAGGGTCCCTGTACACCCTAAGGCTCCGGTTGCAACTGGTTGGGTTCGATGGCCCAGGTTCCCAAGAGTTTTGGTTGCAGGGCTTTCGGGCTTTCCAATTTTGAGGTTTTTTTTCTCGCACCAGGTTGTGCGCCTTCGAGTGTGCACAGGGCTGTATTCGCATGGTCTTCCGGGGGCTTCCGGGTTCCCATCGAGAGCTCGGTAAGTACTGCAAACGGGGTATCTTTGTGGTACTTTACTGTAACTTTAGATCCTTACCTTTTTTGGGTTTATTGGGTTTCTTATTAAGGCAGCTAAAATTTTAATTTATAGCTACCCTCCTGAGTGCAGCCAAGGTATGATTTTAGAGAAATGCCCCCCTAAACCCTAAACCCTAAACCCTAGACCATAGACCCTAGACCCTAAACCCTAAACCCTAAACCCTAAGCCCATCTTCCTTTGAGGCTTTTTGTGCCGCAGTTGGGGCGTGCGGCGGCTGTGGACAGTGGGAGCTGGCGCTGCACCTGATGGCGGAGTTGGCCGAGCGAGGGTGGGGGGAGTCGGAGTAGGGGGGGCCTTTGGGAGGGGGGCTTGGGGTTTAAGGTTTAGGGTTTAGGGTTTAGGGTCTAGGGTCTAGGGTTTAGGGTTTAGGGTTTGCATCGAGGGCTCGCAGGTTGCGCGGCTCCAGCAGCGTATACGGAAGTACTCACAGACCGAACCCTTTGCTATCCCAGCAAAACATCAAAAGACAAGTGCAGAACATCAAGCGGCACCCTAAACCCTAAACCCTAAACCCTAAACCCTAAACCCTAAACCCTAAACCCCTCTGGGAAGGTTTTGCGCCAATGAAGCAGCGTGGGGTGCGGCTTTGGATGGCTTCCAAAGAGCCCGCAGGGGCCTTTCCTTGTCACCATACGGTCACTTCTGTAAGGTTCAGGCTTTAGGCTTTAGGGTTTGGGCGTATGGCCCCTTTTGGGGTTATCATAAGGCGGTCCCGAATATGTAGGGAACCGCCAAAAGGGACCATCATGATGCCATCATGTTTGAGAAGTGACCATGTCCCTACTACTTGAAGGTTCATGGGTAGTCTTTTTTTGTCGTTGGGGTACAGGAACCCCAAAAACGCTTATGAGCAGAGTTAGAAGCCTACTTTCAGCCCCAGGTTTATGGCTACCGGCTACCCATGAACTTCCATGTGATCTGTCACTCAGCCTGCCATCTGACGTCACAGCACCCCAAAAAAAACCCTGAACCTTAAACCCAAAAACCCTAAAAGATCCTAAAGCTCTGCTGTGTCAGGTCAATGGCAGAGGGCTCTTGTCGCTGTTCTCCAATACGACACCGGCCCGGTGGGTGGCATGGTCAGGGCCAAAGAAGCTGGATGTTTTTGCATGTGCCGTTACAGTCGCTTCCGCACGTCCGCCTCAGTGGGTCTAGATGGCGCCGTCGTCTGCCAAGCGGAGGTGGAGTGGTGGGTGCGGCTTCGGTGCTCTGAGGTGTTTAGGTATGAGAGGCCAGCGTCTGCAGTTATGGGTTGTGGTCAAGTTCAACAAGCTCGCTAAATGCAGATTTGCAGGTCTTTCATTTGCAGGACCGGCTGTCGGCGGCCAACTGTAGAGTTGTGCGCATGCGAAGGTTTGGCGCGCAGGGGGTGACATGTTCTTCCCACTGGCTTGCGCGAATTTAGATGAATTGTGGAGGGTGAGTGGAGCTCTGTTATGCAGACTCCTGAACGATCCTGAATGACGGTGGGGCCGCATGGAGTTCCGCCAGCTTAGCGCCATTCGATGTCGGAGAATCACCAGAGCCGAGTTCACCATCCTTGACACTAAGGCTGCTGCGATAGCCTCCGAAAGAAGTGCCGGGCCTCTGAGCGCAACTTCCACCCGAAGGCAGGGAGAGACGGAGAGTTCCGAGCATTCCGAAGTTGGACTCGTGTCCATCTGCGTTTTGCCCAGTCAAATTCACCCAAACCCTAAACCCTAGAATGTTTTATCCCCCTAGTTCTTAGAAGGGAATGAGGGGGAATTCCAAGGGCCCTACATATACTCTTTGAGGGACTGCTGAGGCCCTCATTCCCTCATTCCCCACTAAGACCCTAAACCCTAAACCCTAAACCCTAAACCCTGAACCCTAAACCCTAAACCCTAAACCCTAAACCCTAAACCTTAAACCCTAAACCCTAAACCCTAAACCCTAAACCCTAAACCCTAAACCCTAAACCCTAAACCCTAAACCGTGCAGGCTGCTGGCGCGGCAGCTTCGGAAAGTGCTGCTCAACGGCGAGCTTTGGCCTCCCGGCCTTCGTGGCTGCCTCAGCTGCGAACTCGTACCCCCTTAAGGTTGTACCCCTAAAGGTTCCCCTTACTATAGCCCTAAACCCTAAACCCTAAACCCTAAACCCTAAACCCTAAACCCTAAACCCTAAACCCTAAACCCTAAACCTAGTATGGCCCTTTTCTTCCCTTGGGGGGAGCCCTTAAAACAGGGACCCCATGAACTCAAGGGTACAACCTTACGGGTCCAAGGTAGAAGCCCTAGAAAGATGGACTGCGCAGGCGACGGGGTGCTTTACAGCTACACTCCTAGCTCCACTCTTCCTTCTGGGGACGGGAAGAGGTTTTAAAAGTTCTGGTTTGGGAGGTCCCTTGTACTAGCCGTCCTTCAAAGGGATTCTAGTAACCCCCTATTCTAATCCCAATTAAGGAGCTGCTAGTGCAAGGGCGAACATCCCTAAACCCTAAACCCTAAACCCTAACCCTAAACCCTAAACCCTAACCCCTAAACCCGAAACCCTAAACCCTAAACCCCATACAGGGGAACGTCCCAAGTTCTGATCTTGGGGTCCAACACTTTCTTGCAGCGGGGGGGCTCGCAGGGACACGTCCGAGGCAAGGCCTCCGAGGCTTCGGAGGCGGCCGCGCGTGGGGTTTAGGGTTTAGGGTTTAGGGTTTAGGGTTTTAGGGGTTTTAGGGGTTTAGGGGTTTAGGGGTTTAGGGGTTTAGGGTTAGGGTTGGTTTAGGGTTTAGGCTTTAGGGTTTAGGGTGCGCGGAGGATTTTTGAGGGCCTTCCCAGACTCTCAGAGAGCGCTTCTCGCACTGGGGGTAGAACGCCAGCCAAGCAGCAGTGGTCACAGCATTCCATTTCACCGAGCAGCCTCTGCTGTACCAATATTTAGGCTTTTTAACGTTAAAAAGACCCTAAATGGGGTGTTTTGACGCTAAACAACCCTCTGAGTTTATTGCTCAGTTCGGTCTTTGTCGGCGCGGGTAGGTGACACCGACGATGCCAGGCTCCGAGCGAATGTGCTCTGCCAGCGTCTCAGGGCGGCCTGGAGATGCTTGAAGGCCAGAAGAGAATAACAACAACATCAATTAATAACAAAAATCACAAGAATAACAGTAATTAACAGTATTAACAAAAATAATAACAACGGCCAAGCAAGGTGGCAGTCATCGCCAGCAGCGAAGAGTTCCAGGTCAGTCGGTGTGGTGTCGTGCGCTGCAAGAGATTCCGCACCACTTTTAAATCCTACTCAACCCTACAAAACCCTACTCAACCCTACAAAACCCTACTAAACCCTACTAAACCCTATTAAACCCTATTAAACCCTATTAAGCCTGAGAACGCAGGAAGGCCGCTTGGCGGTGGTGGCCACCAAGCATGCCTACTGGCCGCTCCTCGTGAGGCGTGCGTAAGCTCGGGCGTTTCACTTAGTTTAGGGTTTGGGGGTTTAGGGTTTAGGGTTTAGGGTTTAGGGTTGCTTGTGCCAGGCTAATGGCATGCCGAAGGTTTCCGGGCACCGACAATTCACAGGCGCTCAGGGACACGCTGAAGTGACGTGTTGAAAGATGGTGGCAGTTTTGTCACGTTCTTTTGCCTTCGAGGTAACACATGATGCCTGGCTGCGCCTTGCAGATGGCTTGGGGCCACAGAGCCTTAGTAATAGAGTAGGTAAACTTTAACCTTTTTGTGTATTCGAATCCCTATAAATCCCAAAGGTTAGCTAACCTTTCATAAACCCTAAACCCTAAACCCCAAACCCCAAACCCCAAACCCCAAACCCTAAACCCTAAACCCTAAACCCTAAACCCTAAACCCTAAACCCTAAACCCTAAACCCTAAACCCTAAACCCGGCCGGACAACAAAGGAGCAAGACGGCCCTGACGGAGCTGGGCCTTCGGTGAAAGCTCGAGAGCTCTCCCGGGAGCCCTGGCCCTAAACTCAGTGGGAGCCTCGAATGGACAGACCAGGAAGGGGTTTAGGCTTTAGGGTTTAGGGTTTAGGGTTTAGGGTTTAGGGTTTAGGCTTTAGCGCTACCCAAGATCTTGCCGTCAGTCTTGGGTCCCGCTGCTACGTTCGTCATCTAAGACAGCCACTGTGCCGGGGTCTTGGGAGCACGATTCGACCGGCCACCTTTATCACTAAATTATGACGCACGTCACAAAGCAACACAACACACATCAACGAAGTAATGCCACACATGCAAAGCGTCAGTTGATACCATTTATCATGCATTTTCAGACTAGTGACTCCTGGTTACTTCTCAAATAAGATCTAAGTAGAAGCACGTTTGTTAATGTCTTGTTTTGCTTTTTTCTGGAAACTACTATGTTGATATTGAAGTATCTATTTGCACATTAACCTACGTCGTCCTCTGCTTCCGCTACAACACGTACACACTTTGCCACATGAAGCATTTTGTGTTAGGACTGTATGCTCGCAATTGTCAGTTGTATACTTGTCGATTAGCGTTTAAGGGAGGGGGTGTGAGGGGCTACCCTAAACCCTAAACCCTCAACCCTAAACCCTCAACCCTCAACCTTAAACCCTAAACCCTAAACCCTAAACCCTAAACCCTAAACCCTAAACCCTAAACCCTAAACCCTACGTTTCGCAACTGAGGCCTCCTGAATGAACCAAGCAAGCCCGTGGAGTATAGGCTCCTTACACCCCTCCATTACACCCCTGTGGATCCTTGTGATCTGCGATTTGCTTTATTCATTGTTTCCCCGGTGTATAGGTTCGTCTACTGTACCTTGTATATACATATATATATATGTGCACACACTATATTACAAATATTTACACATCAACGTTTGCATGTTTTGTACTCTGTGAGCTTTGTCATATGCATCATATTTTGCATGCAGAATCACGCCCAGCTTCTTTCTGTTTGTATGCCGTATTCCATTTTGATCTACCTTTTTTTTGGAATCTGGCATGCAACTTAAACACATTCAAGCCACGCCATCACACTTTGCAGATATGGGGGTTTGAAAACAAGGAATCCTAATGCAAGCCCCCACCCCAAGGCGTCGCTGAAGTTTTGGCCTTCCAGGGTTTAGGGTTTAGGGTTTAGGGTTTAGGGTCCAGGAGTTCTTCAGATGGGGGGTCCCATTCAGAGTTGAAGGACCCAGGAACTTCACCGTCGCGTCAGGTTCGGTAGCCGTCCACTGCCGAAGAACCTGAAAGATGAAGGAGCATCGAGGCATCTTCGAAGTAGAAATTGAGGGTTTCAGGTTTAGGGTTTAGGGTTTAGGGTAAGCAAGAGTCTAAAGATCGCCCGTTCCCATAACTTCAGAATCTTTAGGATGAGGGAGCGTAAACGCGAAGCCTCCTGAAACTAAACGTGGTTGAGAGCCGGACACACTGGCAGAGAGACCAAGCCTACTTGTATAGCACTTCATGCACTGACATGCAAATGGACAGAAGCTGGTGCAAGAGCGGTTTTGGGTTTGTGGTTTAGGACGCGTTGAGGATTATTTTGACTATTCGGGTTTGTGACTTAACCCTGAAACATCTGTCACAGGAGAGGTGCACTGCATTGGGGCCACCACTCTCGACGAGTACTGGCAGTACGCTGAGAAGGCATGTAGCGGCCAGCAGGTTTAGAATCACACCACTTGCGGATTAATGGTGTCGAAAGACACTTGCTGGTATTCGGCGTAGATATTGCGGTGACTCTAGGAATGACAAGCCAACAGGGCCGGATAGGGCAGCTGTCAAGCGCATGCAGAAGATAAACCCTAAACCCTCATCCCTAAACCCTATACCCTAAACCCTAAACCCTAAACCGAAAGGATGGGCTCGGAAGATCGCTCAAAACGTTGGTCAATTTCTCGAGTTGGCAGCTTTGGCAAAGACCCCCAACCCAACATCAAGACGGAGCCATGCCCATGCCTGCGCCGAGCACGCCGAGCACTCCTGCGCCGAGCGATCCTGCGCCGAGCGATCCTGCGCCTCCCGAGACTGAGGATCAAATCTCGGTGTTGGGCAGCCGGTTGCAAGCCGAACTGGCTGATATCCTGGCTCGCTTGCAGGTCGTCGAGGAGCATATTGGGCTTTGTATAGTAAAGCCAGGTGAATTAAAGCCCGGTGCCTGCCGGCTGTCAAAGGACGAACCAAATGTTGTGTGGCCATGCGAGACACAAGCTCCAAGGGAACCGAGTGCGGAGGTTGAGTCAATGGAGTCCACTGAGGTCTTCTTTGAAGAAAGTGCATGGAGTGTCCCACTGCTTCTCGGATTAGTCGATGTTGGGCGCTTCGACGCGTTCTTTGCCGCCACTTTGGTCCTGCTAAACCTCGGCATGCAGGCTGCCTTTACCTGGGTTCTGCTTTCAGACGGCTTCATTACCGAGCCCTTTGAAACCAAGATCGACAGTGCCAAGATCTGGCGGACAAGCGTTGCGCATGACTCCAAGTACTTGGACTTGGCGGAAACTAGCTTGGTGTCACGCGTATGCGCAGGTGACGGTGCCCTCATCCTGTCGACCACCCAAGCGACCCTCGTCGAACACATCAACAGCTATCTTGGCTTGGAAAAGTCACAGCTCACGCACTCGCTTTTCCAACCCGGCGCACTTCTCTGCCTCCTCTGCATAGTTCTTTGGAGCTTGTGCGTGGGCAAGGATGCTCCTGCTGCTGCACTGCTTGTGAAAGCGTTTGTTTGGCTTTCATTTGTATCTCCTGAATCTACCTAGAGCGAGCCACTAGCAACCTTAACGAGGGAAGTTTCAACATCTGATGCTGTGACGTGTTGGCATGCCCATGTTTGCGCCGTGGAGGAGTTGCGAAAGATCTGGCTGCAACTGGAGGCGATCATCGGAATCCCAAGATCCCACCATACAATTTACCGCAGTGATGCTTTCCAGGTCATGTCAGTGCATCGCTTTGGGCTTTTGATAGCAATGTCCTTGGCTCGGGTGGCCATTGCCTCCATCTTGCTGATCGCGGGCAACCTCTGGCTGGCTCGGACAACAAGCATCGCGGACCTGATGTTGAATGCCGTCGCGCTGAATGCGATCATCGATGTTGACGAGATGATCTTCACTGCCATCCTCCCCCTCCAAATTAAGCATGCCATGCAGCGCCTCAAGCCTGTCCGCGTCACGTATGGGAGGCGCCGAAGTCAGCGTGAGTCCGTGGTGCACTTCGGCTTCTTCACTGCCCTGTTGCTTTCGGTGTACCTTCTGCTGCTCGTGCCTTTGGCGGATGCCATGCTGGCAACGAAGAACGAGCTCTGCGGAGGCAACCAGACATTCGTTGTGAGGTATAATCCAGACACGCAGCTTTCATATGGGCTGGTGACTAGAAGCTCGCGAGAGTATGGCCACCTGTCGCCCATTGAGCTGGCTGTGCAGGCTCACAAAGCCACGTCTCCTGAGACCACGCCCGATGCTTCCGGGCCCACCTACATCTTGTTCAGTACCAACAAGAAACACTTTGATGCAGGCAGCACTCGCAGCATGCGAGAAGAGTCATCCGAAGCATCATCCGCGTTTTGCCTTGAGACGAGTGTTCTAAGCGAATCGAGCATCTACAGTCAAGATCCAGAAGCCCGGCTATATGCAACTCGGATGTTAAAGAATGCCGCTGCGAGCCTGGGCCGCGCGAATGCTTCAACCTGCCAAGCGCCTTGCGTGCCAAGTTGGGCAACTTGTGCACAAGGTTTCGATGGTGTTTCCTTGCTAGGATTGCAGCTAACCCTGAACCCTAAACCCAAAACCCTAAGCCCTAAGCCCTAAGCCAAGCCCCAGACCAGTCCCTCAACCTGCCAGGAATTGAGCGACCAATGTGACTCGCCAGATGCCCGCTTGCTGCGAAGAGTTTGCGGCGAAACCTGTGGATGTGTAGACCCCTTCAGCTCTGCCTGGTTCAAGGTGGAGGCACACGGTTGTGCTTCTTCCTGCCTGTCTCTTGGACAGCAACACTTGCAGAATCATGACTGCCAAGATGTCTCAACTGCAGATCTCGGCTGGCAGAGGTTCTGGGCAGACTACCGGATTGCGGTATCGAGCTTTGTTGGACATGACATTACCACATTCCAGGCATATGATGCGGCAAACATCACCATTCAAGCCATGCTGTCTGGGGGTTGCCCAGTTCTGTCGCACTTCCCAACCGACGTGTTCACCAACGCCGCCTTCTGCACCGGGCTGTCAGACTTGTTTCGGCCCCTTGCATCCCTTTGTCCACAGACCTGCGGCTGCGGCGCTTCACTGCCTCTGAGCGCGTGCCCAGCCAGCTGTGTCTCAGCCAACATGTCCGCGTGAACCCCCTGAAAAAATGCGGATTTGTGCGAATGGGACGGCTGAGGTGTTTGCACATGGTTGCAACTTTGGGCGAGAGTGCTTCGGTAGTTGTCCTGATGCACAACCTGGAGGTCTTTAGTCTTTACAGTGATCTCTTCTTTTTCATGAGATGCCCCATCCCATCCCACCCTCCCAGACCTCTTCGTCTCCAACCCAGACAGATGGGATCGTTACTTAACATTCGTAGGACAAAGAGAGGTCCAAGACCAACACTATTTACAACAAGCTACCTTGATAACACCTTCGTACTTTTTTTTACTGGCTTCACTGCAATCAACCATCGTGAGAGCTTACAATCCATTTCTCACTTCGTAAGTTTGGAATCATTGAAGTGAATTCACTGTACAGACGCAACAACTGCCTGACTTTTACACGTTCAACTAGATAAATCCTCAAGCTCGTGAACGTAAGGCTAGACTTGCAAAAGCTCCAAATAGACTTATCTCAATTTCTTGTTGCAATTTCTTGTCGTTCGCTTCCACCGTTGTTCCTTTATGGGCACATGGCCTTAATGATTAGGGTGGGTTCAACAGGTCAGTGCCTTGCCCACCGTGGCCAAACCGGACAAGTTTCAGGCAGTCATAACATTCAGAAGACTATGGTTTAGGGTTTAGTCAGGCAGTCATAACATTCAGAAGAAAATGGTTTAGGGTTTAGGGTTTGGGGTTTAGGGTTTAGGGTTTGCCAGCAGCCATGAAATGTTCAACATCCATTCGAAGCCAGAAGGAATTGTATTCAAAAATGTTGTGCCCCAGCATATAGAAGAATCCGAAGATCCACGAGCGCGCGTTGCGAAGCTCTAATTCGGGGATCTCGAAAACCCTAAACCCTTACTTGCCTTGGGGATCCTATGACAGATTATGACAGGATGCTTCCGCAGCTGCCACCTGGACGACCCAAGGTGTGAGATGAAGGCCGCTGGGGTCTGAGAGCTTCGGAGGTTTAGGGTTTAGGGTTTCAAGGTTCAGGGTAGGGATTTGGGCTTCAGAGGCTTACTGTAGAGGTTGCATGGTTTCCATAGCCGCCAGGGTTTGAGGCTTGGAGGGCGCTCGGATTGGGGTGAGAAGGAGGTACTACAGTTTTCAGTAACAGTAGCAACAGCATCTTGTGCTTCGTGAATCTCTGTAGAACGGATGCGGTTTCATCTCTCGGGCCCAGTGAGTTCTCAAAGCAACCATTTAGGCTTTTGCTGCAAGCCAAGTGTCCGAAGCTGCAGATCGGCTCCTATACAGCATCACTTGCGCTGTCCTTTGCGGGCATGGCACAGTCTATGCAGGGCTACGTCTGGGCGGCCCCGCTGAAACGGATGCCGGTGCAACCAGCCTGCGCCCCGACCTACGCTCGGGGCTGGCAGCTGGTGCCAGTGCCGGTCAGAGTGACTCGCCGCACGTTTCGTGTGGTGGGAAGCCCAGTGCCGGCGCCCTTCATGGTGACCCGGCGCACGCTGGGCGTGGTGGTCAAGCCGGCTCGTGTGGTGGTGAGTGCAGCTGCGCCGACGCACCTGCCTCACCTACTCGGATCGGCTAAGGCTCCGGCCGCATCGCACCCCGTGAAGGGGCCTCCCAAAGCTGGAGTAGGCGAGCCGGCTGAGACATCCGAGTGTGAGAGAATGGTACTCGAGGAACCGGCTGCATCAAACCCTATGAAGGCACCGCCGAAAGCTGGAATACGGGAGCCAGCTGAGACATGTGACTGTGAGAGAAAGGAAGCGGCGACTCCCGAGGCCTCTGCCCCAGCTTCCGAGATGGTCCACCCGAAGGGTCGGCCTGTCTCCTATGGCCCGGCAAGCCCTTTCCTCAAAATTGAGGAGGGAGCCGATGACGCCGACACCGACGAGCCAAAGGCCGCTCCGAAACCGGCTCCGAATCCCGCTCCGGAGCCTGCAGAGCTCACCAAGCCACCACAGGAGGCCCCAGAAGAACTACCAGGCCAGGCTGAGGCCTTGGAAGCGCTCAAGGCGCTGATGGCGGAGCTCGGCGGAATGGGCTTCAAGGTCCCCAAGAAGCCGACGGGCGAACCAGAGGCGGCGGGGAGAGGGAGCTCTCTGCATCGCCAAGGCCCCGTGCGGGCTGCACTGGCAAGGTGGCCAAGGCGCCTGGCCACCCAATGTTTCCAACCTTCCGACAGTTCAGGCGCGCGTGCCGGGCTGTGCTGTGGAGGGGTCGGTGTGTCTTTTCCCGTGCATGCTTTCGGTGTTTTTAGTTTTATTGTTCCTTCTTTCGTAAGGCATGACAGCAAGCAAGCAAGAGCGCAAGCAAAACCTACAAAGCTAAAAACCCTAAATTCCTAAAATGCAAAAGTAAAAGACCCAGACCCTGAAAATAAATAACCTAGACTTAACAACCCTAAGCCCAAAAAGCCGAAAAGCTCTAGGAAACCTGAACCCGAGAAACCCTAAAATCCCGAACAGCTGTTAAGCCCTTAAAGCCGCGCGCAACAAGTACTGAGTCATGATGTCTTTTCCCGGACAACAAACTTACAATCCCTAAACGCCCTGAAAACCCTGAACACCCCAACAAATTACGCGCAGATAGACAAATAAACAGAGATACTTCCGAAGAAGCCCGAAACCTTACACCCCGAAAGCGTTAAACCCTTACAAAAGCCCCAGACACCCTACAAACCCTAAACCAATGAGATCCAAAATACATGAACACTGGTGACAGCGCGTCTTGTTGCAAAAACAGGGAACATTCTTGTTCAGTATCTTGTATAAAGAAGCCAAACATGCAGCAAATACCCGCGTTTGAGCATGTTCGCAAATGGCATGAATGCTTGTGACAGCACATATTGTTCCAGAACAGTCAAGCATCCTTCTGCAGCATGTTGTATAAGAGGCCAAATCGCTGTTACTACCAGTGTTTTGGTCATGGTCAGAGTAGCATGAAACCAGTCGCAAATACTACAGTCTAAGCAAGCTGACGACACAAATGGAACAACACTAATTTCGGACCTGCCGTGGACCGTCGCGTATGTCTTCTTCATGCATTTAATGCAGGAATGGTGCAGTGCAGTACATCATCAACGTCAGTTTGGATGACGGCAGGCGCCAGTGTTCTGCTTGAGTAAGGTCTTTAGCGAGTGCTTCATGGGCGCTAGCAGCTAACAAGGGCTTGTGTTCCTGGATGGCAGGGACGAGCTGTTCCTCTTCCCGCAGCTCCGCCAGATGGAGCAGTAGCCAAGAGACGAAAAAAGTCCCTTCGTGCAGACAGGTCTGGGACGAGGTAACCAATCAAGCGTCGGACAACCAAGCCAGCAGTTGGTCCACTTGGTTGCCTGTCAAACATTTGCAGCCTAGCGCTGACTATCACTGTTGCAAACGTCCCCCTACCTCCCACGCCGCAGGAAGCCTCCCCAGCTATAAGTTAAAACATGTTAGCCGATTGTCGCTGTAGCTTTCTAAGACTTCAAGTCGGGTTTGATCTCGACTAAGGGATCCCCTTTCGGGATCTCTCAATCCCCAAACCCTTGCTTGCTCTTGGGATCCTATGACAGGATGGCCTGCAGCTGCCACCTGGACGACGCAAGGTGTGGGATTAAGGCCGCCGGGTGTCAGAGCTTTTTTCCGTTAGAGGCTGCAGGGTTTCCATAGCCGCCAGGGTTGGAGGGCGCGCGGCTGTCGAACGCTCGGGAATACTGTCGTCGTTGGGGCGAGAAGGAGTTCCAAACATTTTCGGTGGAAACAGCATCTCGCGCTACGTCGCACCCCACACCGAAGAGGTGAACTTCTGAAAAACGGATGCGCTTTATTTCTCGGCCCAAGTGAGTTCTTTTCTCAAGCAACCATGTATGCTTTTTCGAGAGTCAAGCCTCCGAAGCTGCAGATCGGCTCCTGCAATTAACAATATCACTTGTAGGCGCTGTCCTTTGTGGGGCCCGCCATGGCACAGTCTACGAAGGGCTGCGTATGGACAGCCCCGCTGAAACGGCAGATGCCGGTACAACTTGTACCAGCATCTGCCGTTTCAGCGGCGCTGCCCATACCAGGTACAACCCGCTGGCACCCCAACCTACGCTTGGGGCTGGCAGCCAGCGCCGATAGTGACTCGCCGCACATTTCGCGTGGTGGGAAGCCACCAGGCACACGCTTGGCGTGGTAGTCAAGCCGGCACGTGCTGGTCAGTGCAGCTGCGCCGATGCAGGTGCCCCACCTACTCGGGTCCTTCACGAGGTGCGACGCAGCAGTGCCTGGGGCGACCCGAATACCATTCTCTCACATTCACATTTCTCAGCCGACTCGCCTACTCCAGCTTTCGGCGGCCCCTTCACGGGGTGCGACGCAGCCAGTGCCTGGGCCGCCGAAAGCTGGAGTAGGCGAGCCGGCGGAGAAACCTGAATGTGAGAGAAAGGAAGCGGCGACTCCTGAAGCCTCTGCCCCGGCTCCCGAGCTGGTCCACCCGAAGGGTCGGCCTTTCTCGCGCCGCTCCTCAAAATTGAGGAGGCAGCACATTGCCCAGACACCGACGAGCCAAAGGCCGCTCCGAAGCCAGCTCCGAGTGCCGCAGGAGGCCCCAGAAGAACTACCAGGCCAGGCTGAGGCCTTGGAAGCGCTCAAGGCGCTGATGGCGGAGCTCGGCGGAATGGGCTTCAAGGTCCCCAAGAAGCCGACGGGCGAACCAGAGGCGGCGGGGAGGGCGCAGGGTAAGTTAATCAAGACTGGTCAGATAAGTCACGCAAAATCCTCCAGTATAGGCTGTACGATGCTGCAAGGAAGCCCTACCCAATCGTGTCGGGTCGTGTTCTTACTAAGGTTTTCGTTTTACATGCCCTAAGGTGGGAGAGCTTGTGGTGTTGAGTGACACGATCAAGCCGGAGAGTTTGCGGCTCCGGTACGCCGTCATCATGAAGGCCAACGCTTCCTTGGCGAGTCCATTTGCAGCAGGCCCGAGGTTGTGGCATGTGCCACAGGCTCAAGAGATGAGCAGCTCCAGCGCAGGTGCGCGAGAAGCACCTGACAGCGAGAGCACTGGCGGAAGAGAAGGCAACCTGCTTCGAGGAGTGTTGGCCGTACATTGAATGGCCAGCATTCCTCGAGGCAGGTTGCCTTGTCTTCCAAGGATGATGCTGTGCTTGAGAGCACCGTCGGCCGTCTAGGAAGCCGAGTCCGCGTCGTAGAAGGGCGGCATGGCTGCATTGCGGCTGCGTGTTGCAGGGGCACTTGATGCAGGCTTCTACAGTTTTGGACTTTGTTACATTTTGTCACAAGAACCGAGTTTTTTTTGCCAAGGCCCCGGGCTGCACTGGTGGCCAAGGCTCCTGGCCGCCCGATGTTTCCGGTCTTCCGGCAGTTCAGGCACGCGTGCCGGGCTGTGCTGTGGAGGGGTCGGCATTTTTCCCCGCTATAACCCCGAACAGCCCTTAGGCCCTTGAAGCCCCGCGCAACAAGTAATGAGAACGCACCCTAAACGCATTGAAAACCCTAGACACCCAGATAGAGAGAGATATATCCGAAGAAGCCCAAACCTTACACCCTAAAAGTGCATTTCACGCAAGAATGACAAAGTGCAGTACGTCGTCAATGTGAGCCTGGATGACGGCAGGCGCCAGTGTTCTGCTTGAGCGAGGTTTTAGGCGAGTGCTTCACGGGCGCTAACAAGGGCTTGTGTTCCTGGATGGCAGGGACGAGCTGTTCCTCTTGCCGCAGCTCCGCCAAGTTGAGCAGTAGACAAGAGACGAAAAAGGTCCCAAGAGACGAAAAAAGTCCCTTCGTGCAGACGGATCGGTTTGCTTGCTGTTCAGTGATGTTTTCGTTCTGTGGCAAAGTAAGCAAAGAAGCGTCGGAGAAGCAAGCAAGCAGTTAGTCCACTTGGTTGCCTCTCAAATGTGGGGATTTGCGCCCGGCCCGCCTCCCCAGTCATAAGTATAGTAGCAAAGGCTAGCCGATTGCAGCTGTGGCTTTTTGATCTCGACGCAACGATCCTTTTTTGGGATCTCCGAAAACCTCAACCCTTTCTTGCCCTTGGCATCCTATGGCAGGATGGTTCCAGAGCTGCCACCTGAACGACCCAAGGTGTGGGGTTAAGGCCGCTGGGGTCTCAGAGCTTCGGAGGTTTCGGGACTTGTTTTGTTTAGGGATTTGGGGGTTTAGGGTTTAGGGCTTAGGGCTCTGGATGGTGGGAGCTTCAGGGTTGAGGGCACAGGAGCTGACGTTGTGCTAAAACGAGGCATCCAGGGCCCGCTTGTGTGTTTCCGAAGGCATATTCCGGCCCAAGACTCCAGGTTTTGGGGAAGGCCCTCCTTGTGGGGAATGGAGGACCACATTTCAAATAGCATCCTCGTTCATAAGCGCAGAGATGCGAATAACTTAAATTTGCTAGGCTGGGGCGAGCGGCTCAGGGTGTTTCACGCCCGCACAAGCGGGCTTGATTCACACACCCTACCTAAACAAAGCCCAAACCCAGAAACCTAAATAATCCCCAAACCCAAGAACCTAAATAAACCTAAAAAAACCCCTAGCCCCAACTGCCCTTGTTCCGGTGCCAGGCCCCAAGCTCCTTGGCATGGGATGCTGGCCACAGGCCAGGGCAGGAAGCACGTGCTCTGACCTTGGCTGAACAGCCTGAAGCCCTGAGCCCTCAGGCCACGCGGCCACACCTTCAACCCGAGGGTTCGCGTTGGTGTGTTTGGGGCCTAAGGTAAAAAGGGTTTTAGGGTTTAGGGTTTAGGGTTCTGTGTTTAGGGTTCAGGGTTTTGGGTTTAGGGTATAGGGTTTAGGGTTTTTGTGTTCAGGGTTTAGGGTTTGGGGTTGAAAAGCTTGGAAGAGGAAGTGGGAAGCAGTCCCGGCGCGTTCTGCGCGCGGGTTCAGGGTGCAACCATGGGGCTGAAAAAGAGATCCCGTACTTGGAGGTTCATGGGTACTTATAACCCCAATTATAAGTCTACTTGTAGCCTACTTAGAGGACTTAAGGGGGCTTATAAGTGCCGCTATAGTTGGGGTTATAAGTACCTTGAACCTCCAAGTAGGAGCGCTTTCAGGCCCTTCCCCATCCCACCTCCCTCCGAATGGAGCTGCGTTTTATGTTGGTTTTTCGGACAAGCAACGGCATGCTGCCTGTTTGTGGCCCTGCGGCAACATGATGAACACAGATGCTGCGTTGCAGGATAGATGTTTCTTTTTTTACATATGGCAGCGCCAACTTGACGAAAGTGTTGAATCCGCTGTCCCCGGCTTATCCAAACCCTACCCAAAACCCCAGTCATGCTCTAAATCTAATCCCGCCTATTCGGGACTTGTTGGAAGTTTCTGCCGATGGCTTCATATGTCACGGTTTCCGAGGCCACGACCCTGTTTGTCATGTCCACATCGACCACGATCGCCTTCCTGGTGGAAGGCCCTGAGGGCATATTTCTCGGGCGTGGGAAGTGACGTGTGCTGTTGACCGTTTGCGTGCCAACACGGTGTGGCATTCAATCATCGGCCTCACCGAAAACATCTATAAGAAAACTTCAAAATTCTTTAGACATGCGCGGAACGCTGCAATCTACACAGCTTTGGGTCTTTCATGATCTTTCATGTATTGTTGTAGCTTGTCGAAGACTCGGGAATGCTGTAGTTTTTGGGGTCTTGTGCTCCATCGCACCTCAAACCGATGAGGTGAACCTCCGTAGAACAGCTGCGGTTTTACTTCTGGGCCCCAGTGAGTTCTCAAAACAGTCAGGCTTTTGCTGAAAGCCAAGTGTCCGAAGCTGCAGATCGGCTCCCATACAGCATCACTTGCGCTGTCCTTTGCGGGGCCCGCCGTGGCACAGTCTACGCAGGGCTACGTCTGGGCGGCCCCGCTGAAACTGCAGGTGCCCGTGCAACCAGCCTGCGCCCCGACCTACGCTCGGGGCTGGCAGCCGGTGCCGGTCAGAGTGACTCGCCGCACGTTTCGCGTGGTGGGAAGCCCAGTGCCAGGTCCCTTCATGATGACCCGGCGCACGCTGGGCGTGGTGGTCAAGCCGGCACGAGTGGTGGTGAGTGCAGCTGCGCCGACGCACCTGCCTCACCTACTCGGGTCGGCCAAGGCATCGGCTCTGTCGTGCCCCGTGAAGGGGCCTCCCAAAGCTGGAGTAGAGCCGGCTGAGACATCTGAGTGTGAGAGAAAGGAAGCGGCAATTCCCGAAGAGGCGATTCCTGAGGCCTCTGCCCCAGCTTCCGAGATGGTCCACCCAAAGGGTCGGCCTGTCTCCTATGGCCCGGCAAGCCCTTTCCTCAAAATTGAGGAGGGAGCCGATGACGCCGACAACGACGAGCCAAAGGCCGCTCCGAAACCGGCTCCGAATCCCGCTCCGGAGCCTGCAGAGCTCACCCAGCCACCGCAGGAGGCCCCAGAAGAACTACCAGGCCAGGCTGAGGCCTTGGAAGCGCTCAAGGCGCTGATGGCAGAGCTCGGCGGAATGGGCTTCAAGGTCCCCAAGAAGCCGACGGGCGAACCAGAGGCGGCGGGGAGGGCAAGGGTAGGTTTCATCAAGACTATTCAAGACTGCTCAGATGAGTCACGCACAATTCTCCAGTATAGGCTGCACGATGCTGCAAGGAAGCCCTACCCAATCGTGTCGGATCGTGTTCTTAGCTAAGGTTTTCGTTTTACATGCCCTAAGGTGGGAGACCTTGTCGTACTCAGCGACACAATCAAGCCGGAGAGTTTGCGACTCCGGTACGCCGTCATCATGAAGGCCAACGCTTCCTAGGTGAGTCTATTTGTAGCGGGCTCGAGGTTGTGACATGTGCCACGGGGGCTGAAGATATGAGCAGCTCCAGCACAGGTGCACGAGAAGCACTACACGGCAAGAACCCTCGCAGAAGACAAGGCGACGTTGCTCGAGGAATGCTGGCCCAACATGGACGATGCCGTGCTCGAGAGCACAGTCGGCCGTCTAGGAAGCCGAGTCCGCGTCATCGAAGGGCGGCACGGCTGCATGTGGTTTGCAGGGACACTTGATGCGGGCTTCTACAGTTTTGGACTTCGTCTTCGGCCGAAACACTACAAATGACAATGATACTGTTATTGTTGGATATGTGGAGACATTTTGGGGAAATAATATTGAAAATTGCCAGTTAGGGAGCTTTTTGCATCGCCAAGGCCCAATGCAGGCTGCACTGGCAAGGTGGCCAAGGCGCCCGGCCACCCGATGTTTCCAACATTCCGACAGTTCAGGCGCGCGTGCCGGGCTGTGCTGTGGAGGGTCGGTATGTTTTTCCCCGCTCATGCTTTCGGGGTTGTTAGTTTTGATTTTGTTGTTCCTTCTTTTGTAAGGCAAGACAGCAAGCAAGCAAGCATGCAAGCAAACCCTAAACAAACGCAAAAACCTTAAACTCCCCCAAAAAAAGTTACACGACCCAGACCCTGAAAAAAAACAACCTAAACTTAAAAACCCGAAGCCCCAAAACCGAAAAGCTCTAGGAAGCCTGAACCCGAGAAACCCTGAAATTCCTGACAGCCCTAAGCCCTTAAAGCCCCACACAACAAGTAATGAGTAATGATGTCTTTTCCGGACAACAAACTTACAGACCCTGAACGCACTGAAAACCTTAAACGCCCCAACAAATTGCGCGCAGATAGACAGATGGATAGAGAGAGAGATATATCCGAAGAACCCTGAACCTTATAGACGCCCTAGACACCCTACAAACCCTACACCAAGCAGATCCCAAACCCCTAAATTCTAGACTTAAACCCTAAAAGCAGCACAGGACGGGCAAAACGCATGAACACTGGTGAAAGAGCATCTTGTTGCAACAACAGGAAACATTCTTGTTCAGTATGTTGTATAAGGAGGCCAAAACGCTGCAAATTCCAGTGTTTTGGGCACGGTCGCAAATGGCCTGAAGAAGGCTTGTGACAGCGCGTCTTGTTCCAGAACCGTCAAACAACCTTCTGCAGCATGTTGTAAACGAGGCCAAATCGCTGTTCGTGCCAGTGTTTTGGGCATGGTCAGAGTGGCGTGAAAGCAGGCGCCAGGAAGTGCGCTTGGCAAATACTTGTACTACAGTCTACCGTACCAACGCAGAAAGCGGAAAGAACCACGCACGCAAGAAAACTGACAAAACAAATAATTGAACGGCACAACCTCGGACCTGCCGTGGAAGGGGCCGTCGCGGGTGTATTCTTCAGTCTTTCATGCAGGAATGGCGAAGTGCAGTACATCATCAATGTGACCTTGGATGGCGGCAGGCGCCAGTGTTCTGCTTGAGTGGGGTTTTAGGCGAGTGCTTCACGGGCGCAAGCAACGGCTTGTGATCTTGGATGGCAGGGACGCGCTGTTCCTCCTCACGGAGCTCCGCCAAATTGAGCAGTAGCCAAGAGACGAAAAAGTCCCTTCATGCCGACGGATCGGTTTGCTTGCTGTTCAGTGATGTTGTCGTTCGTGGGCAAAGTAAGCAAACAAGCGTCGAACAGCCCAGCAAGCTAGGAAGCAAGCAAGCAGTCGCAGTTGGTCCACTTCGTTGCCTGTCAACATGTGCAGCCTAACAGCGACTAACATTGTTGCAACCCAGATCCCTGGGAGGATCCAGGAAGTAGAACACCCAAATGGTGCCCTATAATTCTTCCTCATAAAGGCCCCCGGCCGCGCTGGTGCCTGCCCTCCTCAGCTTCAAGCTCTCCGCCCCATTTGCGTGCGAAGGAGCGGGTTCTCTGAGGCTGGGTGGGTCATTCGTGAGCGTTCAGTTTGCATGAACAAGAAGAAGCCTCCTCACCTTCAACTCCGTCCTGTCAGATTTTTGGCACGCCAGACGGCCTAGGGCCAACTTGGCAGACGAAGCAAGAGGGAAAGCCTAAAGTGGTCCTTAGAAGGTCGCTAGGTATAGCTTGTTCTAGATCAGTGTTAGGGATCCTTTTTACTTTTTGGGTTATGGGCTTTCTTATATATGAACAAAAAGGATCCTTTTTTCTTCCTTGGCGAACAGGGATTAAGTGTTGAGCTCCCAAGAGCGGGACATCTTGTAAGAATCGTTGCCATGCACTGCCTCAGTTACTACTGGCGGCGGTCCGGTGTGGTCCTGTGATGTTTCAACTTGGGCTCCGGCATCTTAAAGAGCTACAAAGCTACTATTTGCTTAAGGACCACCAAACAAGCATGAACATGCAAAGCCCTATATTGCCCTTATTAGGAGTACTATTCTAACTTTTGGGGGGTTCTGAAGCAATTAGTAGAGAGTGGTTGAGTGGCAAGGCCCACCTCTCGCAGCTGCAGACGCCCAGTCGGCAAAGGCCCCTGCAGCATCGTCAGAGGACAAAACAGGTGTGCTGGGTTTAGGGTTTAGGGTTTGGGGTTTAGGGTTTGGGGTTTGGGGTTTAAGGTTTGGGGTTTGGGGTTTAAGGTTTAGGGTTTAGGGTTTAGGGTTTAGGGTTTAGGGTTTAGGGCAGCCTCAACGACCTTCTTGGGGGTGGGTTCGAGCTCTTTGCGACCGTGTGGTGTGAAGATGTGTGAAGGTCACGTCTCGAGTTTGGCCACCAGCTAGGCAGCTACAGATCTCCAGCACAGAATGCTGGGATGATTGGTTTTTATACCACTAGCTTCCCTACATTGCATGGTTCCTTGTCGCTTCTGTTGAAGATGGCCAAGGCAAGCTATTTTGCCACAAGTGTTTGTGAGCCTGTAGCGTGAATGGGGCTTGAAGTTTCGATCAATCTCGGCTTCAAGTTTCAAGGTTCACTGGGAAGCTTCTCTTTCCTCCCCCATGTCCGGGTAGGCCCCTCCCCGCAGAGTGTCTTCCTCTTCGGCACGAGCTTGGTGTACCAGTGTCTAGGCCCAATCAGAGACACAGACGCAAACACCCCTCACTTCCATCCCCCTTCCCTGGGTCCTCTCAAGAAGCTTCGACTCCTCAGAGAGCAGGGGGTTCACGAAAATAGGGGACCCCCAATATCGACCCCAAATAGTAGGATCCCCTGACCCCAATGAGGCACCCCTATTATCATAAACCCCGAGAGTAGAGCTCCTTGGAGAGTGTGTGACAGGAGCCATGTACTTGAAGGGTCATGGTACTTATTAACCGTTATTAACCCAATAATAAACACAGTACTTATAACTGTGCTTCTCACCCTACTAGGGCACTTCAGGGGCTTCTAAGTGGGTACCCTGAACCCTAAACCCTAAACCCTAAACCCTAAACCCTACATTTAAGCACCCTGAACCTCCAAGTGGAGCCCATGCATGAGCCGTAAGACGCGATGCCATGGTGGCGCTCCCGCGGGGGAGCTTGCAGAGGCCTGAAGCGACAGAACTGGTGTGCGTGTTCAGGGTTCAGGGTTTATAGGGTTTAGGGTTTAGGGTTTGGGGTTTGGGGTTTAGGGTTTAGGGGTTTAGGGAACGAGCCCACCGACAGGTGCCGGAGTTGCCTGGCGGTGGCTCGCCCTGGCAGCCGTGGTGGCAGCACAGGACGTCTACTGTTTGCAGAAGAACCCGAAAAAAAGAGCTAAAATGATAATCCCTATACTGCCCTTATAAGGTATAATATGTAAAAATCTAAAATGATAGTCCCTATATTGCCCTTATAAGGGATAACATTATATATATATATATAGATATGTATATATATATATATCTTTTTTTTTTGGGGGGTGGGGTTCTAAAGCACACAGCTGTAAAGCGGGGCTTTGGAGGCCCTAAACCTGCCTCCGCTTGCGACGGCAGATACTACGCGACAGTAAAGATCTGCGGCTCATGAAGGGAGTTTCACACCTTCCGCCTGCAGCGCCCAAAAGCTGCACTGCAGAGGACGTGGGCCACGTCAGGTTGGCCCTGGTGAGCAACTCTCAGTGCCCCTTGCCTGGAGGTCTTCGGAAGAATTGACATTCAGGCTTTACCCTTCAAAGGGTTTGGGGTTTCGGCTTTGGGGTTTGTAGTTTAGTTTACATGCTCTGCCAGACCCGAGGCGATCTGGCACTTTCCTGGAGTATCCCTGAGCTTGGCAATCAAACCGAGCTGAGCCATCTGAGTCAGGCGGGACTCCTACAGTAAACTGAAACATGTCGCCGCTTGTCTCAGTGACTGTAGATTTGCAGACTTGGAGTCGCAGGGTGCTATGAAAGTTGAACTCGGAATGGTGAAATATACAGGCGGTTGATTCCTTAAGCTTGCCGATGAACCCCTTTTTGTTTAGGAAATATGCGGTTTAAGGGACACAGGTTCTGAAGGCTTAAAGAGCTCCCAGAGAACGCCACGTGCCGTGGGAAAGAAATGCCAAGCAACTGACTCTCAGGAATCAGAATGCTACTAATTGCATAAGAACACCGAAAAAATAAAGATATTCTTCCTTATTAAGGGTAATATAGGGATTAGTGTTTTTATTCTTTTGGGGTTCTTAAGCAAATAGTAGAATATGATGCTGCCTTTGGAGCAGCTTTGCAGGTTTCCAAAATTTCAGGTTGACAAAAAAACACAATAGAACAAGCAGGAAATGCTCAGAGCCCAAGAAAAGAGGAATAAAGGTACGAAAGGCCTAAAGAGCTCTATTGGTTTTTATGGGTGTCTTTTGAGCTCGCCTTAAATGCTCTGTAGGCCATAAACAAGCGAAAGGAAAGTTCACCCAAAGACGCCTGGGCAAAGAACTCACAGTTGGGCATGTACGGATGAAACCTTCGGAGACCTAGTAGTAGAGTAGGTAACCTTTAACCTTTTTTTGGGAAATATAATCCCCCTTATAATCCCAAAGGTTATTCTTTAGTTCCCCCAGGTTCCTAGATTGGACATGCTTTACAAAGTAGCTTGATGGGGCGAAGTCTTTGGTACATGCGCCCTACACAACTCAAAAACTTAGATGCCAAGATGTGGCGACAAATGGAATCAGCGAATGTATGTTTACACGATGGGTTCAGACGTACAGTGTGGGCGGGACTGAAGACATGATTGCGAGTCGTCTACACGAACCTGTGGATTGTCTCAGGCAAGATAGGTGTAGGTATTGAGGCGTGTATTTTGCTGTAAGTTCGCACAGCAATTGGAGGATGAGATTTAGACAAGCAGGTCTATGATCCCGCTTTGATGCGGCAATGTGAACAAGTAGAAGAAAGGGAGACGTGATTTCACCATGTGAGACAAGCAGGAGGGTCTGCGTGGCATAGTTGAAGAACGAGTAATGTTTTTTGCGTTGCAGAACAGTGATGGGCGTAACGTTTGAAACATGCTATCATTCGCATGACAACAGTTTGTATGCTTGGCTAGTTTTACAGTGGGGAGCACGGGGCAAGACAGAACAACCGAGTTGCACTCAATCGTGGCGCTTGGGAGGGCGCTCGCCGGCACCCCTCCTCTCCCCAATGCCGGCCAGAAAAAAAGTACTAAGAAACAGTGAAGGAATCAGGAAGACGACGAATAAAGACAAACTAACACACAATTTTGAAACATGAAGATAGTTACTAGCATCTTCGTAAGAAGAAGAGCGAGACAGAAAGGGGTCTAGCTGCGGAAGGGAGAATTTAGTAACAGAGGGCACCGGATGGGAAGGTAAGGGTCAGGAACGCAAGGAAGATGGAATAGAGAGAGAGAGAGAGAGAGAGAGAAAGCGAGAGCGCGCACAAGTACTCAGGAGGGCTATCATACCCTATACCCCCTTAAAAAGACCCTTTAACAGGGTTGATTATGGGGATCATAAGCCCTAATAGTCCATCCTGGCTCAATGCAGGTGAGCTATGCGCGCAGCATCGCCGACCTCGGAACCAGCTCGTCGAAGACCGCGATCGGGGTCACTTCTGGGCCCTGGCATGGACGAAGATGGGTGCAAGCAGTGCTGCACGGCCTGGAAGAGGACCGGGAGTAAATTAAAAAAAGGGTCTCCCCCCCCAATATATAGACCCCCAAGTAGTAGGATTCCCTTAAAACAACGACCCTATCTGGGAGTTTACGAAAATAGGGCAATAGAGACCCCCGAATGGTAGGATTCCCTTGTAACAAGGACCCTAGTAAGGTACCCCGACTGGACTTGTTCGTCATGGCGGGCGTTGCATGCCCGCTTCTCTAGTCTCCCCACAGCGCTGCCGCGGAGCAACTATTCTTATTATTGCTATTATTACTATTATTATTATTATTATTATTATTATTAATATTCTTGTTATAACAATACTGCTACTAATTGTTTATTATTTTTATCATTATTATTGTTATTGTTATTGTTATTGTTATTGTTATTGTTATTGTTATTATTGCGTCTACTAGTAGTATGATCATGTCGGCCATGAACGTGCCAGGACTTTGCATATCGGATCGGCGGTCAAGTGGGCGGCTTTGGACCCATCGAAGCAACTTTTGCACCTTGCCGCTGGATGACCAACCGGTCGTCTAGGCCCTCATCTCAGACTCGGGCTGAGTTTAGGGTTTAGGGTTTAGGGTTTAGGGTTTGGGGTTTGGGGTTTGGGGTTTGGGGTTTGGGGTTTGGGGTTTAAGAGGAGGATAATTTGGGGGTTTCCGATAGGAAAGGGGTGCCTTACGGGGGTCCTTATTATAAGGGAATCCAACTATTTGGAGTCTATTTTAAGGGGTCCCCTATTTTCGTAAACCCCCATTGAGGAACATTCTGAAACAGGATGAAAGTGCACACGTTCCCCTGAACACGAGGCCACAAACAGCGGAGCAGCCGGCTGGCAGCACCGCAGGCGGCTTCTTCAGTTTCAGAAGTCGAGTTGAGCGCTAAGCTGTTCATCAGACATTCACCTTTGCACCAAGTAAGGGCAGTCGGTGCCGACTTGTATTGTTTTTTCATCACTTGAAGGTGCATGGGTAGGTTTAAGCCACCCAAGTAAGACTTGCAACCGAATATGGGGGTTTCCGAAAATTGGGGGTACCCTTTTTGGGAGTTCCTTATTAGAAAGATGATAGCTTCTTTGGGGTATATACGGGGTACCCATTTTTCGGGCCTAGAGTTACCCTCCAAGCAACCCTGGCGTGTGAGTGACAGGCTCCCTGCGGCTGGCGGTAGTCGGAGACATTGGTTTCAGAGACAATGGCACCGCGGACCAAGTCTTCGCCAGGATGTCAGTTTTTGAGAGCACGTCGTTGAACCCACATGCATTCCGGCGTGGCTCTGAGGGTTGTTGGTGTGGCTCAGAGGGTTGTTGCCGCTATCTCTCTGCAGCCGGAGGATACAGAACTCGACGCCGGATGCGGTGATTCAGCTGGGCGATGTGACTTGGGACCTTTCCCGACAGGACCGGGCCAGAAAGGTGCTCATGCTTGGAACGCTTGCTCAAGAGTAAACCCTAAACCCTAAACCCTAAGCCTAAACCCTACACCCTAAACCCTAAACCCTTGGTTGTGTGATCGGAGGGCACCGCGACGACACACGACTTCTGGAGCAAGTGCGGAGCTCGCGAAGAGGGCCAGGGCTGTAGAGTCATGAAAGGGTCTTGTGCCGTTTCTCATGCCCGCACGATACTTACGCCTTATAAGGATAGCTACTATATGCTTAAGAGCCCCCCTCCTCCCCCCAAAAAAAAAGAGCAACATATTCTTCCGCGTGAGGGCAAGACAGGAGTTATTGTCTTTTGTTTTTTTCTCAGGCTCTTAAGCTACTAGTAGTCAAAGTTCAAGGAAGGCCTCATTCTCAGAGCAGGATCGAACCAGTCATCAAGGCAACTCCTTTTCGCTGATTGGGTTCTGAAGGAAATCTTCATGGACACCTCTCCCCCACACTATGTGGCCTTAGGGTTTAGGGTTCTGCATGTCTAAAGCCCATATGACAGTCCCCTCCTTCGGGAGAAGCCCAACCGCGCAGACCCCCCGAGTCCCCCCAAAATCCACTAAACCCTAAACCCTAAACCCTAAACCCTAAACCCTAAACCCTAAACCCTAAACCCTAAACCCTCCAGAACACCCAGGCTCCAGGCACTTTCAGCGCTCAGACCTTTCATGCCTCTTCCAGGAGTCGGCGTCTCAAGTGGTTTAGTGTTTAGGGTTTAGGGGTGCAGGGCTCTTCGTTCTTTTCGTCTCCGGCCAGGCTTAGATGACCTTCGGTGGTGTTGGATTCAGGCGCTGGGGTGTTTAGGGATGGGGTTGGTGTTTACAGCAGGGTTGAGTCTTCGAGAACAGTGTAGTATCTATTGCGCTTTGTGCGGTAGAGTTGCACATGAGCCAAGAACCCTAAACCCTAAACCCTAAACCCTAAACCCTAAACCCTAAACCCTAAACCAGGGAAGCTCCGAAGCTGTGTGGAGCAGCTTGCTGCCAAGGACAGGGATCCAATGCAAGTCTACCAGCGGCTCTGTGGCAATGGAAAGCATCAATACTTGGAGGTTCAGGGAAACCCTAAACCCTGAACCCTAAACCCTAAACCCTAGAAACCCATTACAAGTGCAGTTATCACCACATGAGCAACCGCTTTTATTTACGCACGAGCAGAGTTACTTTGGATGTGCCCTATTTTTTGGTTGGGGTGTCGCTCTCTCTCGGTAACGAGATCGGGGCCGAACATCAAACGAGATCATGTTGTAGAATGAAGGATTTATACTTGTACTTGTTTACTTGCATTTACTGCATACATAGTCCTTATCTGTACCTATATTATATATATATGTATAACTAAGCCTTTGTTTAGTTATATATACATAGACACCATGTATATAGTTGTGTGAAGGCGTTCGCTAAACGATGAAGAGTTGGTTTCGCGTAGGCTATTGCTGGCAAAAGCTGCTCGCTGGGAACGGCGGCTGTGCTTTGAACCGCTTAGACTCAGAAGCCTTTGAGGCTCAACCGCTTCGGCCCAGGTTGGGGATTGAGGGGATGTGGGGTCTGGCGGGCCTGGAGATTGCTGCCGATCCCAAACGAGATCTAAACGTGATCCAAACGTGATCAAAAAATTGCACGAAGGCAGCTAGGGAAGCCAGAGGGCCATGAGAGGCACAGTCACAAGGATTAGGGTTTAGGAGTTATTGAGACAAGGCTGGAAGGTTTAGGGCCAGTTTTGGAGTGAAGTGTCTCCTGTTCAGTTGCTTTCCACGGAGGCAACAAGAGGACTGGGGCACGTCTTCGCAACAACTTGAGCCCTGCTCCCTAAACCCTAACCGTAAACGGGTGGAAATGACAGAGTTGTTCAGAGAAGCACTATGGGTTACCGGGCGAAGGTTAAGGGCAACTATACCACTCACTACACTCCAAGTACTATTTAATACTGAACGAGATCACCCCTTAAGACGACATTGGCCCGGAAGAGGTGTTTTAAGGCAAACGAGATCAGGGACCGAACATTAAAATAGGCTCATTGCGCCCGCCAGCAAATAAAATCCGACGCTCACATATAGGCGCCAAATTGGGCTATACATTGCAGTTATCATTGGGTTACTACGTGCTCTGAACCTCTAAGTAGGGGTGAGTGCTCGAAATCCCTGCCACCTTTCGCCTCTGCACGTCCTGGCGAGGCGGTTTTTCCAGATGTCGAACTCGAGCGGTGACCCGCGCTGACCCTACCAGCCGCTGACCGTTGCACACATCAGCAGAGCAGGGTTTCGAACAACGCCTACAACTTAAAGCCCCAAGCCCTAAACCCTGAACCCCTCCCCCCCCCCCTCCCTAAAGCTCTATTCTGTTTCTAAACAACCCCTAAAACTTAAAGCCCTAAACCCTCAACCCTAACCCCCCCCCCCCCTCCCCCGCCCCTAAAGCCCTATTCTGTTTCTATGACCCCCAAAACCTACCTTAAGCCCAAACCCCCCCACCCCCCATAAAGCCCTAAAGCCCTATTGTGTTTTTACAAACCCTAAAACTTACCCTAAACCATCCTAAACTTCAACCCCCCCCTCCCCCCCCCCCCCCAAAGCCCTATTCTGTTTCTAAAAAGGAAGCCCTAAACCCTAAACCCTAAACCCTAAACCCTAAACCCTAAACCCTAAACCCTAAACCCTAAACCCTAAACCCTAAACCCTAAACCCTAAACCCTAAACCCGAATCTCTTCTTCAGGTGGTATGCCTTCACGGTGGGCAGCGTACGATTTATCATGCCCGGGCCTCGGTGCTCAGGGGTCCCCATCTGCCTGCCTGCGTAGCACTCATGCGACATCTTGCATGATCTTCGGGTTTAGGGTCTAAGGTTTTAGGGTTTAGGGTTTGGGGTTTAGGGTCTTAGGGAAACGGCGTGACATGATGGTCGATGGTGCTGCATGATGTTACATGACGTTCGATGGGCTTCAGCTTACCATGGGTTCCCCTACTACCCCCCTCTATACTACCCCTCCCCTAGGCTTCCCCCCCCTCATAATTAAGGCTGTTTAGGGATAGTTAAGCCTAATTACCTAATTAAGGTTATTTCAGGGGGGAACCTAAGGGGGGGTAGCCCTAAACTTTTCGTAAACCCCAGATGGGCTTCTGCTTAGGCTTTGGACAGAAGCCTTGGTTGACCTCCCTTCGACGGTGGAGCGGCTGGACTCGGACTTTCAAGGGACTAAACGAGGGACCTTAGGGGTTCTTGAGTCGGTTTAGGCTTTGGGGTTTAGGCTTGAGGGTCCAGGGGTTCTCAAGGGACTAAAGGAGGGACCCTTGTAAGGGACATTGCAGCATACCATGTTACGTTTCATTATATGCACCATAGCCGATAAAGCAGCACCTATCACAAGGCAACATCGCTGTTAGACCCTAAACCCTAAACCCTATAAACCCTATAAACCCTATAAACCCTAAACCCTAAACCCTTAGCTTGTTGAATATGAAAAAGCCCATGTGCAATCTCGAGGCCGCAGCACTCCTCGGCCGACGCCTTGGGCTTCCGGAAACTCTTAGGGTTCAGGGTTCAGGGTTCAGGGTTCAGGGTTCAGGGTTTAGGGTTTAGGGTTTAGGGTTTAGGGTTTAGGGTTTAGGGTTCAGGGTTTAGGGTTTAGGGTTTAGGGTTTAGGGTTTAGGGTTTAGGGTTTAGGGTTTAGGGTTTAGGGTTTAGGGTTTAGGGTTTAGGGTTTAGGGTTTAGGGGTCTCTGCGGGCCTCGGGGCCAGCGAGGCCCGACAGCTCCACTGGCTGGAGGAGGAGCTGAAGAGCGCAAACGCCTTGGAGGCCAATTAAAAGACTGCGCACATGCACCCACCCTAAGCCCCAAACCCCAGACCCCAAACCCTAAACCCTAAACCCGAACCCCTCCTACCCTCAAGCCTAAGGCCCAAACCCTAAAACCCAGAAGCATCGAGGGTAGCGTGGACCGTCAGAATCCCCGAACATACGGCGGGTACATGCGCCTGTAGTTTTAACTTCGGGATCTGAGTTTTTACGTGGTTCGAGAGGCGCGTGCCAAGCGGCCCTGGGTCGTAGTCGCTGGCCACAGGCGCGAGAGAGGGGCACCTTAAGTGCAAGAGAGGTTTAGGGTTTAGGGTTTAGGGTTTAGGGTTTACGGTTTAGGGTTCAGGGTGCCGGTCCTTCCGTTTCAAGGCTGAGTCACCTGCAGGCGCTGTTTCACCTGGTTTTCCAGGAAGCCCATGGCCCCCGGAGGGTCGGCTGACAGCCAAAAAAAAGCACCCAAACACAGGAAATCCTAAACCCCAAACCCTAAACCCTAAGCCCTGAACCCTAAACCCTAAGCCCTAACTTGCAAGGCCGATGTACTGCTCGTTGGTGAGGCCCACCTGCAGCACAGAGGCGGGAAGCCCGATTAAGGTTCTGGATGACATGGGGTTTCCGAAAATAGTGTATCTGTGTGTCGGTCGAAGACGGTCTGAAGGCCAGACACTTTCATCGTATGACGAATCTGGGGGAGAGAGAGAGAGAGAGAGAGGGAAAGAACAGGAGGGAGATCAAATCATGCATTTGAAAAGCAGATTCTCAGATGCTGAAGTGTCTGAAGCTTGCATCGCCTGCCAAGAGGCAACGTCACTTCGAAATGCCGCGGGCAAATCGGAATGAGTATATTATTGAAGCCATAAGACAGGAAAGAGCCCGATAAAATCCAAATTATGCGACGAACGCTGCGAACATTGGGAGGCACGTGCCCGAATGCCTGGCACCTGAACTTGGAGCCACATGTGCTGACCGTTCGGTTGCCTGAAAAGGTCTGGGAGATCGAAGGAACAGAAGGTGAGTTGAACGACATTTCACAAGAGGATCTGAGGACAGAATGCATGACATGTGTATATATATATACTGTTATCTATATCTATTTATCTATCCATCTATATATATATATACACTCATGTTTAAATGAATAGAAAAATAAAGAAAGATATAAAAACAAACAAGTGTGTGTGTATATATATATATCTATTTATTGTTTATCAAGGCCCAAAAGGCGAGCAGGCCCGAAACCCTAGACCCTAAGCCCTAAACCCCAAACCCCATACCCTAAACCCTAAACCCTACAGCAGGCAGCCTCCCTCCGCGCGGTCTTGGAGCCCCTTTTCGTGAGGCATCTCGTGGTCTCAGAGTTCAAGGGACGTGGGTATTTCGCGGGGTATTTCCCGAACAAAGGGGAACCCCCTCTTCATTAGGTAGTTTAGGGTTTAGGGTGTAGGGTTTAGGGTTTAGGGTGTAGAGCCCCCAATAGACCATAATCCTTCTCATAGGAGCCCGCCACAAAGGGTACCCTTATCTTGGGAGACCCCCATGGTCGGCTTATGCTTTAGGGCTTGAGCAGGCGTTCTCAAGGGACTAAAGGAGGGACCCTTATGAGGGACCTCAGAGGTTATTTAGGGGATCTTTGGAGGCTACTTAGGTATTTGGGACTCTTTTCGGTACGTATCGGGGTAGGGAAATAAGATTCGGGGTCCCTTCTAGGGGTCGCTCCTTATGCCCTTGGGTCTGGGGCTTCGGGGTTTAGGGTCGTCGTTCTACTAGTAGCAAAGACGTCAGTCCGGACCTGTCGAAACGCGCATTCCGCAGAAGGGGTCGGGCAGCCGAAACCTCTTCAAACTCTTTGGGTTTACGGTCTAGGGTTTAGGGTTTCCATTCTAACTCTACTTATAAGCTCCCACAGCCCCCGAAGTAGGTCATAAGTAGACATACTTGGGGTTGCAAGTACCATGCACCTCATAGTAGGCAAGGCTCTGCGAATCGACCCTCGCCACAGTGCGTGTGGTTTTGAGGGCAAGATCCTGGCTTTTAGGGTTTAGGGTTTAGGGTTTAGGGTTTAGGGTTTAGGGTTTAGGGTTTAGGTATAACGACGATTACTTCCGGGTCAGGAGCCAACGTCGCACAGGTGATGAAGTTTAAGAACCTTTTCTTAACTTCCTGGTTGGATGTGTTTTTATTGTGGTTTTGCTGGGGCGAAAACAGCGTTTTGTGCTTTCATTCGCTCGATGTTGCAAGTATGTTATCCCTGTTTTGGCTTTTCCCCCCTTTCCCCCCGCTCTCCCACCCGGCAACAAAAAACGCAATCACAGGGTTGTTTTTTTGATATTGAAAGGCTTTGATGTGTTTTGCAAAGCCAACTGTCCTGTGATCATGACATGACCCCTCATGTTGCGTCCATTAGCACCTCGAGCCTGTTTTGGCAGTCGCTCATGTGATTTTTCCTATCCTGTGATCACCTGCTTTTCCATAAGATCTGGTCGATCGCCCGAACCTTTTGCAGTTGTTTGACCCCCCCCCATCCCTCCCCCCATCCCTCCCCCCCCATCCCTCCCCCCCATCCCTCCCCCCCATCCCTCCCCCCCATCCCTCCCCCCCTACCCACCACGGCAAAAAACAACAACAACCGAAACCCGAAAACAAGCGGACCCCACAGGCCAACAGGCGCAACAAAGACTTGAACCAGGTACAGCGTGGATCTCTACCTGGCATCGCACGTCCATGCCTACGAAAGAACCTTCCGGACACAGAATGGCTCGGTGTGTGCGGGTCTCAGTGGGTTTCAGGGCTTGGCGAAGGCAAGCTGCTTGCAATTCTTACGGCAAAAGCGCAAAAGGAGCAGACCAGAGTCAGATAGGATGGAGTAACCATTCCGTAGTTGCTGTAGCAGTTGTAAAGTCGTAAGGGCGCGTCGTTCTCAATGAGGGTCCCTTTCTGGGGTTCCTTGTTCGAAGCGGCTCCATAGATCCCGGGACCCGAGTCTTGAATCATCCCAAACGAGTCAATCAAACCCTACCTTAAGACCCCAAAACCTTTTTTTTGTAGGTTATATACTTAAGAATCCTATAAGGGCCTTTCATAATAAGAACCTACAAAAAAGTGGGTTTGGGGTTCTTAAGGTAGTGGATCACCCTAGAAGCCCTCAACCCAAGAAACCCTCTGAGCCCCCAGAAGCCTTAAACCCTGTACCACAGCTTTCCGAAACCCTCAACAACCAGGGAACCCTCCTAAACCCTGAACGCTAAACCCTAAACCCTAGGCCCAAAGAAACTCTCCATCCAGGCAAAGCCGACGACACGGCGGATGCCTCCTGCGGGTGCCCAGGGCTTTCCCGAAGTGGGGGGGCATCACTTCTTTTTGGTTAGGTTTAGGGTTTCGGGTTTAGGGTTTAGGATTTAGGGTTTAGGATTTAGGGTTT